AGGGCTCCAGATAATTTTTCAACATGAGGAGTACGTACTCCGTATTTTTAAATATAGGAGTACTGGAAAAACTTAAGAGTACATTTGGAGTACTGAATGGAATTTAATGGAGTATGTGATCTTGTGTTTCATTTCCTATATGCACCACAGCATTGCTACTCTTTTGTAAACAGGTATAAAACAATACTTTTTTCAGATAAATACGTCTCTAAATGATTCTAAGACCGTACACCATTGCTGTGCTGCATATCTGCTACTGTTTCTAAATTATATCCTACCGTATCGTGCATATTTTTTATCCGTACATACACCCATACAAGCCCTTATCTGGAGCCCTGTGATGCAATTCCTGTTTTGACTTGTACCATATGTTCCAAAGTTTTATCAAACAAACAACTGGCCTGCCTTTGCATGTGTTTGTGATGTGTGCCACCAGTGGGGCAGGATATATTCACCATATTCACCAAACATTTGGAGTTATAACCAACTGATAGTGATTAATAAACACATACCGTATATGACCGACTATAAGTCGGATCCGACTATAAGTCGGGCCCCTTTCTCAACCCTCTAAATTCTTGCCAAAACCATGTAACTCAAGTATAAGTCGGCCCCTTTCCCCGTACGAATCGGTATCGCCGCCTCAATCTTCACGCTCGGAAACGATGTTTAATGCGAAAATATATGCATGAATCATTTTTGTCACAGGTATATGCGTCCTGCTTCCGGTGTAAACATTGCCAGTTGAGTTCGCAGGGCTGGCAGATTCACACACCTGACCTCAGGATTTTTTGGGGTAGATTAATGAACTCAAGTATAAGTCGGGTCTGATTTTTTACCTTCATTTTCTGGTATCAAATTTCCGACTTATAGTCGGTCATATACGGTACTGATGATACTGTTATAATCATGCAAAGCTTATTAGCAGCGATTTGTTAATGAATAAGGAAAGGATTTTGTTTCTTCAGTTTTATAGATTCATATGCAAAGAAAGATAGGGGAATGTTAAATTTTAAGATTTGCAGGAAATGTGGAAATATGTTTGTGTGGATTATTGAACATATTCTTGTATGTGATGTAACTGACGTTTCATTGAGAGAGTGCCCTGTTGTGTACATCTTTGCATGTATAATGAAATTTGCTTTTGAGTTATGGGATAAACCATATAATATGTAATGGTGCAACGTTTGACCTTTCACCCTGGTAGTGTTTGACCTTCACATATATACCTGTTGATCTGTAATAACTTCATGTTTGGGCTTATCTACAACTGGTTTAAGTTGAAAGTTAAATCTAGTATTGACAGTATACTACATGTACCGTGGATTCTTTACAGCACATTAGAGTGTAATGATACAGAGAGGCCACGTTACAATATGTATCTCAATAATATGGTGCGATATGATTCGTATCCTGATGCAGTACTTTTATATCATACATTCATATTCCCACCCTTTTTGCAGGGGAATCTCAAACCTGAATAATTTGTTTTCAAATTTCAGGTAGCAAAGATGGGATATTGTTGGGATCATATAAAGTAGGAGGAAGTACTAGAGAATCTGCATAAACTGGGTTGGTCAGCTGGAACTGTACTAGTTGTGTTATCAAAACTAAACCACTAAATCCGAATCTAATATTTGTTTTAATTTACCTTTTTTACCTTTACAATATCTTGCATTCCTAACTTTCTGTTACATTAAACCTCTGTTAAACAATCTAACACCCAAATGGTTACCACAAGCTGACAATCTCAAAGCACGCTGCCTTATCAACGTATCGAAACGAACTAACTACAATTTCACTTCGAACCCCACATGTGGCGAAAACACATGCTTTTAGCATGCTCAAGCTTTCCGCGAAGTAAGTTGTTGTCAGGTGTGTTTTCGCGAACTGTTCGTATGTACACAAACTGAAACCTAATAACCTGTCTGGTTAACAGTGGTGAATAAATCAGTACAATGAATGAACAATACATTTGTGTGGACAATCCTTTTGTCCATAGGTCTTGAACAGTTTCTGTTATTATTCACAGTTAGAGCTGGTGATTGTTCACAAGAGTTGTAAATAGATATATAGTATTGTGATCCTCATATTGCAATACAATACTGTATTGCCGTTACATTCATCTCTACAGTGCATATAACTTTCTTGCTGAAACTTATAATATCAATATGTAATCGGGGAGGTCATCTGCTGCTTGATTTCCAAATGGTCCATCTTTCTTGAGAGACAGTGTGGGGCATCAAATACAAAGGAGGCAATGAAGAGCTTTCCATGCATTGCAAACACTTTCATGGTATCACAGTGTCATAAAAGATGTGACAACATTTGGACATTGTTTTGATGCCTTCAGGTAAATCTTCCCAAGTTAACTTTGTTATACCAATGCATAAGAACTTTCGGATTAACTTGACATACAAAGTTAGGCTGGTATCATTATTAATTCCATATTTTGTTATCAGAATGAATGAATTAACATTCAATGCTATGAAGTGGACAGAAAACTTCAGGGATTGAAGGAGACTATACAGTGTATACTTTTACCTCTTTTGCACCTGTGGGGGGGGTGGGGTAGCCTAATGGTTAAAGCGTTGGCTCGTCACGCCGAAGACCTGGGTTCAAATCCCCACATGTTGCTGGAATATTGCTAAAAGCGGCGTAAAACCAAATTCAGTCAGTCAGGCAGTCTTTTGCACCTGTGAGACCCGGGTTAGAATTGATCTTCAGTAACCCATACTTGCCGTAAGAGGCGACTAATGGAATTGGGTGGTCAGGCTCGCAGACTGTGTTGACACATGTCATCGGTTCCCAATTGCATAGAGCAGTGCTCATGCTGTTGATCACTGGATTGTCTGGTTCAGATTCGATTATTTACAGACCACCGTCATATAGCTGGAGTATTGCTGAGTGCGGCGTTAAACAACAAACCAACCAAACCTCTTTTGCTGTTGAAACATCTACGTTATGACTGCAGACTGTTCACCAGGTGTCATTACTGATTTTCAGTGATTTGTTCATATAAGTTTCAGCACTATTTTTTATTTTTCAATTTTTACACCCAATGGAATCCGTTATTAAAGATATCAAGACTACTTTACATCAAGCATTGAGATTTGATATTTACTCGTTAGGATGAGAAAGCCACAATAACTCGGTGCGCCTAGTGGCTGCAAGAGTTGTATACTCCCCAGGGAGTTGAGATTGATAATGCGATGTGCCGTTGAGATTGACATAATAATAATAATAATAGCAAATGGTTGTTACTTTCAGCATTCCTACAACTGATTATTACACTTAAGCTTAATCTAGCTCATATACATATACATATACATATACATATACATGTATCTATACTGTTAAACTGATTACCAGTGATTTAATATTTATCACAAATCGTTTTTACTTTTTTCATCCGACAATTGATTATTACACTAAAGCTTGATCTAGTTCATATATTAAACTGATTACTGATATCCTAAATCAGTATCTGTCTATCCAGACGCCTCTTGGGTCCAGCGGTGTAGGTGACATAGATTTGTTTTGGCAGGTTGCCTTTTGTTTTGTAGCATTAGATGGTAACAGACAGAGAGTTCCTCCGCTGTAATGCAAACGACACAGAATTATATTTTTTCATGAGCTGTGTATCTAGATTTATTTTGGTCATATGTCAATGTCTGTGCATGGATGGTTTTGTAACATTTAACAAGTTACAAGTCTTCCTTCGGGCTAGAACTGTGCGATTTAAAGGATAGGGCATATATTGATTTTACTGATGAGAAAAGACCAAACTTTAACATTTATTTTTGTGTGATAATGGTGTGCAGTAGATCATGTGAGCTTGTAAGTCAGTGTAGCATGTGTAAATTAGACTGAGATGTGTTTGATTCAGGAGTTTCATGCAGCACAAAGAGATGCAGGTATTAAAGTCTCCTTGGTATATTTTTCAGTGCTGAATATTTGAAATTTTAATGTACTGACCATTGAGGTCATTTCGCGTTTAAATAATAACCCATGAAGGTCCCTGCTAGAATCGATCTTCAGTAACCCATGCTTGTCGTAAGAGGCAACTAACGGGATCAGGTGGTCAGGCTCGCTGACTTGGTTGACACACAGCATCGTTTCCCAATTGTGTAGATCGATGCTCATACTGTTGATCACTGGATTGTCTGGTCTGGTCGATTTTTTACAGACCGCTGCCATATAGCTGGAATATTGCTGAATCGGCGTAAAACTAAACCCACTCACTCACTCATTTAGATAATGATCTATAATAGTGCTTTTGTTTTCTATGCTGAATAAAATCATTACATTGCCTTAAACTGGTGCCAGATCAGTCATATTGGTTCTCAACCATGGCACCATCACAGAATGTCCTGTTTTCGTTCTCTGTGTACAACTCTCTTGCCAACAATGTCCATGAAGGATAGTTGGTCCGTCTTAGCTGCTGGCAGAGAATGTCCTGTGTTTGTTCTCTATGAGATTTGCCTACTATGGGCCTGATGTCAACTAGAGAGCCATGTTGGTCTGACCTGCCAATGGCAGGGAATGTATTTGTTGTCAGTGAGACAGTGTGTACAATGGTGCTGGGCCAACCATACTGGTCTACAATAACGCAGACGAATGTTGAAATATTTGTTTACTATTGGACATGCAGAGTACATGGGTTCACAAGTAGTTTCATTTTCCTATTTCTTTTGGGCCCAGTTGCATTTTTTTAAGATTATGATAATTAATCATTAAGTTAGTATTTATATGGCACCTTTTCCAACATCTTTGCTCAGAGGCATTTAGGCAAAGGCACTGTCAAAAATGAGAGTTTTCAAGACACGCTTGAATAGTTCAATGTCTTCAATGTTCTGAATGTTTGGTGGCAAGTTATTCCACAGACACGTCTTAGCGAGTTTGTCTACTTCTTCATTTCCAGCTAAAAACATATGTGGAATTCATACAATATCACTGCTTATGTACTGTTCAAGCTCAAAACAATGTCAAGATACAAGATGTCGTGTAATGTGTCAGAGCATTGACCTTGTACACCTGATTGAATGGCATGTACAGCTGATAACAAATCGGTAAAATTATTACTTCATGCTCATTAGAAAAGCAAGATTCATAGATGTCAACTTCTTTATTGTAAATAACACACGGTTTCGGAGTGTTTGCCTGATCAAGGAGCAAGCATACACTCCGAAATGTTGTGTTATTCATAGTAAAGAAGTTGACATCCATAAATCTTGCTTTTCTTTTGCATTCCACTTCTAGATGCCCTTCAAAGATTGCATGCTCATTATCTTTACCCATTTCAATGTTTAAAGTTTAGCTGTTAAGTCTGCAGCACATACAGACAAATGATCATTCAAAACTGAAACATACAACTTTATGGATGACAACTTCTTGTTTACTGCAAAGGGCTAAAAGTTCACTTTTAGCTTGATAACAATATAAGAATCTACATTGAAACTGTTATATATATCAGTTGCTGATAGAGCAACTTTAAGATGATGATATTGCGAAGGAGGTTCGGAGCATTCCACCTGTAGGTGAAGCTGGAGTGGTAGGAAAGAGACCCAGGGCATAGATTTTCGAAGCTCCCTTAGCGCTAAGATAGTCATAAGTTAATGTTAATGTATGGCACTTACGACTATCTTAGCGCTAAGAGAGCTTCGAAACTCTAGGTCCAGTACATATCCAAAGATATGGTCTGTACCCGATTGAGTTTAACAAAATGAATTATCACAGCATTCATGAAAACCTGTCAGACACATTCTAATCTAGACAAGATTAGGGCTATGTAAAGCAGAAAAGACGATTTATCAGCACCCCACTTTGGCAGAAACGCTTTTCAGTAAATCGAGAGCCTTTGTACATTTTGATGAAAGTCAGTTAGACCAAGTGAGCCTTTGATGAAAGATTACACCCAAAAATTTAAATTCAGAAACATATTCTGTTGTCATGATCACCTAGGTGTAACTTCAGATTTGGAGGAACATTATGTTTAAGAATTTGCGTCTGACTTAAAAGTTTCATTTTTATCAAGTTATCGTTTTACCTCGACTCGCAAACATATGGTTCTTGGAGACCCAAAAATTATTAGTTTGCAAGGGTCCTTGCAGGCATTACAAGGGTCCTATTAAGTAATGGTGCAGAGAACTGTATGTTTTGATAATTTCTTTAGAACCTGGCATGAATCATTGATCATATGAACTGATGGGTGAAATGATGCACCCAAATGCTCCAGTAAACTTTAGGCTCAGTATTATTCGTTACACTGCTGTACTGAGTCTAACAAAACCTTATGGAAGGTCGCGTCAGGTAACCTTTCCAATTGACCAATCAGAACACAGCTTACCAGATCGCGAAAGTGGACATTCGCACATAACTTTCGAACTTTTACCTCGAAAAGGTTTGGACACGAACGATACCGAATGCTATTTTCAGTACGATCGGTTCCTAGTGATGCACGAATAATACTGAGTCTAAGTTTACTTAGACTGGCAACTGCTCTGAAAGAAACTACCGAACACTTAGCAAAGTCATGGATGTGTTGTGGGTACAGTGAGTAATATTGTGCGAATTGTTTTTCTGCGTCCATTCTCTACATTTGTGCATACTGAATGCACATTTGCGCGTCGCATAAAACCCTGATATCCACATAATTATCTCCCTTGTTCATCATACCAACCTTTAAATGCAATTTAAAGAAGGGTGACCATACTGTTTGCACTTGGTTACTTTAGACATAGGAAGATGAGTGAATATTGTGACTGACTGTCTATCCCTCTGTTTTTCAGATGCCGAGTGTGGTGGGGAGAACAGCACCTGCAAAGTATTCTACAGCTGTGCCAACATCAAGATAAGGTGAGGAACCTTCGACATGTTGTATCACAATATACAGCACACTACAGTTGTAACAAATATATTTCACTAAAGGTGGTAACTCTACTGACTGACTGATTGAGTGAGTTTGGTTTTACGCCGCTTTTAGCAATATTCCAGCAACATCACGGTGGGGGACACCAAACATGGGCTTCACACAATGTACCCATGTGGGGATTCGAACCCGGGTCTTCGGCGTGACGAGCCAATGCTTAAACCACTAGGCTACCCACGCCCCAGTGGTAACTCTAGATATAGTTACATCTTTGCAAAGACGTATATATAAATCGTATATGTACATGATCTATGTCTTCAGAGGTCTAGGACAATTTGTGAAGGAGTGACTTGAACTTTCAACTTTCAATGTGTGAAGCCCATTTCTGGTGTCCCCTGATATTGCTGGAATAATTCTAAAAGCGGCGTAACACCAAACTCACTCACTCACTCACTTTAGTGTATATACTCTGTGTTAGAATTCAGCAACCCATGCTTGTCTTACGGGATGGGGGTGTCAGACTCGCTGACTTGGTTGACAGGTATCACCGTATCACAGTTGTGTAGACTGATGTTCATGCTGTTGATCACTGGAATGTCTGGTCCAGACTTGATTATTTACAGACCACTGCCATACTGCTGTAATATTGCTGAAAGTGGTGTTAAACAGACAACAAACACTCAAGTGTATCCTCCAACTTTTTGAGGTATAGCTGAGCATGCTCTTTCAAAGACTTCAAAGAACATCATACAATTCTTGCTCGAAAGTCATTTGATAAGAATTATGTCATTCAAGGCCTTGGCAAAGCTTTCATAACATATTTGGAGGACATTTTCGACAAATGCATCATTGACTTCAACCATGTTCCCATGTTTCTGCAGGTGAACACTTACGTTTGCTTGTACCTGAATCATACAATAGATTTGTTGTGATTGTGGGAAGAGTGTAGAATAATCTTTATTCTTTGGTGTTTTCTCCTATTCAGACCAACTCCAGTGGGCCAGAGTCGGAACCTGTCATCTTGCAGCAACTACCTTGACAACCTCATGGGCCCATGGCCATACACTCCCCCAACAGATCTACAAGGTGAGCGGCTGTAAATGAAATACTCATTTCTCGTGTGTCATCCTTGAATATTGCTAGTATGGAATTGTGAAGCCATACTATCTGTAATGAGAACAGGCCTTTTGTGGTTGCAGTTGAGATCTCAAAGGCGGTTCCAAACCATCTCATATCCAAATCCATAACTAGTCCCAATTTCGATACCCATGTTAGAATAAGATGGATGTTGCAAAAAGTGACTTGGACCCTGTTCCTCAAAGCGATCGTAGCGCTGCGACTGTCGTAAGTCTATGTTAAAGTATTGGCGTTACGATCACATTGAGGAACGGGGCCCAGAGTGGCTGTGTATCATTGTACACCTATGTGTATGCTTTTACTAGCAGCCACTGGTTTGAGTTATCAAGATTTGTTGTTAGGTAGATATGATACCTAGTATTGCAGAGAAGTGTATAAAACAACAGCCCTTGTTATGTGAGTCACTATTACTTTCCACGCCGAAGACCCCGGGTTTGATTCCCCACATGGGTACAATGTGTGAAGCCGATTTCTGGTGTCCCCTGTCATAATATTGCTGGAATATTGCTAAAAGCGGCGTAAAACCAAACTCACTCACTCACTATTACCTTCAGCTGATCATGTCATTGTCTATCTCATATAAACTCTCTACATATCTCCCTTCCGTACCATGTTAACGAAACCAACTATTAAGCTAAAAAAAACTACTAAACCATTGTGCTTCTACCTTGCTGTATCTTGTTCATTCACTTGACTACGCGAAGCAATACAATGTTGCTTTCTTACTACCAGAAAAACAGTTTGACAAAAGTGTAACCTGTAGATAAGCCACTTTTTAAAGACTGCTTGTTTTTGGTCTTCAAAGTTCGCTTTATCTACTGTTATACAGTACACTATTTGCACAATATTGACTGCCGGTATGTTGTAATGCTATTTCTTTTCTACTGAAACAAGGTCTGAAAAGACTGACCAACTCAAAACCTAATTTTAAACTTGACTGCTGTATGGCAATCCTAGTGCAAATGTCTTGTTGTTCCATTGTTGAGTCTGTTGTTGTGCAAGAATGTATTTTAGTCTTTTTGCTTAATTTGATTTAGGACATGACATTTGTTACTCCAATTCCACATCCCTTTGATTACCAGTATTCTAGAACTAGGGGGGGCACTCAGATTTTATTTTTACATTAATGGATTATACATAATTTCACGTTAACATTATTCGTGTTTTGTTTAGAGAACTGTTAACACTTATTCATAACCATCTCATGTCCCACCATTTCAAAATGATATTTACAACTTATATGACTTAGCTAAATGGTCTACTGTTATTATCCCCCGCAACGCGTTTTGCGGGGGGTATTAAAATGGACTCCGTCCGTGCGTCCGTCCGTCCGTGCACATTTGTCTTTTCCGGAGCAGAACTCTAAAACCGTTCAATATTTCTTCACCAAACTTGGCACATACATGGATCTGGTGGTGTACTGGTGCCTTTTGGTAGTTTTGGAATTCTGAATTAAATGTTTTTGGCGTTTCCATGGCAACAAGTTCGACTTTGACTGAAATTAGTGGTAGTGCTCTTTTCCGGAGCAGAACTCTGAAACCGTTCAATATTTCTTCACCAAACTTGGTACATGGATAGATCTGGTGGTGTACTGGTGCCTTTTGGTAGTTTTGGAATTCTGAATAAAATATTTTTGGCATTTCCATGGCAACAAGTTTGACTGAAATTGGTGATAGTGCTGCTTTCTGGAGCAGAACTTTAAAAACCTTTCAATACTCTCCTTCCACTTTTCTATATACACACCTAAATATTTTATATACACACCTAAATATTTAATCATAACTCGTAGACATAATCATGAAGAGTATTTTGCCATTGCGGGGGATATTGATGACTTTGTCTTCTTGTTTGTTTTTTCAAGTCCTGTAGAAAAGAACTTGTGGCAACTTGCTCTGCATGTTTTGATTCTCCAATTTTCTCAAAAATATGACAAGAAAAACTTATTTGTGTGCACTTTTCATATCTTCCTTAAAAAACATGATAAGACCTGGGGGTGGTACTTTCAAACTTTTGCTCATTTAGAAAAAAACTGAACATTTTGTGTATTACTATGATGAATAATAGCCCGAAGCTTGCTCAGTATGAAGACTTCCTGTTTGAAAGGAAGTGATATAATTTCTTGATGACTGCTGGTACCATCATGCTGAATTATGGTTGATAATTCAAACCTCTGAATGAAACAGTTGATTTGATGTCTACTTCACCACATAATCTCATATTTGTAAGACAGGACCATACTTTCTTCTTAGGGTAGGTAGGTAGGATTTTTTTTTTTACATATTTTTTTAGACGTAAAGTTCGAACTAATAACACATTTATCAATGTGTAATTGTTTATTTAATCAAGCTTGTGGACATCATGTTGACTTTCTCTATCACAATGACCGATGTCTTTCGATGCCAGGAAAAACACAATGGTATCTGAAAGCTTATTTTATTCATACTGCTTAAAAAAATAGGGTCGGCATCAGGATTCAAGGGTTGGGCAATCGGAACCACAACATTTTTTTTAATGCCTTAATCAAAGTTACAAGGAAGTTCCAGATGTGACATGTATGCAACAAAAGACAGGCACTGGTAGAGTTTGTCCCAGGCAATCTGTGCTGGTAGTACCAAGAGGTCAGGTTCGGCAGAACACAAAATTGAGGGTATATTACAGTTTTTAGGGACAACTTTAACCTTAATATGTAGTGTTTGTATTTATCTAATTGTTTTTCCCTTCTTCCTGTTTGCTTATGATTTCTTTGTCTTATTTTGGTAAAAAATTATCTTAACGTAAGGTGACAAGAATTGCCCCCTTTGGTCTATATTGGCGATAGACAGGAGTTATCCCCCTTCCTTGCACCAGCCGGCGTCGTTGTAGTTGGCATCCACCGTTCGCCTGCATGGCTGTGTAGCAGTTTTTTTAACTGCTCAGTTTAGTGATTTTATCATGACGGAAAGTGTACCTGATGTTCGTCCTGTTTGTTTGTTTTTTAATTCAGCACTCAGCAATATTCCAGCCGTTAGGTGACGGTCGATCTTTGGCATTGATCTAAACATACATAGAATGACATGCATTAAGCCTGGCAGTGAGCCTGACCTCCAGATCCCTATAGTCACCTCATACAAGCAGCATGGGTTGCTGAAGACCACGTTTACTCAAGGAGCAATACAATATCAGTGCTTCTCATGCAGTTGACTAAGGTTCAGAATACTTTATTTAAATTCAGTTAACATCATGTCAAGATCACATCCAGGATATTCAGTCAGAAAGTAGTCAGATTCATATTTGTGACACTTCCTCTGTTACCAACCTGTGATCAGTTTGATGGGCAAATACTGGCACGGGTCAGTGTCACTCATTTCATCCAAAACCATTGCATACATGCTGGCTTGAAACTGGCAGGTTGTGGCCGAGATGCTATTTCACTAGAATTGAGTAGAAACTGTCTCCTTACAGTAACTGTGACCATGGTACCTTATCTGTTATACAGAAGTTTTTTTAAAATATGTTCACAAAGAAATTATGTCATTAGTTCAGTAGACATGCAAAACACGAACATTTGAACAGAATACTGGCTCCCTTACATTATTGGACAATCTTGGGCAGATACTATGGGATCTAAGTGTGTCTCATCTCCACCTTCACTGTTAATGGAGGCACAGATAACAGTTGCACATGTAAACACGAATTCATTATAAAAGAAAAATAAGATCATGTTACTGTAATTATGTGTGGATTTTCAGAGCTTAATCAGTTAATAACTTTGTTGGATATTAAATTACTGGACCTTAATTCAATTTGTTGATGTTTTTATGAATAACAGTTTCTTTATTGTGTGTAACAGTGTTTCATGGTAACCTCCTGCTTGCCTTTCCCCCAATTAGATAAATCAATTTTATCACTGTGCAGTTGTAGCTTTCAATGTCATTGTAAAAAGAAAGAAGTTGTGATCCATGGAAAGTGTCCAGCATGTCAATGGCCAAAGACTTCATGAATGCATAAACTCAGGTAAAGTATAAAAATATACAAGTGTCAATGGAAAGTATAACTGTCATAAAATTCTTTGAGACAACATAAAATTTACAGATGATAAACACACAATAATGCTTGGTAGAGTTTAATGTGAATTTGTTTGATCTTCAATTGCGAAACATTACAATTCTTTGGTATATCTATGAGGTTATCTTCAGTGCATTTAGATGCCATTTCACTGTTAATCTGCGAAGAATTGCCTGTTATTTGCTTCTAAAATATCAGTATGGAGAATTAATGCCATGATGCTGAAAGTATGCTTTTTGATGTTGACAATGCTATGTGTTACATGTTGCTCAAAAGGAAGACACAATGTCACAGATTTTCGACAATAATTTGGACTATAATTTATATATTGGGGGCTTATACACTCACTTGAGCTCCTATTGATGCAATAGATATATCAAACAGAGCCTAAGGTGGTGCCTTTTACTATTTACAGATTTTTGTCATTTTTATATTTCTCGGTTTCCATGGAAACGTTTTGGACTTAGTCTTAAAGGGAAGGGTGGGCTTCGTTTCCGGAGCATAACTCAGAAACCGTTCAGTATTTTTCTGCAAAACTTTGTAGATATATCAAACAGAACCTAAAGTGGTGCCTTTTGCTATTTACAGATATTTGTGATTTATTATTTTCTTGGTTTCCATGGAAACGATTCGGACTTAGTCTCAAAAAGGAGGGGAGGGTTTCGTTTCCGGAGCACAACGTGAAAACTTCTTAATATCTTTCAACAAAACTTGGCAGATATGTTAGGCAGATCCCAAAGTGGTGCCTTTTGCTCTTTACAGATTTTTGGCATTTGTATTTTTCTTGGTTTCCATGGAAACGATTTGGACTTAGTCTCAAACAGGAGGGGTGGGTTTCGTTTTCTGGAGCACAATGCGAAAACTTCTTAATATCCTTCAACAAAACTTGGCAGATATGTTAGGCAGATCCCAAAGTGATGCCTTTTACTCTTTACATCTTTTGGGCATTTGTATTTTTCTTGGTTTCCATGGAAACGATTCAGACTTAGTCTCAAAAGGGAGGGGTGGGTTTCGTTTCCGGAGCACAGCTCAAAAACCTCTTAATATCTTTCAACAAAACTTGGCAGATATGTTAGGCAGATCCCAAAGTGGTGCCTTTTGCTATTTGCAGATTTTTGTCATTTATGTTTTTCATGATTTCCATGGAAACGATTTGCACTTAGTCTAAAATCAAGCTGGACTTTAAGTAACTGTCAGATGATTTGTTCTTTCAAAGATGTGGGGGCCGGGGGGATATGTCATCTTCTGATGACTCTTGTTTCAAATTGGTAGACTCGATCATCTGCAGTGTGGTCACCCATCATGTAAATTCAACATCCTGTCAGATTGTCAGATTGTCTTTCACTCCATCCAGAGATATTCTGTTGGAGTATGATGAAGTTGGACTCCTCTCTTCCAGATCTTCTTGCCAGCTGCCTAAACCATAAACTCTCCAAGCATCAGTCTGGTACCAGACCTCAGGCTGTACACGTGGATGCTCTGTCCATGAGTTAGAAGGATCGAGTTGCTTATGAAATCGTTCTGTAGTGTCTTAAAGAAAGAGTCATAAAAAAGGTGTAGGAAACAGATTGTGACATAATTGTGATAGCCCCATCTTTGCCAACAGGACGTTTCAGAGTTGAAGGGCATTGATTTCTCCTCACTCACTCATGGTCAAAATTGAAGTACTTAGAGTTGAAGTTGTAGCCAAGAATAAGTCAAAGATGTTGTCCATACGGACAAAGTTGCAGATGGACCAGGGGCGGACAAAGTTGCAGATAGACCAGGCAGGCTGCTATGTCTCATAACAGCATTAAAAATCTTGCAGCCAATGAAAGGCCTAGAAGATGCCTCTTTTTATCATGCAAGACTTATTCAGACAAAGATATCATTAAGGCTACAGTAGCAGGATGGCTAAAGGCTACCATCACAGACAGTTATTTTAACTAGCCACACTAAGCCTTGAAAAGTCACGAGATTTGCATATGCAGTTTCTACAGAACAAATCATTTCAGGTTGCCAATGGAGTTCACATAATACCTTCTCCTTACATGATTCAGATCTAGATTGTATTGTCTGGGGCCACTCGTGGCTGCCCAGACACTCAGATGATGCTTCTCTGGGGATGTTGGAGGGATGTAGTATTCCAGCAGTCGGCAACCCTATCAAGTTAGATAACATTGATCAGATTGTTTGCCAGGGTAAACAGATCAGTGTTAATGGCTGGTTTCACTTTGTACATCTGGAGGAGGTTGCATGGTCCTACTCTGGATTCAGTATGATTGCTGCTAAACAAATTATGTTGTCTTTACCGGAATTGCCTTCATCCAGACTGGAAATGGCGTCATCAGGAGAAAGATATGTCAAGATCTAGTACCTCAGAATCAGAAATGGCATCATCAGGAGAAAGATATGTCAAGATCTAGTACCTCAGAATCAGAAATGACGGCATCAGAACCGGAAATCAATCGTGATGTCATTATGGCTTGGAGTGACATCATCCTTCAGGTAGTGACATTATACAGACAGGAAGTTAGGTCACTGGAATTGGATATGTCATCATGATATCTGAAAGTTACATCACAAGCAAGCCCAAATCACAGTTTTTAAAAAACCCCAACAACAACAGGTATTTGGCTTATCTAACTACCAGTACTACTCCATGTATTATTCATTCACAACTGTCAGCAATTTGGGATTTATGAGATTCCACCATCTCTCTGGTGTGTTCTGGCTGTGATGTAATAGAGGTAGTGTACTCAAAGGAATTATCATTGTGTGTAATTCTAAGAATACTAACTCTATTACACCAGGATTATTCCCTAGAAACATTTCAGGTATCTTGGATGTTCTGTTTGGGAAAAGAAGCGACATATTATGTGCCTTATGCATGAGATGAGTATGTTTTGTCAGAGATATACAATCTGCATTTGGATTGGTTGATAGCTGACAGTTTAAAGGAACATCTTGAAAATCTTGAAATTTCATAGCGTGCGGACATCCATTACAAAGAAATAATGGCTGTGATGTAATAGAGGGAGCACGGTGGTGTAGAGATTAAAGCTGGCCTCTCACGCCAAAGGCCCGGGTTCGAATCCAAGTGGAGACACCAAAATTTGTGACCTGGGTCTCATACTGTGTTGTGTCCCTGGGCAAGGCACTTCATCCACATTATTCTCATTCCACCCAGCTGTTCAATGGGAACAATGAGAAGCGGATGTACGGACCTATACGGTCGCGTGAAGCACTTAGTAGCAGCTTTGAAAGTACAATTCCGTCAGGGTAATAATGTAATGCCAGAGAGCAGCATCGTGTTGGATTCTAGGCGTAAAAATTAGCATTATTATTATGTTTTACAGATTAAAGATAGTATGCAGCAGAGAGGGTTCAGCTGATCCTGGCACAGTCAGGCTGGTAAGGCTCATCATCAGCTCAGGGCCCTTGCCCCCTCTACACGCAGCCCAGACAGCGAATGGGACTTCTCCCAGGAAACGCTGCCTAGTCGAACCCACCAAGAACTTTCCGGAGAATATGAAGGCTCCCAAACACTGCAGCCTTCTGAATTACCCAGAGTGTCAGAAGGGCTGTTCTCCCGGGCTGGAGAACCAAACCAAGGGCACCGAGAACAATGAGGAGCCTGGCACTCTGCAAATGAGACCTGATCTGCTTCAGGCGAAAGTCTGGAAGAGATCAGGAGGTACCAAACCAAGGGCACCGAGAACAATGAGGAGCCTGGCGACAGTGTGCCAAACTTGGGATGATAAGCAGTAATTTTTTAAAGGCATATTAGGTTGAGTTGAGACATTTCATATAGTGTTTATAAGAACAAGTCTGCATCAATGTAGGTCCGTACGATATCTTAGTGTCGGAGTTATTGCCCTTTGGAAGTTGGTCAATTTTGGATATTTATCATGCTTTTCCTGAATCTTATTATTAGGTTATTATTATTATTTTTATTATTCGCATTAGGAATTACATACAATGATGGTACTATAGTTCACCTTATAGGACAAGCTAATGCACATGTAGAGAAGCAAGAAATACAAACATAATGCCAGGGTATAATCAAATAACGTATTCATGAAATAAAAATGAAATGTCATGTGTAATAAATTTGCAGCAGGCAAGCAGCAAAAATGTTTGTAGTAATTCTATACTGTAGAATTTAGACTTAGGCATTATTGATTCTTGGGATGAAAGATTTTTATGACTACATTTTGTTTTCATATTGAAACAATTATTGTAATGATTTGATATAATGGACCTGAAGACAGGGATAATATTACATTGTAGCCACAAGGTTTCAGAAGTGAGTGTGTTTGTAGCTGTTCATGTCAAAAAAAGATGATTTGCAACTTCTGAATGAACTATTTTTCACATACAAGGCATTTAAAATGGTTTGATTTTGTAGTTAAGACATATTTGCTATCTGCATTTTTAGCAAACAGTTGCTTGTATTAAAAGGTTTGATAACTTCAGTGATTTGGGGGAGCCCCCAGGACTTTGTGTTGATGAGGTTTCCCAGTAAAACACATAAATATACCTGCAGCTGTTCATTGTCTTCAACAAATATTGATTAAATTGTAAAATTAAATCTTCCTTGTTGTTAATAGCAATGTCAATGGCAACCTAACCTCAGATTGAATTGGAGTTGACTTGAATCTGTAATGTCATTGAATTTGAAAAAGTGTGTGATGTTTTTGTAGTTAAATGGAAAGATCCGGAATTATCTTCAAACTGTGACAGTTGTCCTCCACTCCTCAGACCTGACAGCTTCTCAGTGTGAACTCGGATGTTAGTTAATGGTGTCCCAAGCTGTGTTCTGTGACACACTTACTGGTTCCATGGGGATTTGGGGTTAAAGTAGCTCCAGCAAACATGCTTGTCGTAAGAGGCAAACGAATAAGTTGATCAGGTGACTTTGCTGATTTACATCATCATACCTCGACATCATGCATCACAATATCTATTATTGGATTGTCTGGTTCCGACTTGATTATTTACAGGCTGCCATTTTACAGCTTGGCTGTTCGTGAGGGCTGTGTTAAGCAACAAACAAACTAACGGGCTTTCACGTTCACCTTTGTAGTTGTAAGACAGTTAGATGAAGTAATGACCCATGAAGAACTAGGTTAGAATTGGTCTTCAGCAACGCTACTAGTCGTAAGAGGTGATTAATGAAATTGGGTCATCACACACGTGACTTTGTTGATGTATCTCATCATATCCCACTTGCCTAAATGCTGCTCATGATGTAAGTCACTGGATTGTCTGGTCCAGACTTAATCACTTACAGACCTCCATCACAAATATGGAACATTGCTAAATGCTGCGTTAAATGCTAATCAAACGAACAGGTGAAGTAACGACCTTCAACTAATATTTAACAAGAGTCATCAGAAGATGACAAATCCCCCCAACCCCCCAAAATTTGCAAGAACAAATCAACTGACAGTTGCTTAAAGTCCAACTTGATTTTTTTGGACTAAGTCCAAAATGTTTGAGGAAACCTAGAAAAATAAAAATGACAAAAACCTGCAAATAGCAAAAGACACCACTTTAGCTTCTGTTCGATATATCTACCAAGTCTAGCTTATGTTTGATATATCAACCAAGTCTTGAAGAAAGATATTGAATGGTTTTCGAGTTGTGCTCCAGAAACGAAGGTTACCCCTCCCTTTTGAGACTACGTTCAAATAGTTTCAATGGAAACCAATCAAAATAAAAATGACAAAAATCTGTAAATAGCAAAAGGCACCCCTTCAGGTTCTCTTTGATATATCTACCAATTTTTGTTGAAAAATATTGAATGTTTTTTTAGTTATGCTCTGGAAACAAATGATTACGGACGGACATTACATGCTGATGGGATAACAAAGTTGTCATGGTTTTTCATCCAGATTATTAATTTATAATTACAGTTTAGTAATGTCAACCACTCACTTGTAATGACCTGGTCTGTACATACAGAAGGAAGTGTTCATTGCAATAGGGCATTTGTATGGGAATTAATGCATCAGTAGGGCAATGGATGTAATATCTAGAAAACAAACACACTGTGGCATGTTCCTTAGGCAGACACACAAATGATCCATTAATTAGAGCTAATCTGTCGGACTGTATGTCGTCATAGCAACATTATCAGGCACACTCCATTTCATCGTCAAACATCTTTCGGATTTTGGTTGTCGTTGGTTACCATAATTGATGTAAAGATGGATGGAAGTGATGTTTGGTCCATATTGACCAGAAGCAATGAAGAATTGCTCAATCAGGGATAGAGTGAAATCTTGCTTTTATTCCATGAACAAAAAGGGAATACAATATTGTAAGATAAGAACTTTGACTTTGTTGCAAGGTTTGGAACACCTGTTCATGCAGTCATCCTATTTATTGTGTCTGTGATTTATGGCTTTAATTCTTTGTCCCCTGATTCTGGAAGTTATTTGTCGTATCCCACACAGTTGCTCAAACAGCAACAGAACAATGGAATCTGTCTCTACCAGACTTGCTTGGTACCAACAATTTCAGACAATTTCGGCAACTGTCCAATCATTTGTTTTGCCCTATCCTGTGATCAAATTTGTGTCTTGTTTGTAAACTTATTCCCAAAACAGAACAAACAAACCTAACTCTAACCTTTTGCTGCAGTTTAAATATTATTTTGTATGATTATTTTCAATTCTGATTTTCAATTTGTTTTGGTCAAGCATTTGTGAATAAGAATGCCATAAAGTATTTATATCTGTGAAGCATGTTATATTATGGCACCATGTCAGGGGCGGATACAGCTTTTTGATAAAGGGGGGATGCACACTATTGAGAAAAGGAGGGGTGCACACTTCATTTTCACCCGAGTTTCAATGGTCATTTAACAAACTTTCAGCACAAAAGGGGTGGGGGTGGGGGTGGACCCCCCCTGGATCCACCTATGCATGTCAAATCTCTGTGCTGTTAGTATTTGCAGAGTGGGTGTGATAACACCAGTTACTCATTCCAAAGCTTATACAGTAAACTATGATTATTACATTGACTGATTGATTGTTGTTTAATGCCGCAATCAACATATTCCAGCTATGACTCTGGACCAGATAATCCAGTGATCAACAGCATGAACATTGATCTACGCAATTCAGACCACCCGATTCCGATAGTCGCCTCTTAAGACAAGCATGGGTTACTGAAGACCAATTCTAACACAGATCTTCATTTGTCATGTTTATAACAAACAAATGGATATAACAAATGAATTAAAATAATCCCTTAGAATTTGTCACAACTATGGTTGACTGTATATTTAGAAAGCCTCTGTAGGTAATAGATGTGTTTTTGTGCAGTATAGACATGGTACTAAGTATCTATGTTCTCTGTTTTGTCCGATGTGGCTATAAATTTAAACTTACTTACTAACTCTCTGTTTTGTCCGATGTGGCTATAAATTTGAACTTACTTACTAACTCTGTTTTGTCCGATGTGGCTATAAATTTAAACTTACTTACTAACTCTCTGTTTTGTCCGATGTGGCTATAAATTTGAACTTACTTACTAACTCTCTGTTTTGTCTGATGCAGCTATAAATTTGAACTTACTTACTAACTCTCTGTTTTGTCCGATGCGGCTATCAATTTAAACTTACTTACTAACTCTCTGTTTTGTCCGATGTGGCTATAAATTTAAACTTACTTACTAACTCTCTGTTTTGTCCGATGTGGCTATAAATTTAAACTTACTTACTAACTCTCTGTTTTGTCCGATGTGGCTATAAATTTGAACTTACTTACTAACTCTCTGTTTTGTCCGATGTGGCTATAAATTTAAACTTACTTACTAACTCTCTGTTTTGTCCGATGGCTATAAATTTAAACTTACTTACTAACTCTGTTTTGTCCGATGTGGCTATAAATTTGAACTTACTTACTAACTGTCTGTTTTGTCCGCTATGGCTATAAATTTGAACTTACTTACTAACTCTCTGTTTTGTCCGATGTGGCTATAAATTTAAACTTACTTACTAACTCTCTGTTTTGTCCGATGTGGCTATAAATTTGAACTTACTTACTAACTCTCTGTTTTGTCCGATGTGGCTATAAATTTGAACTTACTTACTAACTCTCTGTTTTGTCCGAATGGCTATAAATTTGAACTTACTTACTAACTCTCTGTTTTGTCCGATGTGGCTATAAATTTAAACTTACTTACTAACTCTCTGTTTTGTCCGATGTGGCTATAAATTTGAACTTACTTACTAACTCTCTGTTTTGTCCGATGTGGCTATAAATTTAAACTTACTTACTAACTCTCTGTTTTGTCCGATGTGGCTATAAATTTGAACTTACTTACTAACTCTCTGTTTTGTCCGATGTGGCTATAAATTTAAAAACTTACTAACGAACTCTGTTGTCCGATGTATAAATTTAAACTTACTTACTAACTCTCTGTTTTGTCCGATGTGGCTATAAATTTGAACTTACTTACTAACTCTCTGTTTTGTCCGATGTGGCTATAAATTTAAACTTACTTACTAACTCTCTGTTTTGTCCGATGTGGCTATAAATTTGAACTTACTTACTAACTCTCTGTTTTGTCCGATGTGGCTATAAATTTGAACTTACTTACTAACTCTCTGTTTTGTCCGATGTGGCTATAAATTTGAACTTACTTACTAACTCTCTGTTTTGTCCGATGTGGCTATAAATTTGAACTTACTTACTAACTCTCTTTTTTGTAAGGATTGTCCCAGAAACCTTCAAGAATGCTAATGTCATCTGCATCATTTTTAACAGTGAAAAATCCTGTTATGTTCAACATCTATGAAAACAAACGCCAGCTGCTATCTGATGTGAATTCTTGTGTAATGCTAAAAGGGTTGAACTACAAATGAATGAGTCTGTTTGATGACAGATACGTGTGTATGTATTCAGAAGTGTCCGACTTTAACCAAGCATCGACAACTGCCATTTCGCTACTCCTTATAACATCCAACAGGCTTTTACCACTGTGCACCTGACAGTCAGTTGTCAGGCTACGATCACTGTGACACAGTTGGTCCTTGTTGGCATTGAGAGTGATCAAACCTCATTGTGGTACTCAAGATTAATGGCTTCTATTTTGGATGTTCTTGTTTGTAAGGGACCATACCGTCTTGTATTCATTGTTTAAAGACTTCAATCTTGAATAGAATTGTGCAGTATGTTCAGAGCCTCTAACGCAAGTAGGTCTTTCTTCTGAAGTGAGATGGGCACTGTTTAAATATAGAATACCCAGTGCAAAGTCCCAATCTTGACTATCCTCAGAAATAAATTCCGTTTGGTGTATGGGAAAAAATAACTGAAAATGATAGAAATGGATCACTGAAAATCTGTGATGACGCCAGGCATTCAAGAAAAGGTTGAGCAAGACCTGTCCTACCTGTATCACCCAAATCACAAATTTTTCTGAAGTTGATAATTTCAAGTGATAGTTTTGGTTTAAGTATTTGTTAAACAGGGGCGGATACAGCTTTTTGAAGGGGGTGTGGGGTGTGTGCACAGTTCATTTTCACCCGTTATTACGAAAGTTTCAATGGTCATTTGATAAATTTACAGGACAAATCCCTGCACAACACCCCTTCTGGATCCACCTATGTTTATTAACATTTCATGTAGAATGTGACTTCGACTTCCACTTCATGTTGTATTTCCACTTTGGAGCCTATCACGGACGCCATCTTGGTTTCCCCTTCAAAGACACAAGTCAAGAGTGGATAACTGCTGCCATTTGTGTCATAAGCTTGTCGTGGTTGTCGTGGTGCAAGCAGTTTTTCTGAGGATGTTTGAGAGAGCGACAGCTTCAGCATGTTTGCAATGATAAGGTTATAAATCTTCTCTGCTCTGGATATGACCAAACACGTTCTCAGGACCTCTACTTAGTGCAGTCATATGAAACTCTAGTGGTCTATTGAGCTTATCGAATCAAATGACCTTTTAGACAAGTGACATGATTCATTGAGAATGATTTTTGTTCTGGTCTAAATGTTTTCTGATCAACTGTTGTGTTGAGGGTGTACCCTGTAATGTTAAAGGTATGCTCTGTAATGTTGAGAGAATGTTCTGTAACCACAATGATTTTTAAAAGGTTTTAATGGAGCTCAGTCAGGCCAAGACACTGTGGTGATGTCATTAGAATAGGTCTCCAGCAACCTAATTTCTTCTCATGAGAAGCAAGTGTATGGATTACTAGAGTTGGGTATTGCGATATATTGTGATATGTGTTGGCGTATTGCAATATGTATTGCAATATATTGTGAAAGTGTAACACATGGATTTAGGGTAATGAAATGACTGTTTCCTTTCTTTTGAAACAATGCCACTGGCCACTGTCAGAACTCAGATGTGATTTTACAAGATATCAATTGAAAATGTTTCCAAATTGAAGACTTCACTTAAAAAGCATCAGCAGCCGCGTCCGCCATTTTGATTTGTGTATCCCAACAACAAGTGCCCATTCTAAGTAAACTTAGGCTCAGAATTATTTGTTACACTGCTTATAGTCTAACAAAGCCTAGTAGAAGGTCGCGTCAGGTAACCTTTTCAATTGACCAATCAGAACACAGCTTACCAAATCGCGAAATTACATACCTTTTGAACTTTTACCTTGAAAAGGTTTGTACCCGAATGATTCGAATGCTATTTTCTGTACGATCGGTTCCTAGTGATGGACGCCACAGCAGTGAGTAAACAGTCACTAAACTGTCAGTATTCAAGCATGTGAGCTTGCGAAAATATTAGCTAATGATAACCATGTCAACAGAAACCCCAAAGCGTATATACTGCAGTTCTAATATCTGTGCTTTATTTTCATTTGTTGGGAGATCAGTGTTGGCAACCGGAGAAGAGAAAATCCATTTTGTAAGTCCGCCGAACCAACAGTAGCTGTTGTCTGATTGGTTAAGTCGCGTTGGCTGTCTCGCGTTTGATTGGACGGTCATAGGTCACTCAAAGGTTACCTGATGCGACCTTCTACTAGGGTTTGTTAGACTCAGTATAGCAGTGTAGTGAATAATACTGAGTCTAAGTTTACTTAGACTGAACGAGTGCCAGTACCAATTCTATTTTGTTTTATTTATATAGTTTAAAAGTCATGCAAATGCAATTATATGACCAATAAACATTCTTAAATCTATTAATGTATCGTAATATAAAGGAAATACAAATGTTATTAGTGTTTTTGACTATGTCAAAAATTACCGATCATGGTCACGGAAATTGCCGATCGTATCGGCTGAACCAGTTCGCGAAAAATGTACTGCAATATGCCATATTGTGAAGTTCAAATTGCAATTTACCGGTTAACCAGTATTATCGCCCCCCCTATCGATTACGTGGTCAGGCTCAGTGACTTTGTTAAATGCAGGTCATCGTATGTATCTCACCAATTATGTATCTTATGGTTATGATATCATTTAATATCAATTTTCTGATACCAGAGCTACAGATAACTTTTTTGTGTTCATCTCAATTGGGTATCCAAATTTTCTTTGAGTAACCAAATAAATTGTACTCAGCTCACTCAAACTCATTTGAGTATTTTGCCATTTTCAATTAATTTTAAAAATATAATAAAGTTTAAATGTTAGTGTTTGCTATTTATATTTGATCTGCAAGTTGTCAAGTTCATGTCCTGAAATAGAACCACTCAATATACCTCAGTTATTTTATCTGTCCACCGGTACGCAAGCTAGGATTTGACATTTTTGTGTGTACGCATGTGAGATCACATTTATTGAGTATTTACAAAAATTCAAGCGTACTTTTATGCAATAGACTTAATAGGAATTGAGTTTTCACATAAATATTTGTGTAATTTATGGAGATACGCAGCTTATTTGTACCTCTGGATGCAGACAAGTTGCCATCATATATCTGGAATATCATGGAGTGCAGTTTTAAACAACTAACAGCATGACCTGATGGACTAGTGAGGCAGTGATGTTTTTGAATGCATTAAAGTGTGGAATGCAAAGATTATCATGAATCTGTGTGGTGGGGTAGCCTAGTGGTTAAAGCTTGACAAAGACCCTGGTTTGATTCCCCACATGGGTCCAATGTGTGCAGCTCATTTCTGGTGTCCCTCGCCACGATATTGCTGGACTATTGCTAAGAACAGCATGAAACCCAACTCACTCACTGAGGGTACAGGATATTTGTATTTTCTCAACAAAGAAATGTCTGTATCATCCATTGACTTGAAAGAGTTAATATGACTACTTTTGGTGCACAGCAGTACAAATACACAAATGGTGAGTGCAGTTGCAAATGCTAACTATTGTGTTACATTTGACAGAGGGGCGGTGGGGTAGCCTAGTGGTAAAAGCATCCACTCGACACACTGAAGACCTGGGTTCGATTTCCCACGTGGGTACAATGTGTGAAGCCCATTTCTGGTGTCCCCCCGCCATGATATTGCTGGAGTATTGCTAAAAGTAGTGTAAAACCATACCCACTCAGATATATTCAAGTGATGGTTCCGCACACACACATATCTATAGCTACTGTCAAGCCTCACACCATTTGTTAGATAAATACATTGCCTGACATGTCCCTGAGAGCTCCTTTAACTGGCAGCATATGGATATAGATTCTAACACCACTTTGTTATGAAATCATTAAAAATGCATGAGCACATGTTTAAAAGTTTCACAAGTACAAGACAGAATGTCTCAATTTGATACGGTCAGTCATTGGTGCGATGACAATTGACAGAATTGCAGACAGAATTGCCGCCGGAGACCGCGGCTCTTGATGAATGGCCAGCTCTTACGGATGTGGTATCACTGAGTGGGTCTTTCAGCAGGGATTGCTGTGGCGCGACTATTTACACAGTATGGGAACATTTCCAACCACTCATGCTAAGAGATTGACATTTAACAATCTGAAGGCGTAGAAGTAGACTGTGATTTTTCATTGAAACAAAATATATCTTTTTCAGTCAGCATTTCAAAATATACGGGGAAAAAAGTTAGGGATCATAGATAATAAGGGGATATTTTCATGCTTCAGTATGAAAATAAATCAGCAACATGGTCCCTTTTTTTTTCAATTTTCAGTGTTGTGGAAATATATTCTCAGAAACACAGATAATTACAGTTTCAATAGCACCCACTGCAATTATATTTCAAAGAGTCAAGCATGTTCTGTTAGCAATCTTCTTTTTCAGCCTTCTTCATTGAAATGTTTTATGCAATTCCAAGGCAGAATATCAAACGGCCACCACAAACCTTTTGTAGTGAATGAGTGAGTGAGTTCTAAGTTTTACCCCACACTCAGCAATATTCCAGCTATATGGCGGCGGTCTGTAAATAATCTAATCTGGATCAAACAATCCAGTGATCAACAGCATGAGCATCAATCTGCGCAACTGGGAACCGATGACATGTGTCAACCAAGTCAGCGAGCCTGACCACCCAATCCCGTTAGTTGCCTCTTACGACAAGCATGGGTTACTGAAGATCAATATTCTAACCTGGACCTTCACTGGTCAAACCTTTTGTATAGTTAAAGACGTGTCTGAAAACTCTCAATAGATTTGTATGTGACCAGCCATATAAGATATGAAATTCAAGCAGTAGGTATTCCAGAAAAATGTTGTACTTAGATATTTTTTATTTATTGCAGACAAGCAAACAAAATGCCACAAATGAACCCTTGGTATTCGGGAGATTTGACCCCTATAGGAAAGATCTGAATCTTGATATACCTTTACAGACAACTGACAGGTAAGGCTGAAATATGAAAGAACTATACTTTGATGTATTTGGTAGTAAGGATTGCATGTTGATATTCTTTGTATGAAGGTGAATTATACTTTTATGTCCCTGTCTACTATATCTACCCGTTCATGTCTCCTGTTTGAAAGAGTGACCGTTTGATGTCTCCTGTATGAAAGAGTGACACTTTGATGTCTCCTGTCTACTATAGTGACACATTGATGTCTCCTGTCTACTAAAGTGACAGTTTGATGTCTCCAGTATGAAAGAGTGACACTTTGACGTCTCCTGTCTACTATAGTGACACTTTGACGTCTCCTGTTTACTATAGTGACACTTTGATGTCTCCTGTCTACTATAGTGACAGTTTGATGTCTCCTGTATGAAAGAGTGACACTTTGACGTCTCCTGTCTACTATAGTGACACTCTGATGTCTCCTGTATGAACTAGTGACACTTTGATGTCTCCAGTATGAAATAGTGACACTTTGACGTCTCCTGTATGAAAGAGTGACACTTTGACGTCTCCTGTCTACTATAGTGACACTTTGATGTCTCCTGTCTACTATAGGGACACTTTGATGTCTCCTGTCTACTATAGTGACACTTTGATGTCTCCTGTCTACTATAGTGACACTTTGATGTCTCCTGTCTACTGTAGTGACACTTTGACGTCTCCTGTCTACTATAGTGACACTTTGATGTCTCCTGTCTACTATAGTGACACTTTGAAATCTCCTGTCTACTATAGTGACACTTTGATGTCTCCTGTCTACTATAGTGACACTTTGACATCTCCTGTCTACTAGAGTGACTCTTTGATGTCTCCTGTCTACTATAGTGACACTTTGATGTCTCCTGTCTACTATAGTGACACTTTGATGTCTCCTGTTTACTATAGTGACACTTTGATGTCTCCTGTCTACTATAGTGACACTTTGATGTCTCCTGTCTACTATAGTGACACTTTGATGTCTCCTGTATGAATGAGTGACACTTTGACATCTCCTGTCTACTATAGTGACACTTTGATATCGCCTGTCTACTATAGTGACACTTTGATGTCTCCTGTCTACTATAGTGACACTTTGATGTCTCCTGTTTACTATAGTGACACTTTGATGTCTCCTGTCTACTATAGTGACACTTTGATGTCTCCTGTCTACTATAGTGACACTTTGATGTCTCCTGTCTACTATAGTGACACTTTGACATCTCCTGTCTACTATAGTGACACTTTGACGTCTCCTGTCTACTATAGTGACACTTTGATGTCTCCTGTCTACTATAGTGACACTTTGACATCTCCTGTCTACTATAGTGACACTTTGATGTCTCCTGTCTACTATAGTGACACTTTGATGTCTCCAGTATGAAAGAGTGACACTTTGATGTCTCCTGTCTACTATAGTGACACTTTGATGTCTCCAGTATGAAAGAGTGACACGTTGATGTCTCCTGTATGAAAGAGTGACACTTTGTCATCTCCTGTCTACTATAGTGACACTTTGATGTCTCCAGTATGAAAGAGTGAAACTTTAAAGTCTTCGATGGGGATAAACAGGCAAACCATTATTATTTTGCATAGATAAGGGTTCTTAAATCACCATTTCATGAGAGCATTCAGTTGTTGCTTTTATGCTGGCTTAGCTTCCTAATATTGATCTCAGGAACATAGATTAAAAGATGAAAGTATCAGCAACATTCACAAGTTATTTATTTCTTTACTTTATAAAAACATTATCTTTGAAATGCCATGATGAAAGTCATTATGAGAGTCTAATTTAATTAGAGAAAAAAGGAAGAAATATTTGCAAAATGCACTGATCACTAAATTTATGGTCTTACATTAAAAGCAATTTGTCACATCTGTCAAGGGAACAGCCTCAATGAAATGACAATTACTAGCTTTCATCTTGAAGTGGAATGCTTGTTTCAGAGATTCAGTACAGAGGATTCACATAGTCTTCGTGGACGAACTTGGAAATACCACAGAGTTGTTTTCCTACAACATCACACGGGCAAATTATGTCGACAATAATGTTGCCATTGTTTGGTCAGGCATCTCATCTGAAAACGTTGCCAGATTAGAGGTACAGTATTAAAAACTTGCATGTTTCTATTTATTTGCGTGTTGTGTTTAAGCACAATCATTCCTTCATTGAATACATTGTGGTTATTTGCTCCTGGAATGATTGAAACTTTACTAAAACAGCCATTGAATGTATGTGAATCTCATGATTGGATGGCATTCAGTGGTTTTATTTGTCATTAACTGTTTCAAAGGCATGTTCCATGTAATCAAATATTTGTGTTCGTAAGTCCATCCACATAATTTTCAGTGGCATGCCTGTCAAAGATCAAGATCATAGCATCATTTTGAACAATTGTATCAATTGTTGCTGGAGGTGAGGTGAGGTGAAATTGGGTTTAACGTCGTGCTTGAGAATGCGTGTGTATGTGTAGGTGCGGCTGCTTGTACTAGCCCAGACTGAAGCTAATTTTATAGTGCTAGCCCACTGAGATACTATGCCGCAGTGAAGCATGATTACCCCACTCAGACACATTATACTGACTCCGAGCCGACCAGTCCTTATTGTACCCATTAATGCCGAGAGCCAGGCAGGGACCAACAAGTACCATATTTTAACGTCTTTTGGTATGACACGGTCGGGGCTCGAACCCGCGACCTTCCGCTCTCCGGGCAGATGCTCTAACCACTACACCACGGAGGCGGTCAATTGTTGCTGGAATTCCATATTCAAGTTTGCAGGAGGGAATGTACCAGGTAATGTTCATAAACAGCAGATGATCATACTGGTTCTGTTTTTGCATTGGACATCTTTATATATTTTAGGAACAGGAACCTAATTCAAATAACAGAATATCCAAATATCTACTTTTCTTAAAGAACAATCTGGGGGTGCTTCTATCATTGCATAAATCAGATAAATTGGCTCACTCTGATGTCAAATGAACTCTGGAAGTCAGCCTTAACCATCATAACATGCTTTGTAAATGTCATACAGACAGTGAGTGAGTATTGTTTTATGTCGCTTTTAGCAATATTCCAGCAATATCACGGCGGGGACACCAGAAATGGGCTTCACACATTGTACCCATGTGGGGAATAGAACTCTGGTCTTTGTCGAGACGAGCGAACGCTTTAACTACTAGGCTACCCCACACGCCCCTCATACAGGCAGTAGTAAGTTTTGATAAAAGGTTTGACTTTCTTTGACTCCACTGTAATAGGGACAGGGATCAATAAGCAGGGAAGATTCTTCAAAGTAATCATGAAGCAACTTGATTTATGGTGTATCAGGTCACTGTGACCTAATAGCTTGTCATATACTACACACATAGGCGCCTGACTTGTTTACTTCCGGGCATATGTCCTGACTTCGTGCGAGAATGGACGGCAAAATTATTGAAAGCTTTAAATGAGAATAAAATCACCAGGTTAGTGATACGCAAGGTACTTTACAGAGGTCAACTGAGCATAAATTGTACAGTTTATTCAACGGTCAAAGCGATGGAAGCGTTTGTCAGACCGAAACCGAACTGAGCCTGCCGCCATTTTGTTTCGATTTACTGACACACCTTTCTTATATCTTATATATATAGGTCATACTTATAAATATATCAGAGTCGGGCGCGCCTATGACTACACAGAATCTGCTAAAGAACATAGTATAGAGAAAGTGACCCAAGAAATATAGATTGAAATATCTTGGTTAAGAAACAATACAGTAACCTCAATATGACTTTAATTTCATTGTGAAGTGACAGAGACATGCAGTCAATGGCAGGATGAGCACAGAAAACCTGCATTCAGATGTATCTTGACAAAACAACAAGGTTTTCTACCGAGGATTACATCAACTGAATGTATTCATAACCCCTCAGAGTCAATGATGTTGCTTGATGACCACGAAATAGGGCAGATGCTTTGATTGGTTGGTTGGTTGGTTGGTTGTTTAACGCTGCACTTAGCAATATTCGAGATATATTGCAGCGGTCTGGATCAGACAATCCAGTGATCAACATCATTAGCATCAAATCTATGTAATTGGGCTACGGTGACATGTGTCAACCAAGTCAGCGAGCCTGACCACCTGATCCCATTAGCTGCCTCTTACGACAAGCATGGGTTACTGAGGACCAATTCTAACCCGGGTCGTTACGAGTTGGCAGATGCTCTGAACCTGGTCAACATCTCGTGACACTACAAACATCATTTGACTCGGCAAAAGTGTGATCGGTAAGGACATGGAATTGGTACTTGTTGTTTGGATCAGTTTCCCAGTGACATGCAGATGGTCGACAGTGTTTCACCACACAGCAAGTAGTTGCTTTTATGTGAGAGACGATCAATTTTTTTTCATGTTTCATGTTTTGAGAGCATTTCAGTTCTGGTCACATACTCTCATTTTGATGGATGAACTGACTGATTACTGATCAAATGTTGTTTGTTCCTTAAACATTTCTTCTACTGATATGTTTTTGACTATTTGAACAGATGCACACAAATTGATGCAACCCTTGTTTTGATCCTTAGCAATCTGTGAGTAGAATACCTCATCTCCCAGTTTTACCAGTGTCCATGATTGTTCGAAGGCGTGTACAAATAAGGACAATATTGTTTTAATCCTTAGCAATCTGTGAGTAGTATACCTAATCTCCCAGTGTTACCAGTGTCCATGATTGTTTGAAGGCATGTACAAATAAGGACAGGATTGTTTTGATCCTTAGCAATCTGTGAGTAATAACCTAATCTTCCAGTGTTATCAGTGTCCATGATTGTTCGAAGGCGTGTACAAATAAGGACAAGATTGTTTTGATCCTTAGCAATCTGTGAGTAGTATACCTAATCTCCCAGTGTTACCGGTGTCCATGATTGTTCAAAGGCGTGTGCAAATAAGGACAGGATTGTTTTGATCCTTAGCAATCTGTGAGTAGTATACCTAATCTTCCAGTGTTATCAGTGTCCATGATTGTTCGAAGGCGTGTACAAATAAGGACAAGATTGTTTTGATCCTTAGCAATGTGTGAGTAGTATACCTAATCTCCCAGTGTTACCAGTGTCCATGACAAAGGCGTGTACAAATAAGGACAGGATTGTTTTGATCCTTAGCAATCTGTGAGTAGTATACCTAATCTCCCAGTGTTACCAGTGTCCATGATTGTTTGTACAAATAAGGACAGGATTGTTTTGATCCTTAGCAATCTGTGAGTAGTTTACCTAATCTCCCAGTGTTACCAGTGTCCATGAGGACAATAAGGACAGGATTGTTTTGATCCTTAGCAATCTGTGAGTAGTTTACCTAATCTCCCAGTGTTACCAGTGTCCATGATTGTTCGAAGGCGTGTACAAATAAGGACAGGATTGTTTTGATCCTTAGCAATCTGTGAGTAGTTTACCTAATCTCCCAGTGTTACCAGTGTCCATGATTGTTCGAAGGCGTGTACAAATAAGGACAAGATTGTTTTGATCCTTAGCAATCTGTGAGTAGTATACCTAATCTCCCAGTGTTACCAGTGTCCATGATTGTTCAAAGGCGTGTACAAATAAGGACAGGATTGTTTTGATCCTTAGCAATCTGTGAGTAGTATACCTAATCTTCCAGTGTTACCAGTGTCCATGATTGTTCGAAGGCGTGTACAAATAAGGACAAGATTGTTTTGATCCTTAGCAATCTGTGAGTAGAATACCTAATCTCCAAGTGTTACCAGTGTCCATGATTGTTCGAAGGCGTGTACAAATAAGGACAGGATCGTTTTGATCCTTAGCAATCTGTGAGTAGGATACCTAATCTCCCAGTGTTACCAGTGTTGATTGTTGTAAGTGCTTGACCTGTCACACGGTGGAGGTCTGGTAATGATATCAACCACTGGGTCACCAGAGGGCATTATGTACAGCCTGCAGTGATATGGAGGGAATAATGTAGTGTAAAATGTCAGTCATCCAGATTAGATTTGATTTCTTTTGAAACGTCTGTATGTTACTTGGTCACCGGGACCTACTTTTGATGTGCAATATTTAGCTCACCTGAATAAAGTCAAGAGGGTTTGCATCCTGCCGTTTTATCTGTTGTCAGATGTGCAGTTAGTCATTTTCTCTTCAAGTGGACAAATCTCCTTAGAAACACATTGGACCAATAAAGGTGTAACTTCGCGTACTTGTTCCGACCACTAATAACAGCCCTATTTGTTCGAAATGTATGAATATAATGCTCAATTCAGTCACCACTGCAGGCATATCAATACACCTTTTAAAGGCCATTACACAGCTATATTTGTTCGAAATGTTTAAAATAGGTACAATGTAGTCAGTAGTCAATTTTTTTATGTTTTTGCTTTATTTTAAATTTTGACTTTTGACTTTGATCTGACCTGTTCTAGTTGACCATACTGAAATACAAAACATCTTATATGGCCATTGCTCACCCTTTTTTCTTCAAAACCATTGTGCCTTTAATACATATGTGGTTAGTAGTAGGGCTCATTGTATATGTTCTGTTTGGTTTTTCATTTCAGAAATTTTGACCATATTCGACCATGGTCTTTAATCCCCTCAAAAGACTCATTTTCTTGTGTAATCTGTTTCTCCTCTGAAGTTGCCAGATTGAGGCTATTGAACTTTTGGTGTGCATAATTTCATGGTATCATGACTTCATATTTTGTTTATTTCATTAGACTTTACCAATGCCGACAGCAACTTTTTTCCAGTGGCTGTGTGTTTTTGTTGTAAGATTATTCAATACATATCCAGCTGAGCTACAGTGCCTTGGGACTACTTTTGCATGACTATAATGTGCCTATATTATTAGATTCAGTTCTTTTATTGAAGCTCTAGTCTGTATATTATTTTTTCAGAGTGCTGATTTAACAGTGGTGGTAACATTCAAAGAAGGAGAAAGGAATGGCACTCTTAAGCTATCTAAGGAGGTATGTGTAAGAAACATATAATTATTTGTTGTTTGTTACATTGAAACGTTTGTTCTGTTTTAACCAAAGAAATTGTTCTCACATTTTAAGAATCTTACATGGCCTTTTAAAAAACTTTGCAATCTTGTTATAAATCTGTCTGGAATGCTTTTTGGAATGTTATGCTGACAGAATGATTTATAAATAAGGCTTTGTTCTGAAACAGACTTTCAGTTAAAATACCCAAATGTCAAAAGAATAACCGGTTAAAAAATACCCCCTAAAATTGTAGAAACCAAATCAAAATCACACTCAAATACACAAAAACTTACCTGGAACCTATGAATATATTAGACTATATTTTACAGGGTTCTAAGTTGTACAGGTTTGATGTGGGATATTATCTCAGATATTACCTTAAGTAATATTATACAATTCTAGACATTTCAGGAGGACAGTGCCTGTGTTATGGACTCGGCAATATTGACCAAGGTCGTAGTAATTCAAGTGAATATCGTAAATTATCAGACTTGGGATTGAGGCAGTATGAATTTCTTCAGACTGTCATCTGATCACTTCTCAGCCAATGAAAATAAGGGAGAATTTTCCTTTTCATAAAAGTACTGCTAATATATGTTTTAAGTGAATGTTCACTTGAATTAATTGAAATCATAGATTTGAAGATTTGACAAAATGTTCAAAGATCATTAAGAACGACAACACCATTGTATTCAAGTATTGGATAGATGACCTGTTGTGATGTTACCATCAATGGATGTCTGAGTGAATGTTCACATGAATGAACTGAAATCATAGGTTTCTGGGAAATATGAATCTAAATTAGTACAGCTTGTTCAGCTTGACCTGATCAAGTGAATACTAATGCATTGTGTGACCGTGTCACAACTGGTTGGGTCTACTATTGTGAATGGGTGCACCTTTGTCAGGTGATTGTCAACAGGTCTGAATAGCCAAGACAAGGTCGCCTCTTGACATCTCAGTGTCGAGAAATTGTCAGCAATGTCACAACTTTCTTTAATCTTAAAAAAGAAGCTACATACGGTTTAATGTTTCTGATTCTGGCTTTTAGGCAGTGAGCAGCAGCATTAGTAACATCCTCTGCTCCCATATTTAATGAAGGTAGCTCGACCTGCCGTTTGTGCCATTTGACCTCCTGGGTCATGCATATGTACAGTAGCTCAGGTCAAGCTGAACAAGTTGTAGTAATTATTGTTCTGTCAACATACACTGTCATACAGAAGTAAAATGTTCAAAGAACTGTAAACATAACAAAACACAAAACACCATCATATTTAAGCCCTGGATAGTATGTTTTTATACAAAATGATGAATTTGGCATAAACACATATCTCAAAGTTTGATAAAGGTGAGCTTCAGAACTTCTAGTAATCATGTTTCCTCAGCCATCTACATGAGGAAGTTGAGTCTTCAGAACCACATGTCAAACAATATAGTCAATATTGTATCATTATGGAGCAAGGGTGGGCCAGCGGTTTAAGATGCCAGTTTATAATTAAATCCTGAATGCCTCAAGATGAGTATGTGGTGCATGCCAGCTGTTTCTAGTCTGTCATACCGACCCTGAGATACAAAACACAGCAAGTCCATAATACTTACTGGCTAGATTACTGTAGTCAGAAAACAAAGGGAATCTGTGGGCTCCTTTCTGTTATATTTTACTTAAATAATTCAGCAGCTATTTTTTCTGTAAAAGGCTTTCATTACAGAGACTAGATATTAGTTTTAACTGTTTCTTGAGAATCATATTATCAATAGTCATTAGTTTTTAGGTTTTATTGAAATTATGACCATAGTTCTACAAGCCAACACATCTTAAAATATTTTTGTCTGTGCAAGACTTTCATTACATATAGTCTGTTTGTAGTGAAAACGTACCGATGAATTTGACTCTATACAAAAAAGTAAATCGATTAAAGCGAAAATTAAGATTGCGAATCCTCATAATTTTACCTTGCCAATTGAAGATTCAAATCTCAGAATTTTATTCAACTTAGGATAAAAGTTGTTTAACAAACAATCATAGTTTCAAATTGCTATTATTGGTTTGGATTGCAAGGGGGTATGCACATTAGATGAAACACCGAGAACAAGTAGGGCTGGTCTAAGTTAACGCTCATCACGTACCGCACGTGCATTTGTTTCACTGTTCCATCTACTGCGCTTACCCCCTTGTAATACAAACCAATAATAGCGATTTAAATCTATGATTGTTTGTTAAACAACTTTTATCCCAAGTTGAATAAAATTCTGAGATTTTAAATGTTCATTTGGCAAGGTAAAATTATGAGGATTCGTAATCTTAATTTCACTTAATTTGATTTACTTTTTTGTTAAAAGTGAAATTCATGGGTACGTTTTCGCTGCAAACAGACTATAGAAAAGATTAGTTTAACTGTTTCTTAAGAACCATATTATCAATTTCATTAGTTTTTAGGTAATCGTAAATATGACCAATAGTAGTACAACCAACTCTTGTTTTTGCTAATTGCATGTGTCATGTGAAGATTGATGACAGCTAAACTGTTTTTTTCTTTGCAAGGAATAAGATTTTGCAAAGTCTAAATGATTTGTCTCCAAATTGTCCTTTTGAAATTTGAGCGGAGCTCCAGAGTCTGCAATGTTACTTCAGATTGTTGTTGCAATCAATATTTCCTGTGGAGAGATGACAACTAGATTTATTCAGAATTCACTTCAGCAGCAGTTTCAATTTCAATTTATGGCTCCTGCATTAGAACTGAAAACAAAGAAGTTTTCTAATTATGATATGACAGTTACACAACAGAACTGATAAACAGATAATCCTAATTTTCAGAACTAATGTTTGTATTACAGAAAGTAAGTAGTTGTAAATGACAGCAAGTTTCATGATTAACAATTTTTCTAAGCAATTTTCTAAAATTGTCATTTACAATTTTACTCTTGTTGCAGGATTTGAAATGATTTAAGGGTTTTCTTAAAAGAAAAAATGTTTCATATTATATCTGGAGTAATACCTATTGTGAAGAAAAGCAGTTTGTTATTAGTTATATGTAAACCATAGAAGATGTATTATGTTGTTTTGATCTCGTGCAGCACATATCAGAGTAATATTGTCTTCAGTCATCCAGATACTTTTGACTAAATCAGTTAATTTCTTACAAGGACAATTTTGATATTAATAAACTGAGAATACATCATGAAATTAAATTATGGACATTCTATCATAAAGCCAAAATATTCAGATAATCAAACATTTATTTAATATTAGATATAACAGGGTTAAATAAATAACAGATATTAAACTGGATTATTGTAAGATGAAAAATGTCAATGATAATAGAAACATGCTTTCCAAAATCAGATCTGTTGCCCTGATTTGATACCCTTCTTGTAGATCTGACAAATCTTCAACAGGAGATCTACTAAATCCTGTAAACTGTGGCCACAAAATCAGTATTATCACTGTCAGGTTTTGGAACCAAGTAGATTTTTGCTTTCTTAAACAATTGCACTGTTATTTATTTACCACAATGCTCAAGATTTAGCCCTACCGCTAAAAACGCCTTTTAGATGCCATTCTGCTGATACTGTTTTTGAGATACTAAAATCGCTTGGGATTCTTCATCTTGGAATTTAGATGTCTCTGTGCTGATTGGCTGTATTGAAAACTCAGTTGATGGTACTGTCATTGAAGATTTTGCAGATCATGATAGAGAATCGTATGAAATCATGGAAAGAAATGTGATGTTAATGAGTTTGTGACAGATGCATGTATCATTGTGTGACAGTGTGTCTCTGAATCAGTGTGATATTTGTTGGCACTGTGCTACCGAAGACTACTCTGGTCATGTTCATTTAGGCAGTGTACTTAGGTTAAGCTTTACAACCCATATCTACCGATAAACTATAATTGTTTTGTCTGGCTGCAGTTGATCAACTTTCATTCATTACATTATGGTTGTGAGAGGGGACATGGTATAAGGGTAACATGTACCAGAACTGATGAATGGGGTTGTTTGGCATAGGTTCAGATGGGAGTAACATGTACCATAACTGATGAATGAGGTTGTTGGGCATAGGTTCAGATGGGAGTAACATGTACCAGAACTGATGAATGAGGTTGTTTGGCATAGGTTCAGATGGGTGTAACATGTACCAGAACTGATGAATGGGGTTGTTGGGCATAGGTTCAGATGGGTGTAACATGTACCAGAACTGATGAATGAGGTTGTTTGGCATAGGTTCAGATGGGTGTAACATGTACCAGAACTGATGAATGAGGTTGTTTGGCATAGGTTCAGATGGGAGTAACATGTACCAGAACTGATGAATGGGGTTGTTGGGCATAGGTTCAGATGGGTGTAACATGTACCAGAACTGATGAATGAGGTTGTTGGGCATAGGTTCAGATGGGAGTAACATGTACCAGAACTGATGAATGAGGTTGTTGGGCATAGGTTCAGATTGGTGTAACATGTACCAGAACTGATGAATGAGGTTGTTGGGCATAGGTTCAGATGGGTGTAACATGTACCAGAACCAATGAATGGGGTTGTTGGGCATAGGTTCAGATGGGTGTAACCTGTTCCAGAACTAATGAATGGGGTTGTTGGGCATAGGTTCAGATGGGTGTAACATGTACCAGAACTGATGAATGAGGTTGTTTGGCATAGGTTCAGATGGGTGTAACCTGTTCCAGAACTGATGAATGGGGTTGTTGGGCATAGGTTCAGATGGGTGTAACCTGTTCCAGAACTGATGAATGGGGTTGTTTGGCATAGGTTCAGATGGGTGTAACATGTACCAGAACTGATGAATGGGGTTGTTGGGCATAGGTTCAGATGGGTGTAACATGTACCAGAACTGATGAATGAGGTTGTTGGGCATAGGTTCAGATGGGAGTAACATGTACCAGAACCAATGAATGGGGTTGTTGGGCATAGGTTCAGATGGGTGTAACCTGTTCCAGAACTGATGAATGAGGTTGTTGGGCATAGGTTCAGATGGGTGTAACCTGTTCCAGAACTGATGAATGGGGTTGTTGGGCATAGGTTCAGATGAGAGTAACATGTACCAGAACCAATGAATGAGGTTGTTGGGCATAGGTTCAGATGAGAGTAACATGTACCAGAACTGATGAATGGGGTTGTTGGGCATAGGTTCAGATGGGAGTAACATGTACCAGAACCAATGAATGGGGTTGGCATAGGTTCAGATGGGTGTAACATGTTCCAGAACTGATGAATGGGGTTGTTGGGCATAGGTTCAGATGGGTGTAACATGTACCAGAACTGATGAATGGGGTTGTTGGGCATAGGTTCAGATGGGTGTAACATGTACCAGAACCAATGAATGGGGTTGTTGGGCATAGGTTCAGATGGGTGTAACATGTACCAGAACTGATGAATGGGGTTGTTGGGCATAGGTTCAGATGGGTGTAACATGTACCAGAACTGATGAATGGGGTTGTTGGGCATAGGTTCAGATGGGTGTAACATGTACCAGAACTGATGAATGGGGTTGTTGGGCATAGGTTCAGATGGGTGTAACATGTACCAGAACTGATGAATGGGGTTGTTGGGCATAGGTTCAGATGGGTGTAACATGTTCCAGAACTGATGAATGGGGTTGTTGGGCATAGGTTCAGATGGGAGTAACATGTACCAGAACTGATGAATGAGGTTGTTGGGCATAGGTTCAGATGGGTGTAACATGTACCAGAACTGATGAATGAGGTTGTTGGGCATAGGTTCAGATGGGAGTAACATGTACCAGAACCGATAAATAAGAATGCTTGTGGAATAAGGGTTGATGCTAGGTACAAGTCCAAACAAATGTTACATTTATCAGAACCAATGAATAAGGGTGGTTTCTGGGTAAACTGACCAACAGATGGGGAACACTGTGTTTGACGCAGTATTTGAACCTTCAGAACTGACAAATAGTGAATACTTCAAAGTTAACCTCATTCAAGGTTTCTCCACCTTTGCAATCATGTTTTTCATTTACCGACTCCATCAGGAATGTTGTCAACATATTGACTTTATAATTAACTCAACCCCTAAGACTGAACTCATACAATGTCCTATAAAAATACTTAATTGAATCAAGCTACTTTGCATGTAAATGATTTCTGAGGTTTCCTTTCTCCTTTGATTTACAGTGCAAATTGTCTGAACTGGCATTCTCAAAAATGTGCTGTTTTCTGTATATTGTAATTATTTCTACTTTGTTGGTTTGCATATTTAAACATTCCTTGACCCTGAAGAGTGTGTACTTCTGTAGCCTCGGCCTCCAGCTAATATTCAGTCATTTTGTTGACAAGTGGCAGCCATAGATCTGTAATGAGAATATTCTTTTCTAGTCAAGATGAAGCATTGCAATTAGTTTGGCCTAATATTCTTTCTTTTTTTTGTTTTCAGTACAACAAGTTACGACATTATAATGCATTGTTCAGTCCATACACCACTGAGGGTTGGTTATCTGGACGTAAGTTTTTGGGTCCCTCCAGCAAGTACCCGAATTATGTGGAGCCAGTAGGTCCTTGTGTACAGCTTCCCCACAACTATGTGGTAAGTCTCTCAGGTGAGGCACCTCTCAACTGAGGTAAGTCTCTCAGGTGAGGCACCTCTCAACTGAGGTAAGTCTCTCAGGTCAGGCACCTCTCAACTGAGGTAAGTCTCTCAGGTCAGGCACCTCACAACTGAGGTAAGTCTCTCAGGTCAAGCACCTCACAACTGAGATAAGTTTCTCAAGTCAGGCACCTCACAACTGAGGTAAGTCTCTCAGGTCAGGCACCTCACATTAGTTTCTCAAGTCAGGCACCTCATAACTGGCCCTCTTTGGCTTGATTGGAAGTAAGTCTTCAAGAACTTGCATCACCTTAATTTCACCAGTATCCAACTCAATGCTTCTTTAGAAAGTGTTCTTCAAAACTAAAAGCGACTTGAGCAATGTGTTATCATCTTAGATAAATTTCCCGTTTGAAAAAATGAACTGTCAATAATTAATCTCGTTCATTTTGTCACAGAAGTACTTGTGTCAGAAAATGGTTTGATGTTCTGTCCATCAGCCATTACATGCGATTAAGATGGACACGTGGAGTGTTTTATCAGTCTCACCACAACCTCGATGCTCACTGTTATCAGCCTCAGTGTCAAGTGCCAATCCCCTGGAGAGTATGAAAACCATTAGTAAACAAAATGTGTGCCATATAAGTCTGTGCTCACTATTCATGTAGCCACATTTCTCACACAACAGCAGGCACTGCTGTGAAATTGGCTTTCTGTCACTTCAATTTAGCAATCATTTCAAAACTGAAAGAGATAGTATTTACATAAGTGTAACTCAAATAATGTTTAAATAATTTCAAATAATTTCTAGTCCATGCATTTCATGCCTTGCCAGTATCTGTACATGGGGTGCTGGGGTTACTTCTAGGACAGTGTATTGGTCAAAAAAAATATTTTCAATTACAATACCGGAATTTGTATTGTGCAGGCAGATCCCAATTTCCACATACTGAAGTAACTTTTACTGAGTATGAACATTCGCAGCCAATTTGTAGCCATAGATACAAGGGAGACAACTTTATCTGAAAAAAAATCTCTTCAATCTTTCCACCACCTTGTCAGTCAAATTTGAAGGGAAACATCCTTGGTTAAACCATAGAAACAGTATTTTTATCCTTATACAAGAACATGGCAACATATTGGAATGCATATTGTTACAGTACATGTATAATACCCTTCAGTCCAGGTTTTTCTCAAACAGTTTTAAGACATAATATGAACATAAGTTCATTAATTAAGAACTGAATCCCCAATTAGCTATGTTTGTCGAACCTACACAATATATTTTAGTGAGAGAACTCACAAGGGGGTGTAGTCCTAATAGTTCAAGCATTCGCTTGTCACACTGAAGACCCGGGTTCGATTCCCCACATAGGTACAATGTGTGAAGCCCATTTGTGGTGTCCCCCGCCGTGATATTGCTGGAATATTGCTAAAAGCGGCGTAAAACTAAACGCACTCACTCCTACACTCTCAACTATTGCAAGGACATTTCAAGAGACACAGCTCATCTTTGTTTAACTTTGCTGTACTAATTTAGAAAAATATACTTTGAAAGGATAATTTATAGGAACACTCAACAATATTTTGTAAATATTCACCATACTGATTGTTATACCTCAGAGGACAAGGGTCTGAAACCACCAGTTCAACAGATAATTGATCAAGTTGAGATATAAAACCAAATTGTGATTAATATGTCTGCAATTGTGGTATTGCAGTTTACTGGCTCCATTTGCTGTTTTATTGATGCTCTGTGAAGCCAGATGCAGTAATTGTAGAGTCTGTTCTTCTACAGACATGCGATTATAGTTCTCGTCACTGTACCTAACTCTGTTTCCAGGCCTTCCTTCACCTTCATGAGCTGCAGAATGATTTCCATGGTGTGGTTGCCGTGTCGTTTCTCGACCATCGAGCTTACATCACAGCAGCCGTTCACGGCCTAGACAAACCCATTGAGTCTGTGCATCTTCTAGGACCTGAACTAGGGGGTAAGATTACTCTGAAGGCATTGAACTAAGGACATAGATTTTTCTGTACCTCTTTTTAAGATTAATTAATAGGCCCTGAAGTAGGGGTTAAGATTATTTAATAGGCCCTGAAGTAGGGGATAAGATTGGTCAGTAGGCGCTAAGGTTGGGGGTAGGATTAGACAGTAGGCCCTGAATTAGGGGGTAAGATTAGACAGTAGACTCTAAGGTAGGGGGTAAGATTAGTCAGGCCCTGAACTAGAGGGTAAGATTAGTCAGTAGGCCCTGTATTTAGGGGTAAGATTAGTAAGTAGGCCCTGAGGTAGGGGGTAAGATTAGTCAGTAGGCCCTGAACTAGTGGCTAAGATTACTCTGAAGGCCGTGAACTAGGGGGTAAAATTAGTCAGTAGGCCCTGAACTAGGGGGTAAGATTAGTCAGTAGGCCCTGAGGTAGTGGGTTGGATTTGTCAGCAGGCCCTGAACTAGGGGGTAAGATCACTCTGAAGGACCTGAAATAGGGGTTAAGATTACTCTGAAGGACCGGAAATAGGGGTTAAGATTACTCTGAAGGACCGGAAATAGGGGTTAAGATTACTCTGAAGGACCGGAAATAGGGGTTAAGCTTACTCTGAAGGACCGGAAATAGGGGTTAAGCTTACATTAAAGGACCTGAAATAGGGGTTAAGATTACTCTGAAGGACCTGAAATAGGGGTTAAGATTACTCTGACGGACCTGAAATAGGGGTTAAGATTATTCTGAAGGCCCTGAACTAGGGGTTAAGCTTGCACTAAAGGACCTGAACTAGTGGTTAAGCTTACACTAAAGGCCCTGAACTAGGGGTTAAGATTACTCTGAAGGACCTGAAATAGGGGTTAAGATTACTCTGAAGGACCTGGACTAGGGGTTAAGATTACTCTGAGGGACCTGAACTAGGGCTTAAGCTTACACTAAAGGACCTGAACTAGGGGTTAAGATTACTCTGAAGGACCTGAACTAGGGGTTAAGATTACACTTAAGGACCTGGACTAGGGGTTAAGATTACTCTGAAGGCCCTGAACTAGGGATTAAGATTACTCTGAGGGACCTGAACTAGGGTTTAAGATTACTCTGAAGGACCTGAAATAGGGGTTAAGATTACTCTGAAGGACCTGAACTAGGGGTTAAGATTACTCTGAAGGCCCTGAACTAGGGGTTAAGATTACTCTGAAGGACCGGAAATAGGGGTTAAGATTACTCTGAAGGACCGGAACTAGGGGTTAAGATTACTCTGAAGGCCCTGAACTAGGGATTAAGATTACTCTGAGGGACCTGAACTAGGGTTTAAGATTACTCTGAAGGACCGGAAATAGGGTGTAAGATTACTCTGAAGGACCTGAACTAGGGGTTAAGATTACTCTGAAGGACCTGAACTAGGGGGTAAGATTACTGTGAAGGCACTGAACTAGGGGTTAAGTGTACATTAAAGGACCTGAACTAGGGGTTAAGATTACATTAAAGGACCTGAACTAGAGGTTAATATTACCCTGAAGGACCTGAAATAGGGCTTAAGATTACTTGGAAGGCCCTGAGCTAAGAGCTAAGATTACTCTGACGGACCTGAAATAGGGGTTTAGATTACTCTGAAGGACCTGAACTAGGGGTTAGGATTACTCTGAAGGACCTGAACTAGGGGTTAAGTTTACACTAGAGGCCCTGAACTAGGGGTTAAGATTACTCTGAAGGACCTGAACTAGGGGTTAAGATTACTCTGAAGGACCTGAAATAGGGGTTAAGATTACTCTGAAGGACCTGAACTAGGGGTTAAGATTATTCTGAAGGACCTGAACTAGGGGTTAAGATTACTCTGAACTAGGGGTTAAGATTACACTAAAGGAACTGAATTAGGGGTTAAGATTACACTAAAGGACCTGAACTAGGGGTTAAGATTACACTAAAGGACCTGGACTAGGGGTTAAGATTACTCTGAAGGACCTGAACTAGGGGTTAAGATTACTCTGAAGGACCTGGACTAGGGGTTAAGATTACTCTGAAGGACCTGAACTAGGCGGTAGGATAAGTCTAAAGGTATTGAACTATGAGTTATGATTAGTCTGTATGCTTTTAACTGAGGGGACAGATTGGTTTTTAGGACCTTGACCAGAGGATAGGATTAGTCTGTGGGCTAATTAGTTTGTGTTTGACTCAAGACTTGAAATGAATGAGTGAATACACAAATCCTTGATGCTTCTAATGCGATGAACATGATTTGTGTTGATTATCATCTACTTTGCAAATATTACATGTCACAAGACCCCAGTAGGTACGGTTATATGGATGTAAAAAAACAACAAATAAGATGAAACTAACAGCATTACATTAATCGGGTCTCTCACTCTCTCACTCACACTCTCACTCACTCACTCACTCACTCACTCACTCACTCACTCACTCACTCACTCACTCACTCACTCACTCACACACACACACACACACACACACACACACACACACACAACCACAACCACCACCACAAAAAAAATGAAATGAAAATTGAAAATATTTGTGAAGTGGACAAGACTTCAGACACTTGCAGTGTTTCAAAGCCTCCAGCAGTGCAGAGTGTAGACTGGAATCTTTACATAGGCATTGCTGCCTTACTTTGGTCCGGCTTACAGATGGATGTAAATGCAAGTTACAATAAATGCTGGGCACTTGGACGCCTCTGAATTGACTATCAGATGGTGTTCTTAAATGTTCTATTAAAGTTATATCAAATCAGTGCCTCAAAAATACCCCTCCTGACAATGAGTCATATTGCAAAATAAAATGAATTGTGCAGCCATATGAAGAGAAAGATGGTCAAGGGATGGAAAGTGTTCAGAAATCATTCACTGAAAATTTCTCACAAAGTGTCTTGGGTGTGGACAGGCATCAGTAAGCTTGGTCTAACCTTGTCAGTGTTAATAACTTGAAAAGGGCACCACTGATTGAAATATCCCTCACTTGAAATTTTCTTTCAACTTCAACAAGAAATCAGACCCATTCAGCTGTGTTCATAGCTAAAAACAAGTGACAATTTTGAAGTTTTCTGCAACTTCAACAGATCAATATATGATGCTTGTCTAAACAAACACAATGCTGTTGCCAACTATTAATAGTAATGTAATGTAAGACAATAGTCTTGAACACCTTCATGCAAAATCTACAAATACATTTTCTACATCGGTTAAAGTTTTTAAAGCTTGAAATTGCTGTATTGATTCTGTCTGTTGCTAGGTGAAGGCAGAAGACATTACAAGTCTCTGCATGTTTAAGTTGTCTGTAATCACACAGGACTCGATTTAAGAAATGTGAACCTACTTGCACTAGGTGCAACCTAAGATAAAAACCTGGTTGCACCAGCCAGTTCCAGTTGCACTGCTTTAAATGTAATATGTAGATGCCATTATTTAAATGTTTCGTTCAGAAGTTTTCCCACTCAAAAAGTGACTTGCACCTGGTGTAAGATAGACTTAAAACTACGTTGCACTTTGTAATATTGGGTTGCACTAGTGCAAGTAACAAAGCACTAATTTGAGCCCTGTCACAACATGGTGAAGAGGTCTTTTGTCTGTCAGGGATTCTATCACTACCTGCTCAAAGGTTAATGTTTGGCCATAAGTCCGGAGCTAATCTTAGTAAAACTTCCCAAATTGCAATTACCATGGTTACAAATTCATTATTATTTTGTGTGGCTTTGAGCTGATAATTCACAGATAACATATCCCATTAGGAGGATGAGGTTTTGATGCATTGTGTTGTCTGCAATGTCAACATACCAAAAGTTAGAGGAGAGAAGAAATGAAATTTTGAACAAAATAAGACTTTTGTCTGTTTTTGTCAATATTGCCTGACAAGGTCACATAGCTTGGGGTAATAGAAGTTCCTGTTTGCTCACACCCTGCCTCTGAGAGCGGAAGGTCGCGGGTTCAATCCCTGACCGCGTCATACCAAAAGACGTTAAAATATGGTACTTGTTAGTTAATGCCTGGCGCTCGGCATTAATGGGTACAACAAGGACTGGTCGGCTCGGAGTCAGTATAATGTGTCTGAGTGGGGTATTCATGCTTCACTGCGGCATGGTATCTCAGTGGGCTAACACTATAAAACCAGCTTCAGTCTGGGCTAGTACAAGCAGCTGCATATACACATACACACGCATGCACGTGTCATATGAGCGAAATATTCTCAAGCACAACGTAAAACCCAATTTCACCTCACCTCACCTCACAACCTGCCTACTTTAATATGGGTTTCAAGTTGCAAACATCTACATCCAGTGACGAAACCTTAACAGAAAAAATATTTCTGTTGCAGGTTCTCCTTCCTTCTTTGTTACAAAACAGGATGATGATTCTCCCTTCATCAACACCATTGTCAATGTCACATCTCAGATACCATACATCGGTTCAGGTAAGAACAGACACCATTGTCAATGTCACATCTCAGATACCATACATCGGTTCAGGTAATGTCACATCCCAGATACCATACATCGGTTCAGGTAAGAACAGACACCATTGTCAATGTCACATCCCAGATACCATACATCGGTTCAGGTAAGAACAGACACCATTGTCAATGTCACATCCCAGATACCATACATCGGTTCAGGTAAGAACAGACACCATTGTCAATGTCACATCCCAGATACCATACATCGGTTCAGGTAAGAACAGACACCATTGTCAATCATCCCAGATACCATACATCGGTTCAGGTAAGAACAGACACCATTGTCAATGTCACATCTCAGATACCATACATCGATTCAGGTAAGAACAGACACCATTGTCAATGTCACATCCCAGATACCATTGTCATACATCGGTTCATTGTCAATGAACAGACACCACCATCGGTTCAGGTAAGAACAGACACCATTGTCAATCGTCCCAGATACCATACATCGGTTCAGGTAAGAACAGACACCATTGTCAATGTCACATCCCAGATACCATACATCGGTTCAGGTAAGAACAGACACCATTGTCAATGTCACATCCCAGATACCATACATCGGTTCAGGTAAGAACAGACACCATTGTCAATGTCACATCCCAGATACCATACATCGGTTCAGGTAAGGTTGTCAGGTAAGACCATACAGTAACCATTGTCAATGTCACATCTCAGATACCATACATCGGTTCAGGTAAGAACAGACACCATTGTCAATGTCACATCCCAGATACCATACATCGGTTCAGGTAAGAACAGACACCATTGTCAATGTCACATCCCAGATACCATACATCGGTTCAGGTAAGAACAGACACCATTGTCAATGTCACATCTCAGATACCATACATCGGTTCAGGTAAGAACAGACACCATTGTCAATGTCACATCCCAGATACCATACATCGGTTCAGGTAAGAACAGACACCATTGTCAATGTCACATCCCAGATACCATACATCGGTTCAGGTAAGAACAGACACCATTGTCAATGTCACATACCTACATCAGTTCAGGTAAGAACAGACACCATACACTTCGGTTCAGGTAAGAACAGACACCATTGTCAATGTCACATCCCAGATACCATACATCGGTTCAGGTAAGAACAGACACCATTGTCAATGTCACATCTCAGATACCATACATCGATTCAGGTAAGAACCATACACGGTTCAGGTAAGTCAATGTCACATCTCAGATACCATACATCGGTTCAGGTAAGAACAGACACCATTGTCAATGTCACATCCCAGATACCATACATCGGTTCAGGTAAGAACAGACACCATTGTCAATGTCACATCCCAGATACCATACATCGGTTCAGGTAAGAACAGACACCATTGTCAATCATCCCAGATACCATACATCGGTTCAGGTAAGAACAGACACCATTGTCAATATCACATCCCAGATACCATACATCGGTTCAGGTAAGAACAGACACCATTGTCAATATCACATCCCAGATACCATACATCGGTTCAGGTAAGAACAGACACCATTGTCAATGTCACATCCCAGATACCATACATCGGTTCAGGTAAGAACAGACACCATTGTCAATGTCACATCCCAGATACCATACATCGGTTCAGGTAAGAACAGACACCATTGTCAAATCATCTCAGATACCATACATCGGTTCAGGTAAGAACAGACACCATTGTCAATGTCACATCTCAGATACCATACATCGGTTCAGGTAAGAACAGACACCATTGTCAATGTCACATCTCAAATTACTTTTTTGGGATCAAATGAGAACAATATTGAAAAAATTTTAAAATGTGATGCTCTTAAAACTCGTTTTGCCTCTTAGCTCTGTAAACATCTCTGAAATTACCAGACTGCAGAAGCTGGCCTCGTTTATGTTAATGTGTGAATCTACTAAAACTATTTTAAAGCATTACAAAATGCCACATTCTCCTCAGAAGATATATTTAAGGATTAATCAAAACTTTATGTAAAGTAAATGTAAGAGGTGTACATTACAACAGTGTTCAAAATTAGAAGGTTTATTGTTACAGTTGGAAACATTGTGGAAATTTAGGTACTTGGGGGTTTGTATCATAAGGCCTGAATGTTAGTACAAAAAGTGTTTGAATAGCAATGCTGATAGGAATATTTGTTGAAAGAATGAAACATTTTATAATGTGGACTACATTCAATGTGAGCACAGTGGTGTGCTTATGCCAGGAATTGATTAACTATAATGAATATTATTATTGCTTGCAGTGAGATTCCTGAAGACGGTAGTGTTACGTACATTGGACATGCTAATAGACGGCAACCTACAACAGGCTATGCATGTAAGTTGACACAGATTGTAGGTAGGTGGTATTTTCAGAGTTTCATATATACAGCTCTGTATGAATATAGCTGTGAGTGAGTGAGTGAGTTCAACACCACTTTGAACATTTTTCCATGTATATCACCGCATGCCAGGTTAATGTGGGATCAAAGCCCAAAGAGATGCATGTCTCAGGCAGTGTGTTTTGCTAGCCAGTTGGGCTAGCTGAGTCTAAAAGTTACCCACCAGCAAAATAATTCACTAGCCTGAAATTTGAATGCAGAAGCAAAAGATTACAAAAAGGTAAAATACCATTATTTATCAGGCCATTATCTTGGCTGATTAAAGACAGCCTCTGTGGTGTAGTGGTTAGATCGTCCGCCCGGAGAGCGGAAGGTCGCGGGTTCGATCCCTCGTCATACCAAAAGACGTTAAAATATGGTACTTGTTGGTCCCTGCCTGGCGTTCGCATTAATGGGTACAACAAGGACTGGTCGGCTCGGAGTCAGTATGATGTGTCTGAGTGGGGTTTTCATGCTTCACTGCGGCATGGTATCTCAGTGGGCTAGCACTATAAAACCAGCTTCAGTCTGGGCTAGTACAAGCAGCCGCACATACACATACACATGCATGCACGTCGTCATATGAGCGAAATATTATCAATCACGACGTTAAACCCAATTTCACCTCACTTCACCTTGGCTGATTTAAAAGTGTATTATAGCTTAACAAATCGAGTTAGAGGTATTTATTTTTTAAAATGACCCCATGAAAATTTACTAGTCAGGCCAGTGACTGTAGAGATTTACTGGCCTGGCTGGATTTTTACTAGCCATGGGCTAGCGGGCCAGTGGCTATTTCGCACACTGGTATCAGATGTTTACCACCTTGTTGGAACCCACAAACATTGTTGTGGTGCTGACAACCATAGAAATATTTTCAGGAACAACTGCGATTAGAACCCACTGTCATCAGTTTTAAGATGCCTCCAAGGGAGGCAACTTTGCACAGCCATTTGTGATGTAAATGGCCTCAGACCACAATTATTTTCCTTCTTTGCTATCTACAGTGACATGCCAGTCCACCATAATTAATACCGGTCGTAGGCTGTTCTCCTGTTGCATGCTGACCAACCTGCCACTTGTCACTTAACCGGCAAAATATGGGCCTGGATCGACCATGTCAATTTTGCTGTATCCACTGTAAACAATGGTCACCTGAAGTTTCGAGCCGAAACACACTAGACAGCCTTGAATTTGGGGTCAAATCATGGAAGGCTGGTGTCAATACCATGAGTAGATTGTGGACCAAAAACATTTTGCAATAAAGTACAAAGTCTTACCTTTCATTTAAGCTATCACAAGTCACACTGAAAAAAATTAGCACAATCAGAACAGCCCATTTAAACAAGGCACTATATTCTCCTATTTTCCTTCTGGGTCATGGTAAAAGTTAAGGGTGGTAACTGTGGTCTGAGGCCAAATGACTGGGCCATCTGTGCACCCATGACCCTACAGCTCTCTGTGCATATAGGGGCGATGGGGTAGGCTGGTGGTTAAAGCATTCGCTCGTCATGCCGAAAACATAGGTTCGATTCCCCACATGGGTACAATGTGTGAATCTCATTTCTGGTGTTCCCCGCCGTGATATTGCTGGAATACTGCCAAAAGCGGCGGCGTAAAACCAAACTCACTCACTCACTCGATGCATATAATGTACAGATATACTGAACAAAAATAGAAACTTCACATTTACTTCACATCATGCCCATATACCACATTTATCCACTAACAACACATTTTGTTCTATATGGGTATGTTTGGAACATAAAGTAACGCATGTGAAGTTTCTATATTTGTTCAGTATATTTCAACATGGTCAATGGTGTCATAATGTGATTTCTTCATGATATGGTTACAAATTTGATGAGTACAGAAAAAGTTTTATTTATTCACTTATTCAATGTTTTCATATCTGTTCTAGTGCATTCTCAAGATGAACAGCAAAGTCTATGGTGTTGGAGGATTTCAGTTTACTAAAGGAAGATGGTTGACATTTGAAATACTAGTAAAACCTTTTACCACTTTTACCTAATTCTTGCTGTGTAAAGAAGGCATGCTATGATTTATGCTGCAACTTAAAAGATAGCATGAATGGCAAATACTGCACCGTATAAATTGTCATGTATGGGAGATACTACACTTGATAAACTGTCATATGTGTTAAATATGCATGTTATAAATTGTCATTTATGGAAGATACTGCACCTTATTAATTGTCATGTATGGTAGATACTGCACTATAGACAGACAGACAGACAGACAAGTTTATTCAGTAAGGGCCACAGGCCAATCATACTATAAATTGTCATATATGTTAAATATGCAAGTTATAAATTGTCATGTATGGAAGATACTGCACATTATAAATTCTCATGTATGGAAGATACTGCACCTTATAAATTGTCATGTATGGAAGATACTGCACCTTATAAATTGTCATGTATGGAAGATACTGCACCTTATAAATTGTCATGTATGGAAGATACTGCACCTTATAAATTGTCATGTATAAGATACCTTTATAAAGGTGTATGGAGATACTGCACCTTATATGGAAGATACTGCACCTTATAAATTGTCATGTATGGAAGATGCTGCACCTTATAAATTGTCATGTATCTGAGATACTGCACCTTATACATTGTCTTGTATCTGAGATACTGCACCTTATACATTTTCATGTATGCGTCACCTGAGATACTGCACTTATAAATTCTCATGTATGGAAGATACTGCACCTTATAAATTGTCATGTATGGAAGATACTGCACCTTATAAATTGTCATGTATGGAAGATACTGCACATTATAAATTCTTATGTATGGAAGATACTGCACCTTATAAATGGTCATGTATGGAAGATACTGCACCTTATAAAATGTCATGTATGGAAGATACTGCACCTTATAAATTGTCATGTATCTGAGATACTGCACCTTATAAATGGTCATGTATGGAAGATACTGCACCTTATAAATGGTCAAGTATCTGAGATACTGCACCTTATACATTGAGTGTATGGAAGATGCTGCACCTTATAAATTATCATGTATCTGAGATACTGCACCTTATACATTGTCTTGTATCTGAGATACTGCACCTTATACATTTTCATGTATCTGAGATACTGCAATTTATAAATTGTCATGTATGGTAGATACTGCACCTTATAAATTGTCATGTATCTCAGATACTGCACCTTATAAATTGTCATGTATCTGAGATACTGCACCTTATAAATTGTCATGTATGGAAGATACTGCACCTTATAAATGGTCGTGTATGGAAGATACTGCACCTTATAAATTGTCATGTATCTGAGATACTGCACCTTATAAATTGTCATGTATGGAAGATACTGCACCTTATAAATTGTCATGTATGGAAGATACTGTACCTTATAAATTGTCATGTATGGAAGATACTGCACTTTATAAATGGTCGTGTATGGAAATACTGCACTGTATAAATTGTCGTGTATGGAAGATACTGCACCTTATAAATTGTCATGTATGGAAGATAATGCACCTTATAAATTGTCATGTATGGAAGATACTGCACCTTATAAATTGTCATGTATGGAAGATACTGCACCTTATAAATGGTCATGTATATGGAAGATACTGCACCTTATAAATTGTCATGTATGGAAGATACTGCACCTTATAAATTGTCATGTATCTGAGATACTGCACCTTATAAATTGTCATGTATGGAAGATACTGCACCTTATAAATGGTCATGTATCTGAGATACTGCACCTTATATTGTCATGTATGGAAGTGTATGGAAGATGCTGCACCTTATAAATTATCATGTATCTGAGATACTGCACCTTATAAATTGTCGTGTATGGAAGATACTGCACCTTATAAATTGTCATGTATGGAAGATACTGCACCTTATAAATTGTCATGTATCGGAGATACTGCACCTTATAAATTGTCATGTATGGAAGATACTGCACCTTATAAATTGTCGTGTATGGAAGATACTGTACCTTATAAATTGTCATGTATGGTAGATGCTGCACCTTATAAATTGTCGTGTATGGAAGATACTGCACCTTATAAATTGTCATGTATCTGAGATACTGCACCTTATAAATTGTCATGTATGGAAGATACTGCACCTTATAAATTGTCGTGTATGGAAGATACTGTACCTTATAAATTGTCATGTATGGTAGATACTGCACCTTATAAATTGTCGTGTATGGAAGATACTGCACCTTATAAATGGTCATGTATGGAAGATACTGCACCTTATAAATTGTCATGTATGGAAGATACTGCACCTTATAAATTGTCATGTATGGAAGATACTGCACCTTATAAATTGTCATGTATAAATTGTCATGTATGGAAGATACTGCACCTTATAAATTGTCATGTATGGAAGATACTGCACCTTATAAATGGTCATGTATGAGAGATACTGCACCTGAGATTATAAATTGTCATGTATGGAAGATGCTGCACCTTATAAATTGTCATGTATCTGAGATACTGCACCTTATAAATTGTCATGTATGGAAGATACTGCACCTTATAAATGGTCAAGTATCTGAGATACTGCACCTTATAAATTGTAGTGTATGGAAGATGCTGCACCTTATAAATTGTCATGTATCTGAGATACTGCACCTTATAAATTGTCATGTATGGAAGATACTGCACCTTATAAATTGTCATGTATGGAAGATACTGCACCTTATAAATTGTCATGTATGGAAGATACTGCACCTTATAAATTGTCATGTATCTGAGATACTGCACCTTATAAATTGTCGTGTATGGAAGATACTGCACCTTATAAATTGCTGTGTATGGAAGATACTGCACCTAATTAATTGTCATGTATCTGAGATACTGCACCTTATAAATTGTCATGTATGGAAGATACTGCACCTTATAAATTGTCGTGTATGGAAAACCACCTTATAAATCAGTCAGATCTGCACCTTATAAATTGTCATGTATGGAAGATACTGCACCTTATAAATTGTCATGTATGGAAGATACTGCACCTTATAAATTGTCATGTATGGAAGATACTGCACCTTATAAATTGTCATGTATGGAAGATACTGCACCTTATAAATTGTCATGTATGGTAGATACTGCACCTTATAAATTGTCGTGTATGGAAGATACTGCACCTTATAAATGGTCATGTATGGAAGATAATGCACCTTATAAATTGTCATGTATGGAAGATACTGCACCTTATAAATTGTCATGTATGGTAGATACTGCACCTTATAAATTGTCGTGTATGGAAGATACTGCACCTTATAAATTGTCATGTATGGTAGATACTGCACCTTATAAATTGTCGTGTATGGAAGATACTGCACCTTATAAATGGTCGTGTATGGAAATACTGCAGTGTATAAATTGTCATGTATCTGAGATACAGCAGTGTATAAATTGTCATGTATCTGAGATACAGCAGTGTATAAATTGTCATGTATCTGAGATACAGCAGTGTATAAATTGTCATGTATGGAAGATACTGCACCTTATAAATTGTCATGTATGGAAGATACTGCACCTTATAAATTGTCATGTATGGAAGATACTGCACCTTATAAATTGTCGTGTATGGAAGATACTGTACCTTATAAATTGTCATGTATGGTAGATACTGCACCTTATAAATTGTCGTGTATGGAAGATACAGCAGTGTATAAATTGTCATGTATCTTAGATACTGCACCTTATAAATGGTCGTGTATGGAAGATACTGCACCTTATAAATTGTCATGTATGGAAGATACTGCACCTTATAAATTGTCATGTATCTGAAATACTGCAGTGTATAAATTGTCATGTATCTGAGATACAGCAGTGTATAAATTGTCATGTATGGAAGATACTGCACCTTATAAATTGTCATGTATGGAAGATACTGCACCTTATAAATTCATGTCTGTATATACAATGAATATTTACCTGTAAGTGTAATTTTCTGTAAATTAGTTCCTAATATGCCTGTTTGCAGTTGAAAAACATTCAAACCAACATCACATCAGTGACACTGGATGGCCCTGCCACGTGGGGTGTGAACGGAGCCACCATGTACAGTCTCACTGACAACATCGTCAACTCCAAGACAGGGGACTATGTCGTGAAAGGCAGGCTTAAGGTAGGACTCTCAGGGAAGCATAACAAGAAGCACAGCTAAAGCATATATTATGTTTCATGATAAACATTGCTTGATAGCAGTGAAAATAGTTTGCACCTACTCAGATATTTGGCTCAGATAACTCCAGCTGTCACTTGTTATGTATCAGGTAGTGGGTGCACTGGTGTGGTGTATTCAGTGAGATAGGGAAGGCCAAAAAAATAACAGTTGCTGAAAATCCCTCTCCCGGTTATTTCATAAAGTTGGCAAAGACAATTTATCTCAGTATTTTAGTTTTTCTTTGAAATTGTTTTGTTTCAAGATACCTTTGTAATTGATTCAAATTTATTATTATGAATATTCTTCAATAGAAAACCAACCTTCTTTTAACTTTTTACATACTGACCACATATTTTGTCCATAGACATTGCTATGTAGCTTGGTTAGTATCAGTTATATTACAATATATATTTTTGTTATAAATATTATCATTTGATATTGATATATTTTGACATATGAGGCATATCGTTGTTCTGTCAAAACCATGCCTGACCTGGTGGGTATCACAAACTTGTACATGTGCTTGACCTTCATCACATGGGGGTGGTGGTGGGATAGCTTAGTGGTGAAACTTTCTGCTGGTCATACCAAAGGCCCAGGTTCGATTTCCCATATGATTACAATGTGTGAACCCCATTTCTGGTGTCCCCCTGCCGAGATATTGCTGGAATATTGATAAAAGTGGCATAAAGCCATACTCACTCACTCGTGACCCCTGACACAATGGAATTACTGTTAAATGTAAAGACTTATTCAATATTACAGCAGTGTGACTGAATGCTATTAGTGCTGTACATTCTAATTCACAATATAGATAACTGATCGTGTATGTAAATTATATGACATTTTTCAACATGGACAGGATCTGAGCAGTGAATTCCTGCTGGCCCTCTGGAAGGGATGGATCAGTGTGAAGGTCAAGGCTACTGGTGATAATATCATCGAGGGCAAGGTAGGTGTAGTGACATGACACTTCCACAATGTGCTGTCTCCCTAGAATTGTGAGAGGGTTTAGTTCTTCCACAATGTGCTGTCTGTTTGCTGTTGAGTTTGGAACATGGTCAGAAATGAAGATAAATCCACACATACATGCTATTAAAATTTAAGAAGTACTAATGACATTGTCAGTGACAACACCAGGGCTGCTTCACTATTGACTCTCTCTTTACTTCTGTCTTTGTTCCACAGCTGAGCTCCCCAGGGATCTGGTACTGTACACAGCTTGAAGGAGCACCATGTAAGTCTAGCATAGATACACCACATACACTTCAGAACTGATTCAACTGACTGACTGACTGAGTTTGGTTTTACGCCGCTTTTAGCAATATTCCAGCAACATCACGGCGGGGGACACCAGACATGGGCTTCTCACATTGTACCCATGTGGGGATTCGAACCCGGGTCTTCGGCGTGATGAGCCAACGCTTTAACCATTAGGCTACCCCACCACCCCAGAACTGATTCAAAGGATGATTTAGTATTTTGCTGTGTGTTCAAGAAGCTTCCCTCAAATGAGGATTTAGTGTCAGTATAGATACCCAGTAACCAGTGACGATCTGGGCTAGTATTGGTCTTCAGTAACCCATGCTTGTCATAAGAGCTGAGTAACGGGATTGGGTGGTGACTTGGTTGACACATGTCATCGTATCCCAATTGCACAGATCAATGGTCATGATGTTGATCACTGGAATGTCTGGTCCAGACTCGATTATTTACATTGATTATATGACTGCTGTCATATAGCTAAAAAAAATATTAAAAAAGTTAAACAACCAACCAAGATACCCAGTATTCATTGTTAAGTGTTCAGATGGACTAATAAGAGTAGCTGAAGAGTAGGAGAAGGCCCTAGATGAGATGCTGCCAAAGATCCGTGTGTGTCTTCATGTCCCGACAACAAGGATTGTATAAATGATGGTTTGTCCAGGGTTGATAACCCAGCTGATATTCCTGTAGTATTGCTGACTCAGCTGGAAACATTCTACCCTAATCACTGAAGTCTGGACATAGCTTTGTTGGATAACTGTGTTTGGTGACGATTAGGTCCAATTATATTTGCTATGACATATTTTACTGTCAGGTCCCTTGGTGAACATGCTGCCTATCGACACAGTGTTTGTGGATGAAGGGGCAGAAAAAGTCCCAGCAATGGGGCTCGGGGCATTTGTCCTGGACAGGGTGGACGTCCTACAGTACAGGTTAGTGACTGGTGACTTGTGTTTGTGGATGAGGGGCAGAGATAGTCCCCACTGTGGGGCTCGGGGCGTTTGTCCTGGACAGGGTGGACGTCCTACAGTACAGGTTAGTGACTGGTGACTTGTGTTTGTGGATGAGGGGCAGAGATAGTCCCCACTGTGGGGCTCGGGGCGTTTGTCCTGGACAGGGTGGACGTCCTACAGTACAGGTCAGTGACTGGTGACATTGTGTTTGTAGATAAGGGCCAGTTGCCATTGTAGGGTTCGGGGAATGTCTCAGGATTTATCTCTTTCAGCACAAGTACAGGTCTTCAATACCATACACAGGGTACTCCCTTGCAATAAACATACATGTACTACTAACAGTCTTTGTGAACGAATGATAATGGACGTGCTTTGTGTCTGGAAATCATACTGGTCTCTCTTTTAAATTATACTGCATGTCCATCTGCAGTATCTTGGTGGAGAACATTCCCAAGAAAGCTGAGCGTTCGGTCACAGCCAACCTCACCATCCTCACCACCAACATCTCCATCACCCTTGAGCTACATCCTTCACAGGACAGGGTCAAAGCATACAAGGCTCACGTGAGTTTCCACCAGTTTAAGGATAGTAATGTGAGACCGTAATAATGCCCAATTGTGACACAACTGTTTTGGGTCATTGTTGTATGTTCGTTTGTATTCAAGAACAGATATGAAAATGTGCACACAAACAGATGTTTAACTATCCGTTTAACTTTTTTAAACTTAATATTTAACTTTCCCCAACAACCAGCTTCTTCTACCATTCCTCAGAACATAACTTGCCAGCTACCCAACAACATTAAACATGATCACTTGCTGTGGGTGAGTCCACATTAAATTTGGACCAGAGGTTGATTGTTGTGATCCTAGAAAACCTCTTTTGCTGCACATAGCTGAGTCTAAACACCTAGTATAGTCTAAATTGTCTTTGTTAAGCAGTGGTAATGGATGTGTGTTGTGTCTTGCAGTCATACTTGCAAGTGATCACTTGTAGTGCACCATCTTGTAATGGATCTGTGAGATCCTATCATATATTTACGAAGAAACGGTCCTAATGCATATACGAGTAACTATATAGTTTCCAGATTCACTTATTATTTGCCCATGTTATTAGGATTATTGATTATTTTGAATTTGTGTGTTGCTAGGGTAAAGTTCCCGAGTCCACCCAGGCCATGATCCAGGCTCTGGCATCAGGCCTCCTCAAGCTGGTTATACACAGCCCGGTCATCGGGAAGAAGCCCTTCAATGTCAGTCTCCCCACCATCACAAGGGATCTGTGCACAAGCCCAAAGGTAGGCATCACGGGCAATGTTGATGTCAGGAACCCCGTCTGTGCTATCTGTACATATACAACTGTGTAGGAAGTAGTGTTGGGAATTGGTTCAATTCTCAAAATTGATTATTGGTTCATGACCAACAATCAATCATCGGAAAACTTAGCTTCCTTTTTCGGATTTTCGTTTTTACGTTGTTATAACAGATAAGTATAACATGGTTCTCTGTTGTTTTTTGTTTTATGTAGAAACAGCTCAAATTGCATTTACAAATTTTACATTCAATGTAAAATTATGCAGCTTGCTACTGTAAAGCCATGACTAATATATCTTGAACATAAACTTCCCTTAGTCATGATTTTTCAGTAAGTAAAGTGAGTTTTCTTAGTCATGATTTTTCAGTAAGTAAAGTGAGTTTTCTAAGAATTAAACACAGGCCCTGACAACTTCTAACATATGTTCCATCGTCGAGTGTTTCAAACACTAAAACAGTAGTTCCAAAATCATTTGTGTTCTATTATGAGAAAATGTCATCGATTGCTTGGTTGTTTTGTCACTGCAACCAATATTTGATTATTTCAATTAATTGGAACACCCCATCTGTGCTATCTCTACTCTGTGGGCAGGAGGGACTGTTAGGTTTTTGTCACTAACCTCAGAATTATCTAAATCCTATCAGTTAAGAATTTAAATAGCTATCAAGCTCTCCTCTCATGTGCTGCTTATTCCCAATAAAAGGCTTTCATCATATTGCAATGTCGGCATAGATTCCCTGTCTACTGATGAATCTTAGTGCAGTGCAGTTAACATATACTCCATGAATTTCTTCACCAAACCTTGTGGCTACCATGATTTTCAAATACTGTGACAAAGTACTAGCTTTTTGCAGACACTACAGTCAAACAGTAGAACTATTCAGATGGGGTTAGTGTCACTAAGGTGAAGGATACATCACTGTATATTCAAATAAAGTAATTTTGTGTCACATATATTTGACTAAGGTAAAGCTTTACAGGGCTCCAGATAATTTTTCATGATCAGGAGTATGTACTCCTTATTTTTTCAATGTAGGAGTACTGGAAAACAATAAGAGTACATTTAGAGTATTGAATGGAATTTAATGGAGTATCAGTAATCTTGTGTTTTGTTTCATATATGCACCACCATTGCTACTCTTGTGTACACAGGTCAATAACAATAAAACAATACTTTTTCAGATAAATATGTTTGTAAATGATTCTAAGACCGTACACCATTGCTGTGGTGCGCATCTGCTATTTTCTAAATTATTTCCTACCGTTACGTGCTTATTTTATATCTGTACATACATTTTATCTGGAGCCCTGGCTTTACATTGGCGCTGAAGGTAGAATTCCATTGTGACACATTCAGGTAAACTAGTACTTTTGATCTTCCCGCTTTTCTGTATTACATGGACACTGTCTTTCAAATTAGAAAATTCCTTTCAGGACTTCTTCATTGGTGAAAGTGACCACTTCTGGTCTGTCGGAGACAAAGATCTGCCCAGTGTCTATGCTCTAGTAGGAGACCGACTCGTCTTCAAATACTCCTCCAACCATTCAGTCTACCTCATGGCATCCAAGGTAGGTTGGTGTCCTTACAACTAACCATACAGAATACACGGTTCTATTTGAAACAACTTTTACAGGTCATGTATCATGTACCCAGGCTCATCTCATGCTCACAGAATATAGAAATTGAGGTCAGAAACTCAAAATACCACCAGCTTGGAATAAAGCTGAGTGTTATATTTGTGCAAGACTCATTTATGTCTTTCACTGTCTACTTCTTTGAAGCTTGATTCATAAGTTAGTAAAACATACGCTCTCAAGTAATGATCACAGCCTTGTCAAATGCTGAAAAGGTATGAAGTGTAACAGAAAGTATCTGCATGTGCCCACTTCACTGTGTGCTATCAATGTAGTGTATACACCAAAACATTCCTCAGTTGTAACATACAGTTGTTTGTCCATAAAAACTCCTTGTTCATGGCGGTCACAGGATTTGTTCCTGTTATATTTGGTAAAGGAACGGCAAATCTTTTCATGCTAACACTGTAGTAGTAATGAGGATTCTTTGACCACTATGCTTGTTTCAAACACTGAGGATCAGAGGTCAGTTACAGGTGAAGGCATCTTGCACACACTAACACTTGAACTTTCTGCGCTTTGGAAACCAGTGTCTGTGTACTGTTTTGTGTTGCAGTCCGCCTACAACAGCTGCAACTTCACTGACGCCACAATGTTGGAAGGGCCGGCTGAGAACACCACCCACCACCTGCACCCACTCAGGAAGGCTGGCCGATTGTACTTTGCGTCTCAGCTAGACTGTAATGCCACGCCCCCAGTGAAGGTCATGGTCACAGTCGTAGAGGGAGGTAGGTGTTGACCAAAAGATTAATAGGTCTTGTTGGGCACATATAGGCCTTTTCAGGCCCAAGGTCGCCCTAAAACCTTACCAACCAACCTACCTATTATTAATAGGTCTGATTGAACATGATTGAAAAAATGCTTCATAATCAATATATATACTGAGGGAAACTAATAAAGGAACACAGAAAAATTCAAGTGTTCCTTTCATATTTTCCAGTTTTCATCACTAGCTTTGAAAAGTGCTGTGGGAGGAAATCTGAGAATAAATAAAGGAACACTGCCAAGAAGTGGTGTTCCCTTATTTGTTTCCCTCAGTATATATTTAAAATAATATCAAGGTTATAAAAAGGATATATTTTTCCTTATCCTGACTCATGCTCTTTTGCTTGTCTTCTTCTTCTTGCGAACATAGTGGAACACTTGTATCTCCTTATTTGAAGCTCCCTTCAAAATAAAATCACTAATTGGTACTCACCACGAGTTGCTCCCCTTTGTTTCCCCTGGCGGGAAAGGTGTCGCCACCCTCTGGCCATGTGCTTCACTCTCTCCTTCTTCGCCCAGTGAGCAGGATGTGAGAGCGCCTCGTGTCTCCTTACACACCATATCCTTTGATAATCTCTTAGTTTTTACCTCTCATAGGTTTCTATAGAGGTATAGCTAGTATCCTTTACTATTTGTATTGATTAATTATCATTATTTCTACTGTTTATTCGTGTATTAGTGATTGTTCAGCTAGCTTTACGTTGATGAAAATCTGTACGATTTGTAGATTACGCTTTTTCTGCCTCCGATCCACATGTAATATGCCCTAGTTGTTCTACCGTGCAAGCGTTTAATTCGCGTTGCAGTTACTGCATTAATTTATCTCATTCTGCATTTAATAAATATCATCTTTTTGCGTCTTAAGGCGTACTGCAGATAGATCACGCAAACAAGGGCAAAACATGGCAGAGAGTCCAGATATTCCATCCAGTCAGCTGCTAGCGATCGACCCTCTCCCGTCTGGTGTTCTGCTAGAGACCCTTCGGTAGAGGAACGTGGGACGCAGTCCGTTACCTCGAAGAAACGACCGGCCTCCCCAGACATCCCGTCATTGCAGACCAAGTCTAAGAGGGCCTCATCGCCGCCTCAACGCAGATTGAGGACACCCAGGGCAGCAGACTTCCAAAGGGAAATCTACGAAGACAGCAAGAACTTTCTCAGCCGAGATCGTTCCAGCAGCAGAATTGGGCCTCTACGATGATCAGCCGATAATCATCCCCAACTTACGGCAGAAGAAGCGACCGGTGTCAGCGACTGTGACTTCTGCAGAGATCACCATGCAGCCTGATGCCTCTACACCGACGTCAGACGTCATTGATGTGAACCCCATCGCAGAGAAAAGACGGCGGCGACTTCGGCTACAGATCATCCCAGAAGACATGATGCGGCAGATTATGAACATCATGGAGGACCACTACAAACCGCGCAAGCAGGGTCCGAAGCTTCCGAAGGCTCCAAGCGTGAACAGCACCCCAGAGGCACCCCCCGTCAACGTAGCAGCCAAGACGATGTCACCTTCGCGAAGGAAGTCCCGCACCACCTTGACGAAGGACCTAGATGTACAGCCTTCGCGAAGGCCTTCGCGAAGGCGGGAGAGGTCATCACCATCTTCGATTTCATCTCTAGATATGGACTCAGACCATCAGACATCACGGAGGCCTTCTCGAAGGTCATATCATCGATCCCCGGACCGACGTTAAATGAAGCTTCGCGAAGGCATTCGCGAAGGACATATGATTCCAGATCCTCATCATCTAGAAGAACATCGGGGACTGCCGAAGAGCTTCAGCGAAGCTATCAACATTCACCTCACAAGTCTCGAGAAGATCATCCCATAGGACGATCTCCGCCGTTCATCACCAGGTCGATCACCGTCAGATCTCCACATAGAGCGCACAAGTCAACTAGATCGCCACAAACCTCATCAGATATACAGACAGCTACACGCAGTCCCGAAGAGCATCTACAATTTGTTAATGATGATGGTTTTGAGGATGATGGAGAATCATATTTTCTGATGCAGAGATACGGTATTGGATGGTCAATAACCTAGATCTCACATCACCATCTAAAAGTGGCAATACAGCAGAGATATTTGATGAAGGAAGATGATCCAGATGCAATCACTCTACCCCTCCGATCGACCCGATTAGCGGCAGTGCCACAGAATCTAGATGCAGCTTTCCAGAAAGCTACACGAAAGTTCAAACACCACATCTGCCCAACTTTCAAGCCAAGAAGTTCTCCACGATAACATGGACTCCTTCTACAAGGCCCAGGACATCGATGAGAACTATAAGATCATCAGCGATGTAAAGAACAAGATTTACAAGATGGATGATCGTAAGTTGGCTCATATAGAAACCATGACGAGACGTATGTTCTTTGGGTTAAATAGATCTAGGACGATCAATGAGACTCTTATTACTAGATTCCGGGATTCCATGACGGAAGATGATAGAATGATTTATTCTGCCTTACTTATGCAAAGAAAGATCAGCAGTTTTAACGGATCATCTTACATCTGTTTCAGCAGCACTGACCTTAGCTCGTCGTCAAGGCCTCCTCGCCTCCTGTAATTGGGGAGAACTTTACAGCCCCACTTTATACAGCCCGTGGTGGTCGACAACATCCATCTTTGACGGAGAAATCGACAAAGTCGCCAAGGAAGTCTCTAAGGATTCCAGGGAAGTCCTTATGATTAGATCGATGGACACACTAGCCAGCGCCATTCGGTCAGACTTCACAAAGATACTCAGGCAGATCTAAGTTCACGGGCCTACAAAGAGCAAGAGACAGGAAGATAGCCAGCTCTAGAGGTAAAGATTCTTTTCGTCGCCCATATGGCAACTATAGAGGAGGATCAGGAAGAGGCAGGACACCCAGAGGTTCCCGCAATTATAGACGCTGAAACACAGGTTCGGAACGACTGGAGTCTTCCACCCCCAGCCGTTCCAGTACAGCCAGCTCAAGTGGGTGGACGCCTCCAACTACACTGGGAAAACTGGGGAATATTGCAAGACCCTTACGTCTCCAACATTCTTCAACATGGATTTCGTATCCCTCTACAGGCCAAGCCTCCGCTGACAATCAAACCCCCCAGGTTCGATTTACAAGCGCAACAACTACCAAAGATAAGAGAGGCTGTTTCATCACTCCTATCCAAACAAGCCATAGAAGTAATAGATCAAGCAAACGTCCGAACCAGGTTTCTACTCCCCAGTTTTCCTAGTTCCCAAGAAAACTCCACGGAGAAATACAGACTCATCTACAACATGAGCTTTTTCAACAAGAACTATCTACGCCAAACCACCGGGTTTAGTGATGATACATTTACCTCAGTTACGCCAGATGATTAGTCCTATGGACTACATGGGCAGCATAGATCTACAGGATGCCTACCTGCACATCCCCCATTCATCCCGATTCCAGGAAATACCCACGATTTACTCTAGAAGGGCTACATTACCAGTGGAAAGTACTCCCATTCGAATATCATCAGCCCCTGGCTATTCCACGAGGATAAGCGAAACCGATTATCAAATTTCTACATCGTCAAGGCTCTACGAGTGCGTTTTACCTCGACGACGGGATACAAGTAGATCAAGATCCACTGCATCTCAAACTACAGTTAAATTACATCATAAAGCTACTAACACAACTAGGTTGGTTAGTAAACTTACGCAAGTCGGACCTAGTACCATCGCAAGACCTGCAGTTCCTAGGTATTCGATTCATCACAAATCGCGAACCGTATTATGGTACCAGAAGACCGTTGGCTCAAGATACAGCAGACCATTCCACCAGCTCTACTCTCTCCGTTACCACTCGCGACAATGGCAGAGCCTACTAGGTCTTCTCACATCAGCCCAAGACATGACTGTCACAGGCAGATTACAGTTTCGTCCCCTACAGGTCCTCATCAACGACATCTCAACGATGTACAACCATTCAGTCTACCGAAACATCTCAGACCGCATCTACTATGGTGGACCAAGAAATCGAATGTCTGCGAAGGGATTTGTTTAGCAGAGCAGGAATACAAAACCCATCTGTATGTAGATCGCGTCACTCCAAGGTTGGGGAGCTCATCTCACCAACCACCGCGATATCAGGATTATGGAATCAGCAAGAATGCAAACTCCATATAAACAGTCTAGAAATGAAAGCTGTAATCAACGCCATTCTACATTGGAGCACATTTCTACAAAATGCTACCTAATGATCCATACAGACAATTCGACAGTGGCGTTCTACATAAACAAGCAAGGCTCAACGAGATCGATGAACCTTTTGAACCTAAGCTTTCAACTGTTCGATTTAATACAAGATCTAAATCTACATGTCAGAGCAGTGCACATTCGGAGCCAGAAATATACTAGCAGACGCTCTCTCGGCCTCATCTACCATCACCGACAGAGTGGATGATCAACAGGAAATTTTGCACAGATAATCAAGCAATTAGGAGCGCCGCTAATAGACCTATTCGCGCAGCGATTCAACAATCAGCTACCGACATTAGTGTCACCAGTCCCAGACCCCAAGCTTGGGCAAGCGGACTCTAAGTCTATCATGGGAAGGCCTCAATGCGACAGCGTTTCCGCCGCCAGCAATAATACCTCAAGTATTACAGAAAATCAGACAAACACAGAGCCTACAACTCACTTTGGTCAGCCCTACTGGCCGGCCAGAACGTGGTTTCCCATACTAATTCAAGAAATCGGTCAACCAACACTGGAGCTACCCAGCGGCGCCAAACCTGTTAATTCATCCTCACACCAAACAAGTGCACGGAAACCCAGCAATGTTCCAACTACACGTATGGACTGTATACAAATGTGTTTAAACAAGAGAGGATATTCTGCCAGGGCGGCAAAAGCAGTCACAGCTTGCCTTCACGTTACTCAACTCTTAACTTGTACGACGACAAGTGGCACAGTTTCGAAAATTATGCAACAAAGAAAGGGTTTACAGCAAGAGAGGCTTCACAACCTCAAGTGGCAGACCATTTTGTGTTACCTCACGCCAAAACAAACATTTAAAAGGTTCAAGCGATATCAACATATCTTGCCAGCTTAGTTCTGTAATCACCATGAGAACGGGTGTCAAATTGACAAGATCTCCAGAGTTACTGGCCTTACTACTGAGCTTTCCGATTGGAGGACCAAAGCGGAAGTTCCACGCCCAGCTTGGGATCTGAATGTAGTGTTACAACACCTCACAAGTGAGGTCTATGAACCTTTGGAATCGACAAACTTTGAATTTCTCTCACAGAAAACACTGTTTCTGCTATCGCTAGCCACAGCAGCAAGAATGTCTGAAATTCACGCTCTGGATTACGAGAGGATACAGTTTGATGACAATCATAACTTGGCGCACCTCGGATTAAGATGGGATTTCATCGCAAAAAAATCAACTGCCAGGTCAACCAGACAGATTATTCCACATCCGGCTATCCTCTATTCTCGGATCACAAGATACACAAGACCTATCACTGTGTCCGGTAAGAGCTCAAAGTTTATTTCTGACGATCCAAAACAAGGAGAAGATTTCTCAAGCGTTTATTCATCCCCTTATAAGCCTCTGAATCAAACAGAAGTGTCACGGACCACAATATCTATTTGGATAAGGACTGTCATTCTCCGTGCCTACAAGGCAGCAGGCTTGGACCCACCAACAGCATCAAATCCACATGAGATCAGGGCACTGGCCTCTACCCTCGCCCTACGGTAACTGTTCCTTGAACACGATTATGGAAGGATGCTATTGGAAATCTAACATGGTATTTGCTAATCACTACCTGAGAGACATCACTACAGAAGATGTCTCTGGCATTCACCATTTGGGACCACTGGTCTAGCTCAACAACTGACAGTCCCTGCGTGGCGTTAAAATATTATCCTCACAAGATTAATATGTATTTTATACATACTCATCTAGCTTATAACTCTCACGGAGTTTAGGGCTATGTATATATGTTCAGCAAGTATTCAACCTTAAGCATATACTTTCAGTATAGTCAAGTTCAGTGCCTCTATCAGAGTCACCTATATATATATATATAATTTATATGTATTGTTCAATATATTCATAATGTAATTCCCCTTTAATGGCTTTATATAACCTATGGTTTTCTTTATACAGGAAACATCCTAAATCTAAGCCTTCATGAAGTTCCGTAGGGAGATATTACAGTATATCTATACAAAATCACTAATTATAAATCCAAAGTATTCTGTTACCCACCTCCGTTCATTAGGATGCTACAAGCAAAAGAGCATGAGTCAGGATAAGGAAAAAATATGTAATTTTTAGAGTAAAATTGATATTTTATACTTATCCTGACTCATGAAGGTTAGCCCTCCCATCCTCCCCACATAACACTTTGGATTTCCCTGTAAATTCAAGTGTTGGGCTCGCTAAATCAGGAGAGAGTGGAGCACATGGCCAGAGGGTGGCGACACCTTTCCCGCCAGGGGAAACAAAGGGGAGCAACTCGTGGTGAGTACCAATTAGTGATTTTATTTTGAAGGGAGCTTCAAATAAGGAGATACAAGTGTTCCACTATGTTCGCAAGAAGAAGAAGACAAGCAAAAGAGCATGAGTCAGGATAAGTATAAAATATCAATTTTACTCTAAAAATTACATTATTAATTTTTATTATTATTATTATTGGATATTTATATAGCGCACATATTCACGCAACTAGTGCATGCTCAAGGCGCTGGTATTTCTTCCCTCGATCATTGGATGTCAAACTCAACGGCACCTCGTATTATCTATCTCAACTCCCTGGGGAGTATACAACTCTTGCAGCCACTAGGCGCACCAAGTTATTGTGGCTTTCTCATCCTAACGAGGTACCCATTTACAACTGGGTGGACTGGGACACATAGTCACAGTACTTTGTCCAAGTCACTGCACGTTGCTGTACCGGCAACCAGGTGTTTGCACGTATTCATGTGGCCACTATCTGGTAATATACCAACAGATTCATTGGTTTCTTTTTAAGTGCACAGGGTTGTGTACTGTACACTAGGGGTTGTGACAACATGGAACGAGTCTGCACACAATGTTGACTCCAAGGTTCTACCCGGTCAGAGGTGGGCTCGATCCCGACACCTCAACCTCACTGGATCACTAGCCTGGCGCCTTAGCCAGCTCGCCCACCGTGTTAGGACTAAAACTATGCAACACTGCAAATAAGCTTATACTTAGTTGGTGCTATGCGTTTGTCTCCAAGGGATTGCAGCTGGATCCCATGCTTGTCATAAGAAGAAGGTGATGACTGTAGGTGTATTAATCTGTTTCAGTGGCCCCGCAGACAGCAGATCTGGATGACTGTGGAGATTCGCTGTACGACATTTGGAGGAAACAAAAGCTGTCCAAGTTCACACCACCTAACCCCATTGGTTCAGCATTCGGAGGCATCATTGTGGGGCTGATACTATTGGCTCTGTTTGTGGTATGGGATCGCAGAGTTAACCAGAAGAAGAGTGGAAACTTAGCTCTGTTTGAAAGATTCTAGGGAAGAACAGGGCTTCTAAATCCTGGGTTAGGAATAACACAGCAGTTCTTTTGTACTTACACAAATGGTATAACTCATTACCATTATTTCGCTGATAGTATTTCTCGGCATAGCAGTTGTCAAACAGAGCCTCAGGATGTTTGGTTTAAATTGATAAACCAAATATTTTGGGTCCAACAATTTAATTATTTAAGTGATATAAAAATGCCATCCTAACCCTATATGTCAACCTGTCTTAACAGACCAAAATATTAATGGAATGTTTTTGTGTAAATTGTTATTCAAGAAATATCCTTGTTACAGTTACTATGATACCCAGGGTAATTGTAATCATCATACAAAAATGTATTGAGATGAAAGTGATTCTCATGACAAAACTATACCAGTACTCAAGATTGTAATATACAAAACTCAATCATAGGTAAAATCAGTCAGCAAACAGTGATACATTGCCATATTTGCATAAAACTTTGAAAGAGAATGATTACTTTGATAGTTCTATCAATGTCCTATCTTTCATTCAGTTCCTTTCTGATATTTTGAAAAATTGGTTTCATTTAAGAAATGGATACAAGAATAATTTTATCACTAAAATGCATAAGGCATTTAACATGAGAACCATCCATTTCAATGGGAACAGAACTACGCAGATCTGAATAACCTGATCTCACCACCGATTTAAAGAGACCAGCACATGTACTTAGAATCTCAACCCCACTGGAAGCAGCCCACTGGGAATAGAAACGCAAATCTGAATCTGTTGGAGGAACTATTGTTAACCTATCACAAAAACAGATTCAGTAATTCATCTAGAAAACCCAACTAGTCCTATCGGACCTTGTCTAGTCTCCACTACACCCTGACATGTTGCTAAATAGTTGGATTATGTAACACTTTCTCCTGGGGCTTTCCTGATTCACTCATGTAGTAATGAACTGCAAATACTACATGACAACATGGTACAGCTATGTACCTCATTCAGGTTGTGATCCAGCATTAAGTTTGAAATGGGAAGTGTCAGATTATGACAACAATTCTACAGTGTTACTTTGATGCCTCACTAGGAAAGTAATCTCAGATATAGTTTTGTTGCATGAAACAAATGGCTAAATACGATTGCATCATACTGTTAGAATGTGTCTAAATCAGCTGGCTAGTGTGCGAGTGTGAACAGGCACTGTTTGATATCAACACTCTCTTGTTGAAATTTCACACTACATATCTTTGTGGCTGTGGCATGTCTAGTATCACAGTATGTATCAATACATTGGTTGGGAGTATCATGACAGCCTAACTGTAACAAATCAAGCTTGTCTTCAGAGAAAGTTACTTATGATTCATATCATGCTGTGTTTGATCTGAACTCGATAGGAAACAGTTTTACAAAAGATAAGTTTTACTTAACAGCCAGTGTGATGGATGAAGCTTTAATATTGAGCTCTAATGTTCCACAGAACCAACTTGTTCTTGTATAGCAATGCACCAAATGTTTGTAATGAGGATATCATTGACATCGATCCACACCAAGTGCTTCTTTGGGTCACAACACCTTCATCAACCATAGGAGATACTGTGAGCCCCGTGATTATAACCCATAACAACCACATTGCTATGTCAACAGCAGAGCATCATGGCAGGGCATCAGATAAGGGCCGTATAGGCGTATGTACGGATATAAAACAAGCACGATACGTTAGGAAATAATTTAGAAAACGTAGCAGATACGCACCACAGCAATGGTACGGTCTTAGAATCATTTGCAGACGTATTTATCTAAAAAAGTATTGCTTTATTGTTTATTGACCTGTTTACACAAGAGTAGCAATGTTGTGGTGCTTATATGAAACGAAACACAAGATTACTGATACTCCATTAAATTCCATTCAGTACTCTAAATGTACTCTTATTGTTTTCCAGTACTCCTATATTAAAAAATATAGCAGTACGTACTCCTGATGTTGAAACGTTATCTGGAGCCCTGTCATGGTATATTGTACGTAGTTACCCCTTGTTTCTATAGTGGTATTAATTCGGTTATTCAATTGCAGTATAATTTTGTTAACAAGCATTTGTTTGTGTTTCCATAAATTGCATCAGTATATTCGTTTTTCATTCCAGATTTTTAAAAGTATTTTTACAACTGGGACCACACTTTTTGATATGTATGTTTGCTGAATTATTTGTGTTTACTTAAAACCACTGAGATTTGATTCCATCTTTGGAATAATTGTCCACACACAGCATATCTGGAAGTTAATTCCATGTTGATATATGTGGCAGAATGCGGTATAGTGATGTCAACCCTGTCAACTTGGTTGACACTGCCGAATATTCTAGATTTTCCTCTTTGGAGTTTTGTTTTCAGATACCATTTGAAATCACCTGTTTAGCCCACCTTGTCACTTACCCGTGGAGTTATATTGATGCATATTGCCAGTTGTCCATTGTGTGGTTGTGTGATTGTTCATTGTTCAAAATCAAACTGTTAAACATTTTGTATATTGTTATTGATAGGTACTTCAGGGTTGAATTTTTGTTATTTGAAATTTGAAAAAGGGTTACTTTGGGGTACAGGGTCCAATAATGGACCAGTTTTGTTTCATTTGGAGGTAATGGCCCTTTGAGTCATTCCCATTTTGATTGTCCAGGGTATTATTATACATCCATTATGATACACAAACCCTGGGCCCATAAGCCACCAAACGTTTTGTTGGATTAGTGATGTCACGGTCTCCTGTATCACTAACTGACCTTGAAGTCAACAACCAATCAAAATGACCCTTCATAACAAGCAGACATAAGTCAACATTGAAAACAGTTCCCAGTTGTACCACAGACTTGGAAATGGTTTTGTTCAAACAAGTTTTATGTATCTAAATTTATTATTAATTTCAGGGTTTATTTTTGGATTGGTGTGTCATGTAATCAAACTTGAAAAAATGTAAGGCCTGACCAACTTCCAGTTCATGCAGTCCTTTATGTTAGATCTCCAAGGAATAAACAGTAATGTCATTTAGATTATGTTTTGTTTGTCCCCAACATCATGAGTCAAAGCAATGTCCAAAATCAATGTGGTAACAAAACACTTGAGAGACAGAAACACAAAATCATCATTTCGGGCAGCGGATTGTTCATGGAATGATATTGCCAGTGTTGAACCTTATCACCTTTCTTTATGGCAAACATTGAATTATGTGTTGAAATATTGTTGAGTTTTGTATCAGAAGAATAGATTGAATAAAACGGCTATTCAGTGGGAAAAAAATTCTCATTAATCACAAAGCTGTTATCAGACCAATCACATTGAAACCACATGTGACATTCCAATATTTTACCTTCCTTGATGAGCATCTGAGGACACCTCCATAGGAAGTCCCATGTGGTGAACTATGATATCAGCCAATCACAGGGCTTCTAAGTTCTCAGTACAAGTCATCATAGCATTCAGACAAGCAAAGCTAATTTCTGAATCTTGGTAACAAGTATAATCAATGTAAGCCAAATAAGAAAAAATAACGCTGTGCTATTGTGAATATTTGATACGTCGTGTTGTGATCACCATGGCATCTGGATCCCAAGGGGGCTGCTATGGAAGGTATGTTTGTGTTGTGGGGTAGCCTAGTGGTTAAAGAGTTCGCTCGTCATGCCAAAGACCTGGGTTCGATTCCCCACATGGGTACCATGTGTGAAGCCCATTTCTGGTGTACCCCGCCATGATATTGCAGGAATATTGCTAAAAGCGGTGTAAAACTAAACTCACTCTCTCAATGTGTGGTGGTTCTCCTTGGCCGAGATTGAAATTTCTGAAATTAAGGCTGTAAAGAAACATAGCCAAGGTATCAGCTGTGAATTCAAGAATCCACTAATCCTTCACTATATGATTGAATGGTCAAAGGTTGCTCATTGTTCTATGGAGGCATTCTCAGATCTTGACAAAGACAGGTACCATAGTAACATACCTGATTATAAGTGCTTGTCATTAACCAATATGACAATAATGATTTAAAAGTATTAAGGAGTTAATGTAGTTTATATCTTGCAATTTTGGAGAGCACAACGATACTACAAATTACCGTAGATAGTTATGTTTCTTTATTGTGTCAGGATCTGCTGATCTTGATTTCAAACCCAAGTATCGCCTTGACGGGTCTTGATTAGAGCACCATGAGAATGTTCATGTCAAAACTGGACATTTTTTGTCTAGTCATGAAGTAAAAAATTCTGAAAACTGCTGGCCAAGGATGAGGCCAGGAATGTTTGCATGAATGATTATAGTAAAAAGCTTGTGACTATATTACACTCATTGTTCATTTCATTGTTTGCCTGAGGAGCTGCAGTTCACCTTGTGTATTAGGGTCCCATTCACCTCAATAGTATATCTAGATTTATCAGTGCCATTTCCATGCTTGTGGATTTCAGTGGTAAACATCCGAGATCTGCATCACTTTGAACTTTCTTCCCACAAATACCTGACATGCTGGGACAACTGGAATTGTTCAAAACTGAGTTAAACCCAACTGCCTCACTCACTCCAGAACTTAGCAAAGCAAGTTGATGTTGAGCTATTTGATTGGTTATTAGGGTTTACTGCTGCAGTATAGTTACTATGCAAATAGTATTTTCAGGTGAATATGAAAGGCTTGATACATGATAAATAGAATACCTAAGACATTCTCTTACAGAATGGTCTGTTTAGCTTAGATAAATCCGTCCAGTGAATTTCTTTCAATATTTTAGACTCATTGCTCAAATGCTCAACAGACAATGAACAAAAAGCAAGAGTAACTCAAAACATAAGTCATATGACTGGAGGGAGGGAGATACCATGAGTGTAAATAGTCTGTCTGAGGCGAAGTCACGAGGTGCGTAAAATGATGTTTTGTTCATATCAGTCACAATATGCAAGTAAAACTGCATGAATATTTTATGACTTTGATAAAATAAATAACAAAGTTTGATTTTCCTATCCAAATCACTTTTAACTTTTTTGTTTTACTTCAAAACAAAACTAATTTTAAAAAATGTTGCCATGACAATTCAAATGAATGTCAGAATATTTTGTTAGCTATCAAACTCATCACTGCTGATGAGTAGATTATGAGGTTGATTTTGTGAAATGGTACAGAATAAATGTATTGTGTATGATATGGTTTTGTTTAACATTATAATGTGACAGTGAATCATCTTACTCAAGCAAAGATGTGGTTATAGGAGTTTTAGTAGATGGGACATTTTCAGAGGGATTGGTCAAAACTTGTGACCTGTACCCTTGGTGTGCCATTGATTATGATCACTTATAATGTCTCATTTCCCACTGTGAGCTCATTGCAAATGTATCTGCATCAGGCATGTTGACATGATGGTCTCAGGATTACTTGACATGGCAAAGATACTGCCATTTAACCATAGTTCATGAACTTAAGAGAAGTTATTCTGACAAAAGTAATAAAGCTAATCTTATGATTATATATATATATATATATATATATATACACACTTTGGAAATGTTGCTGAAGATATGTAAGAGGTTAATGGTAGATTTAGTTAGAGAAGAGACTAAACTGAAAATATTGCACTCCTTCAGGTCTGATTTTAATCTTGGTTAACAGATAAAAGCACTAACTACTAATTTACCTTTTTGAATTAAATACTTGAAAAACTGGAAAATTTTATCTAACCTGTCAGGTATCAGATAGGTAATTAGTTTTCTCCTTAATCTTATTCCTGAGGTGTTTCAGGAGGAAACATCTGTTTATAAGAATAACTAAGAATATGCCTCATTTTATGAATATGACTCATATCCAGTTATAAACTTACATGCCCAGTAAAAGCTGGCCATGTTCAATGAATGTCATGCCACTAGGTGTTAGTAATCTCTTGTAGTGTGCCATTTGTGCCTAGATCTGTCTGTGATACTTTGGTAAGTCGTGTATGTTGTTGTCACAGAGATAAGGTGTTATAATGGTGTATATATGTATGTATAACCTTTATTAGATCTGTATCACATTTACATAGCTATATCAGTCTTTTACACTAAAAGCAACTATTTTGAAGCTTGTGAAGTAGGTTTTACTGTTAAATATTGAAGATATTGTCAGAAGTCACATGGCAATTAAGAACCCATTCAGCACTGCTGTAGATTTTAGATGTTACACAGTGGAGCTTGTGAAGATTATTACAGATTCATATAGAAGATGGTCAAGGGGCATGTAATATAAGGGAATATAGACTTCTCTTCATAACCATATGTATATAATACAATGTGTATAGATCTCCATGTACAATAAACAAGCCATGATACAACATGTCTGCATTTTAATATGTGTACATCTAGTGATGAACAATCTGATTTACATTATCATCATTGTTTTACAACCATGATTGTGTTCTCTTTTGTCTTTATCTTCAACCTGATCAGCTTTCTAAGTGCTTTGTTTACATGGGTGTGTTGTACATTCCATTGTTATATCATGTCATCTGTTTGGTTGTGTTTCACAATTGTACATTTTTGTTTGAATGTTTACTCTGTGTGTTGGATTTTTTTCTGGAAAAAGGCACTTATTACATCTGTTTCTCTTTTTTATTGTGATGTGATTTTATAATAGGTATGAACAGTACCTACAAGAGCTTTGAACCTTTTGTCTGTGTATTGTTGTACTTTGATGTGATATGTAATGTGACTTAACTGGTGAAATAAAATATGAAAATGATAATGCTCTTTGTTTCACTACCCGTGAAGGTCTGGGTTAGAATATTGATCTTAGTAACCCATGCTTGTCGTAAGAGGCGAATAACGGGATCGGGTGGTCAGGCTTGCTGACTTAGCTGACACGTGTCATCAGTTCCCAATTGCGCAGATCGATGCTCATGCTGTTGATAACTGGATTGTCTGGTCCAGACTCGATTATTTACAGACCCCCGCCATATAGCTGGAATATTGCTGAGTGCTGCGTAAAACTAAACTCTCACTCACTTTTTGTTTCACTAGTGTCATAGGGAGGCATCAGTCCTTTGAACTCGCAAAGTCATTCTCTCGACTTGGAGAATTGTTATGGGTGCAATTTGTTTTTCCTTCAAGACCCTGGTTTGGATTGTAAAGGTTTCCTCTCAAAGGCTTTGTCTTCTTCCTAATCTGACAAAGGTTAACAAGCAATGTATGGGGGAAACAATGCATAACTCCTCAGTGGGGATCAAGGAACACTATATTAATATCATGTACAATAGATACGTCTGTTGCTAATCACTTCATGCGAAATGGTCACTGTACTTGATTATACCAACAGCTCTAATCCGACCCTGAGGCTGTCAATTTAAACAAATATTGGTCCATAGAATTAAAATTATTTAAAACACGAGACCATATGCACGGTATAAATAACAAAATCTACTTCTGGTGTTGCCATTGTCATATCGATTTCTATACATATTATCTTCAGTAAACACTTTCATGAAACTATTTATAAGATTGAAATTTATAACACTGAAATTATTAATGGCAATATGGAGAAATTTTTTTTCATTCATACCTGTGTACAGCTACTGGAATGGAATAATGTATCAGCAGAAGAACAAAAGATTAATTGTGGGTCTGTCTTAGACAATATGCATGATTACTGGGATCAGCCTCTGCAAAAACTTATCCTCATGTTCTCTCCTGTTTTGGTTATGTAAAAACTAAAGTGCTAAATTATTTATCATAGCTTTCTAAAAACCTGCAATAGTGAAACAAATTAAGAGCATATTTACAGTGTTCACAGCCTTTTAGAAGAAGAATCTTTTTCATATATATATATGAAGGATATCATGTCATTTTTGAACAGCCCATCATCATTTCCATGGCTCTGTTTATCCGTCTTCGAAAGAAAGCACTGTAACGCACTAGTACCACCACAGTCTTGAGGAAATAAAGTCTCAAAGTATCACTCAGGCCTAGCTTGGGTCTTGGTTCTCCCATAGCTTCCAGACCAAAAGCTAGGACTGACACAAAGGACAACAGTTTGAATTTCCATGGGAGGTTAGCTCCTCCTATGAATGCTTCGGCCATTGGAAGGAAATCCTTGGGTGGATTGTTCAGAGCAGGAATAAGAACTCTTTCTTCAATACCTTTGCACTTTTCTCGAGCACAACTATAACCACCATTACATATGTTATATTTGTCAGATATACCCAGCAAGTATCCCATTCCTTTCCAAAAATATACATAATCATCAATCTGTTGTTGATTGAAAGGAACCCCAAAGTATTCTGGATAAAGGACAATGCATCCCATAAATCCACACTGCACCAATGCCATGTCGTACTGGGAGAAATACAGTCTTTCCGGCTGCTGTGAACTGTTCATCTGCTTTGCAACTTTGTTGTGAATATTCCTGACATAAATGACAGACTGATATGCATCACTTTCACTATCCCAGACATTACCATAGTGCCAACATGTGACATGGTGAAATGTGCTGAAGTACCTTTTCAACGATTTCTTGGGGTCATCTGAGGCTTTTGTGAAAACAAGAGGTTCCAGAAGATTTATGACACTCAGTCCACCAACAAGAGATGTAAACATTGCCAGAAAATTGCTGCATAAATACTCCTGAAAGAATTTTCTACCCCTGTTAAACTTTTCAACATCAAGCCAAGGTGGGGCAGATGGAGGTAATCCTGATGGAGCTGAGTTTTCCGTACAACCGTCTTTTAATTCGTCAAGATCACACATCTTGGTGTCCGTCCTGAAAGATGTAATTAAAACAAAGTTATTTCTTGTTAATAAATTACAACTATTAACTAGAACAGTAACATAACTCATCAGGGAGATATTTTACTCCAGTTTGGGAAATAATCTCCCGTCAAAATGTTTCATACAATCTACATCATCAAGAAAACATTTTACTGACCAGGTTTTGGACACAGCATGGAGACAGTGATACTGATCTATGGCTTTCAATCGGGCAGTCTAACACTGCCACCTACGTCTCATAAGCTGCCATGAGATGATTTGCCAGTGGATGCAATATTGGACATTAATGTCATTATCATGAAACTAAAATATATCTGTAAGGGCAATGGATAAAGACTTTGGGACAATGTTGATACACATACCAAAAGGGCGCATGTTAATTAATTTCAACCTAAACAAGCAGAGAACAATGGATGCCCATCTGATGCCGATACTTCTGTGTACAGCAACGTACTCGGGCCTATATGTTGTACTGACTCGATCAACTACCCTTCAGCTCAACTGACCTCTTGGAACAAAGTCGTCACTCGTATTTTCAAACTAACAGAAATGTCAGACACACTTAAATTTCTGGGGTTTCTGGTGTGTAAAGGCCTGTTATGCTGTTTGTGCACATTGGACTTCGAACACGGGAACATCATAACACTTTTTTCTTATGTGAAATACGCAATCCAAGTTTGCAGACGAAATAATTTGTACTATCTCTTGACGAGCAACTCAAATTACTTCAATGTATATTACACAATCTAACAACAAAGTTGCCATAAAATTATTGAACTTAATTTAACATTTTGTAAGAAATAAGTCCAAATAAAAATTGTTTTACATATTTTCACAAGCATTTGTGAAAAGGTTTTGTTATTTTTATCAATTAATTATAAAACTTATTAGTTGTGCATCAAGTAGCACGCGTCATTGGAGGCAAGCTCCTCAACAGCGCCGCCACACTCATTTTCAAAGTTTATGCAAGCTTCGGGAACGAGTTGTCGCTGAGAGGAGCTTGATCTACGCCCAACATCAACAACAATGTCAACAGCACTGCAAGAGAAAAATATGAACGGAAATTCAGGTATGTGTAGGTACTACATATCGTTTGGCTACAGTTTATATTGAGCAGTACGTGTTGTGATTCTGAACATGCTAAATATTGTACATGACATGTTATAAGTACAACACAGATTGTAGTGACAATCAGTAATAGCCAGCCTACTTTTATAAACAGGTCGTACTCCGGTAGATTGGTAACCGGAAATATTCGGTATATCATGTAGGCTATTCTAGGTAGTTTAGTGGCCCTACTCTTTCTTATCTCCTGTGACATTTCGAACACTGCCAGATGTTATATTCAAAAGATCGGCCTGGAATCATGTTGTAAGGTTATTTTCAAAGGGTCATTAGCATCTGACAATAACTGCAGTTAGAGATTTAGTAGAAAATCATAGGCGCCCGACTCTGATATATTTATAAGCATGACCTATATATATATTCTGATATATTTATAAGCATGACCTATATATATATATTTATATATCAGAGTCGGGCGCCTATGTAGAAAATCAAAATTGTTCACACAGAAGTAACATTAAGCCTGAGAAAAAAATAGAAATGACTTCAAGAATATGCATGAATGATGATATTTAACTAATTGCCTGACTGACTGAGTTCGGTTTTACGCCGCTTTTAGCAATATTCCAGCAACATCACTGCGGGGGACACCAGAAATGGGCTTCACACATTGTACCCATGTGGGGATTCGAACCCGGGTCTTCGGCGTGACGAGCCAAAGCTTTAAAGGGCCACTGATCCAGAGCGATTGATGTTTCTCGCCAACAGTCTAATTACGAAATCTAACCGCAAACTGGTTGGCCCCTGCTCCCTCGACCATGACGGACACGCGGGGACTGGGCTACTGTCCACCTGGGCATAATTTTTTCAAACTAATCAGTGGGACATTAGGAAGGGTGGATGCCCATCAGATGCCGTTATTTGAAAATATCCCCGGTAGTTCTTGTCTGATTGTAATAAAGTATCCCAGCAGTGTATAGGCTTTTTCAGATTTTCAAATGTTTGGATGTTGTAGTGACTGATCCAATTTGATCCTATTTCTGTGTTTTTTACCTCAATATTTAATCATGTAAAAATATGATGTCTTTTATGTATGCTATGATATCAAAAATACACATTTGATATATTTGAATCCATAGACTAAACAACGCCACTTTGCCATTGCAAAATACATCTGAAATTTTACTTAGGTACATAGGTATATACAGTTTTTAACTAAGTACACAGCAAAACCTTATATATATTTCTTGTGTAACAATGAAGTTCCGTTCGTATCCTCAAAAAAGTGTCGGCCCATAAGGTTTTTTTCAGGCAATCAAACTTGCAGGCAATATAGCGATTAATACTCTCTTGATGTAACCCTTGTTTGGTGGTAAACCTACACATGTTATTTGTCATCATTCACTTGAGGGTCAGTTAATGAATTTATAACAGGTAAAATTAGTGATAACACCTGACTCAGATTACCCGACAAAGGTTCCCATTTGGCATTTGTGTCTGGAGTAAATACTCATCATTATAAATTGAGGTCTGATGTGGCAAATGTGTTACATCTTATGTAATATGTGCATGGAAGTGCAATAAGAGGAGTTATCAGCTGAGTTACAAAACAAACATCGATCAAAGGATTAACCAATAATACACTGATTGATTAATTGCTTTTATCCTGCACAGCGGATTTGTCAAAAGGTTGTGTTTATGTATGTAGATTTACTCATCTATACTGAATACACCCTGTCGTAAAGTGCCTGTGTAAAAACAACGCCCTTCCTTCAAAGGATTAAACGCCAATACATTGATTGATTGCTCATTATTGGCTAACTAAATTACTTTTTGAAAGAATGGCGGACATCATGCAATTAGTTGCCAGGTGTGCTATCTTGGGTGACCAATGGGACTATACACCAATGTGAAAAACCTGAAACGATAGATCACTTTTTCGCATATTAGACTGTTGAAAGACACATGACATGGAACAGGATACTTTGTCAGCTGCAGATGAATGGCATCTCATTCCTTTATGTGGATATTGATGGATACATTCTCCAAGACAAAATATAAAGAGGTACATTGACTTCGTTATTTCAGTCGTAACATGTTTTACCACTGGCAGATTGTTAAACTTAAAATGTTTGCATTTGTTATGAAAATAATGCCATTTCAGATTGTCTAGTAGTGAACCCAAGCTCACTATTCTCCCCAAGACTCCCCATGTACTTAGTTAGCCTTACTTTCAAAACAATGCTATTATATCAGGCTTCTCACGAAATTCAAGGTCAAACTATTTCTTGAATCAAATTCTACATGCATTTACGTTAACATTTTTATAAAGTCAACATTACTATGAAATCAAAATTTTACATCAAAATCAGCATTTTTATTAAAGTGAATATTTTTTTATAAGAAACCAAATTATTCATCAAAGTCTACATAATTTTACAACAAAATCAACATAAGATTATCGAGTAAAAAAGATTTCATCTTTGTTGATCAGTCTATTCTTATACTATCAATTGCACATGCGGGTGGCGCAGCAGAGGTAACGAACCAGTCATGAATTCTGGGATATCATCCGGGTACTCACTGGTGAAAAACAATAACAAAAGCAACAACCAGTCCACAGAAATTGCTCTGGATCAGTGGCCCTTTAACCACTAGACTACCCCACCGCCCCTGATATTTAACAATTCAGTTATTTGTTATGCCCCGGGAAGATATGTGTGAGGAAACACATTTAATTAAAAAAACATGAAGCTAGGAAGGCTTACTAAAAGATGCTAACACTTTGAGGGTGCATCGGCTTTTGAATTACCTTTATTTAACCATTTAAAGTAGCTTGGGCAGAATTTCCATGAAGGTTTCCTTCAGCCATTAAATTTGACAACCACCTCATCCTGTTCTCTAGGTATTCTTGGGTGAAGAATCTATGCAGCTAAAATTGTGAACCCAATAATAAAATTAACAAAGAGTACCATGATACGTCCTTGCAAATGCTTGAGAAAGGGGTTCATGTCCCTTAGACAATTACAGCTTTTATCCTTCCTTGTCATCCCATAGTTCATTCCAACATACAATAAACAATAGACATGGTATATAGATAGCGTTTGATATGTGAACACACAATGCCATTAAGAAATGGTCATATGTAATACATGTTTTATGTGTGTTTACACTTTCTCAGTGAAGTATGATTCCAGTACTTTTGTTAGGTTGAGCCCCATTCGGGATTCAAACCCACACTCACAGTCAGGCACCTATTCTAGCCTACTCTGCCACCGCTGCTTGAAACACCCTTCTTGAAACAATTTGTGACTATTGATGAAACCTCCATTCCAGACAGGGCAGTAGGGTAGCCTAGTGGTTAAAGTGTTTACTTGCATGCTCAAGGTCCGGGTTTCAATTCCCCACATTGGTACCATGTGTGAAGCCCAGATCTGGTGTTCCCTGCAGTGATATTGCTGGAATATTTCTAAAGGCGGCATAAAACCAAACTCACTCAGTCACTGCATTCCAGACTCTGAGTCCAGACACAGTGGAAATAATGATCATCACTGAAGAAGACAAACTTCTTTCAGGTCATATATATATATCCATGTGAATTATGGGGAAAGCAGGTGATGAATCCTTCGCAGTGAAAGTGAAGGTCATTGTGTATTCATTGAATGGTCTTTATGCTGTTTGTGATATATCACACTGTCAGCATTTATGTTGCAGCTTTAAAGATATATAATATGACGGTGTTGTTTTTCAGAATTACCATGTGTGTCTTGGACAGATGTCAATAGCATTGATGAATGGTTGAAGACACAACCATGGCAACATTTAAAGAAAAATTCAACAATGATGGATATTTGGTAAGAATGGTTTTAAATATGTTTTACATGTATTGTTTTATTTCAGAAATGTAGGCCATCCTATCCATAATTCTTAAACAATTCACAAACAATATAGAAAGGAAAGTTCAATACATTACTTTCATTATAAAACTTCAACAAATGCTTTTAATCATTTCATGGTATTTTTAAATCCATTGTTTGGGTTTCTGTTTGAGATGAATGTACCACGCAACAGAGTGAAATAAGGTTAATAGTGTGGCAATCCCTTGTGGTGAATCAGAGCCAGAAATTGTCGCCGGGAATGTTTTCCTGCCATGATTTATCTAGAACTTCTCAGAGGCAAATGTTCAGGAGCAAGTGTGTAGCATATGTTAGCTAAGGTTTGCATTCTGGAAATCAGAAATACAGTTTTTACAAATGTAAAGGATTAGCTGAGGAAGCTTGTGTTTTAATGATAACAGAAGCAACATGTGATAAGTTAAAGGAGGTTTGTAGTAGATTAAATGTACAGTAATGTTTAAATACCCCTGAATGTAAGAAAATATGCACTATTACAAAATTCCCAATTGTATTTTGAAAAAAATCCCTGTTTGAGTGCAATGTCACTTAGTGTGAACTCTGAGTCACAAATATAACTTTGATACACTATGCTTGTCAAGCTTCAAGGCTAAAAGAGGACTTGGTAGTTATAATGTGTCATCTGCTTGACTGCCTGTTCATCTGTCCTCAAGTTTAGATAAAAAGAGTCCATGAATTGAAATTAAAGTCAGTTCTCCACTTCATGAATATTCCCAATTCTCAGGGCAGTGCTTGTTCTCATTCCCCACAACATCAGTGGCTTGTTGGCCATGATAGTAGGAAACATAGGCATCGCTGAGACCATGTTGCTTTCAATGTCACTTTCATTTGTGATTAGGCAACCAAACGTTGAAGTGTTATGTGAGTTCTTATACCATGAATCATCACTATATCATCATATACATAATCATCACTATATCATTATATACTTAATCATCACTATATCATCATATACATAATCATCATTTTTGATTAAAAATGCATGAAATATCGTTCCCCAGCAGATTTGCATGCACTGGTTTTTCGCATGTTTACATGTTTACTGTTATATCAGTGTATGAAATAAGGCCCGTCTGACCGCCCGAAACGGGCTAGATTTCTGACGGACGGTCTAAATTTACAGCTAGCCAGCCCGATGGTCTGATGACATATTTAGATGTTCCATTCACCATATCTTGGGGTCTGGTCTGGTAACATTTTGAAGTTACCAGCCCTAATGTGTGGCTGGGTTTTTGGCTTATTTCATACACTGGTTATATGTTTGTTTTAGAAGACAGATTTTGCATTTTCAAACTGATCTTATTTATTATGTTTATCCTCTTATGGGGATTAAACAGCACATACAATGAGTGATTAAAGTGTTCTTTAGAAATCCCATGTACAATACTATCATTCATTCCTTCTAAAAGTGTTAATAATAGTAATATTAATATCAATACAGATGACTTCCAGGGGTTGCATAGTGGTTTAGTGTTTGTTCATCACTCTGAAGACCTGCATGAAGCCTGCATAGTACAGTGTGTGAAGTCCACTTCTCATGTGACATTGCTGTCACTCACTCACTCACTCACTCACTCACAGATGACTTCCACTTCTCATGTGACATTGCTGTCATACGCTCACTCACTCACTCACTCACTCACTCACTCACTCCACTCACTCACTCACTCACTCACAGATGACTTCCACTGTCATTAGAATTTTTCTTCATTGCAGATAATTGAGAATATCCTCAATGCAAAGGAAGTGGCTGTTTATCGAGGTAAGACAAGTATTGACTGCCCTTTTCCTGATTTTTATCAGACCCGTGAAGGTCCGGGTTAGAATATTGATCTTCAGTAACCCATGCTTGTTGATTAAGGGGATCGGGTGGTCAGGCTCACTTGGTTGACACATGTCATCGGTTCCCAATTGGGCAGATCGATGCTCATGCTGTTGATCACTTGATTGTCTGGTCCAGACTAGATTATTTACAAACAGCCGCCATATAGTTGGAATATTGCTGAGTGCGGTGTAAAACTAAACTCACTCACTCACTCACTGATTTTTATCACAATATCTAGTTGTTGTGCAACCCATGTCAGTTTAAATAACACTTTATACTGCTTAAGATCCATACTGTTATTCAGTCAAGTGCTCAGTTTAATAAATGAACATGTTTTCAGACATACAGGTGATACCCAGCATTTGAGATATTTGGAAATTTAATCTGGAACTTACAGTGTTAGCCAAAGGTATAATAATATGAACATTTCTGCTAAAAGAAAGATGCACTGAAATTATATCCTTTTTATGATCAAAGATGCCAAAATGTTGATGTGATGTCTCGCAATCTTTAGGTATATCATAAACATACGATTGTGGGTTTGAGTCCTTGATGTGCACAGATTATAATTCTGGTTCTGGTTTTGTCAGCACCATAATAAATAGTTTATTTTCATAGGTTTCACAAACGTAAACATCTAAGACTGGGGTCAATTCAGGCTCCACAGCCTTTATACTGAATTAGTGTTAAAACACACTATTAGGACATTCTGATTGAGTAAAAGGGGATTAGCACAAATTTAGCAATTGAATCATTGGTTAAAATTTGAAGCAGCCAATTATCAATGAAATTGCTAGATTTGAGCAGCACAACTTTGTATTTACCAATGAACCGTTTTCCCTTCAGACCTGGTAGAGAAGATGCTTTCAGGGGAGATAAATACGTCTACTCACCGACATGACCTCGGAAACCATGGTAAAACACAATTTCCATTCCATGTGTTGTTTTAGTTTCATCTTAATTTTTTCAACATGATCAATTTCTATTTCTGTTTGATATATTTCTTTACTGTCATTGTGCTTGATTCTGGAAAGTTTAGTTTGAACAAAAGAAAACCAAGACGATCACACATTCTCCTTCGATAGTGCGTTCTTTCCTGTGTTGACGATCAACATTCTCACTTCAGAACTGCCTGTTTACATTCATGTTTGAGATACAGAAATAAGATCTACTGCTTTGAACATATTGCTCAGTAATAATGAGAATAGGAAGCCTTCAATGTAATTATTCTATTTGACTGATTAGAAAGTTCCCAGTCCGTCAGGTCTTGACGAGAGATTGGGTTGTTTGCAGGGCTGAATCTATACCAAAGTCATGTATGTTTTTCAAACTAAATGCAACAGCACATTATATTTAAAGGGATAAAAGCGCCTGAAATTATTTGTTTCTAAGTCTTACTCAATCAGTCCAAACTGTATGTCAATCAGTACTGTATAAATCTTGTCAATCATTATTACGCCCTGTTGAGTTTGGCAATAAATGAATGAAAGCAAGTTATCAATGTGGGATTGGTAGAGTCCTGTTTACAAAGTCATTGATATAACTTATTCCTTCCTTTCACTCTGCCTATGACAGTGATAACGTGGATAATTCTTTAAACATGTTAAGAGTTAGGTTGAGATAAATGAATTTCTATGACAGGTATCGAAATTTTTTACACTAAAACTGAAATATACTGAAGGAAACAAATACGGTAACGCCACTTCATGGCAGTGTTCCTTTATTTATTCTCAGATTTCCTCCCACAGTGCTATTCAAAGCTGGTGATGAAAACTGGAACATATCGAACATAGGAACACTTGAATTTCCCTGTGTGCCTTTATCTGTTTCTCGTAGCATAGCTGATTTTAATGACATTGTTGTCCTTAAACTCATAATAGAGGAAATGGTAGCTTGATTGAAGCTGATACTAGATCTTTATCACTTGTGAAGTAACATGTTGGATCTGTTGGTTGCATAGTTGCTGTGAGTGTTGTAGTACATACTGTAGATAGCTGGTGACAGCTGACAGAAAAATTGCACCAGAGAATGCATGTGAAACAGACTTGTATATTTGTGGCAGCGGACCGGAAGAGAAGTGACAAGGAGAATATCTGCCAGATTATGTGGCCTAGTCTGTTTGTGGACCACTTGAATGAGGTAGGGGACATGTTCAGTGTGAGGGTAGTTTATAGTTGTCTTGTAGCATGTTAGACTGTCCATTTTACCTGTATGTGGTGTCAGTGGGTGAACAAGATCTCATTTGTTCAAGCCTACATTTTCACTTATTGTGAACCATGGTTTGTCAAGTCAAGTTTGCGACTTACACCAAAGTAGTAAATATTTATGAGCTGGGTCACTTTGAACTTTTCTCCAACATACAATGGTCCTTTTATCAATATGATGGACAGGTTTGGTTCCTTGCCGGCAAGTTACTAGCTAAAACATTACACCAACAGTTTACCTCAGCAAACCATCTGTAGAAGGTGGCAGTGCCTTAGATGATCCATGTCCTCACACAGGAAAACATTTGAGACTCAGATTCATATAATGGTGTACAGAAATAAACTTCATTGTTGGCTGACGCTTTCTTGCTTGTTAATTTAAAAAAAAAATTTTTGATCCTGTAGAAAGTTTCTGTCCAAACCTTTTGTGGCTACGGAGCTCTCGTAGCTCAGTTTTGTATAAGCGGATCATTCTTCACCAAACACACTTTGACTATTCACTGGCTTTGGCCCTGCATGCTCAGTGCTGACATTCAAATGCATGCACACATGCAGGCATACATTCACATACAGACACACTCTCTTTCAATCTCGAACAACTAGCTGTAGCCAGGCACATATACTGAATTGACACTCAAAACCATTCAATAATTAAATTGCTGAAAGGTAGTGGCATTGTACCCTGATAGCAACTACTGACCTTGCAGCTAATGGTTTGGATGGCCATCAACTGACAGTAATGTTCATCAACAGTGTCAGCTGGCCTTGTAGCACAGTCATGTATATATGTCAAGCCTTCTCTGATAGCAATGGCTGTGTATGCAGTGTACAGTCTAATTATGATTTTCTTTGCTCACCATTCCTGAATGTTGTTCTCTTGAATATTCATGTCATGCTATCATTCTTCTGAATCTCAATGTCATGCTATCATTCTTCTGAATCTCCAGGGGCGGTGGGGTAGCCTAGTGGTTAAAGCGTTGGCTCGTCACGCCGAAGACCGGGTTCGATTCCCCACATGGGCACAATGTGTTAAGCCCATTTCTGGTGTCCCCCGCCGTGATATTGCTGGAATATTGCTAAAAGCGGCGTAAAACTAAAACTCAGTCAGTCAGTCAGTCTGAATCTCCATGTCATGCTATCATTCTTCTGAATCTCCATGTCATGCTATTATTCTTCTGAATCTCCATGTCGTGCTATCATTCTCCTGAATCTCCATGTCATGCTATTATTCTTCTGAATCTCCATGTCATGCTATCATTCTCCTGAATCTCCATGTCATGCTATTATTCTTCTGAATCTCCATGTCATGCTATCATTCTCCTGAATCTCCATGTCATGCTATTATTCTTCTGAATCTCCATGTCGTGCTATCATTCTCCTGAATCTCCATGTCATGCTATCATTCTCCTGAATCTCTATGTCATGCTATTATTCTTCTGAATCTCCATGTCATGCTATTATTCTTCTGAATCTCCATGTCGTGCTATCATTCTCCTGAATCTCCATGTCATGCTATCATTCTCCTGAATCTCCATGTCATGCTATCATTCTTCTGAATCTCCATGTCATGCTATTATTCTTCTGAATCTCCATGTCATGCTATCATTCTTCTGAATCTCCATGTCATGCTATTATTCTTCTGAATCTCCATGTCATGCTATCATTCTCCTGAATCTCCATGTCATGCTATCATTCTCCTGAATCTCCATGTCATGCTATCATTCTCCTGAATCTCCATGTCATGCTATTATTCTTCTGAATCTCCATGTCATGCTATCATTCTTCTGAATCTCCATGTCATGCTATCATTCTTCTGAATCTCCATGTCATGCTATCATTCTTCTGAATCTCCATGTCATGCTATCATTCTCCTGAATCTCCATGTCATGCTATCATTCTCCTGAATCTCCATGTCATGCTATTATTCTCCTGAATCTCCATGTCATGCTATTATTCTTCTGAATCTCCATGTCATGCTATCATTCTTCTGAATCTCCATGTCATGCTATCATTCTCCTGATCTCCATGTCGTGCTATATTCTCTCATGTCATGTCATGCTATCATTCTCCTGAATCTCCATGTCATGCTATTATTCTTCTGAATCTCCATGTCATGCTATCATTCTTCTGAATCTCCATGTCATGCTATCATTCTTCTGAATCTCCATGTCATGCTATTATTCTCCTGCATGTTCATTCATGCTATCATTCTCCTGAATCTCCATGTCATGCTATTATTCTTCTGAATCTCCATGTCATGCTATCATTCTTCTGAATCTCCATGTCATGCTATCATTCTTCTGAATCTCCATGTCATGCTATCATTCTCCTGAATCTCCATGTCATGCTATTATTCTCCTGCATGTTCATGTCATGCTATCATTCTCCTGCATATTCATGTCATGCTATCATTCTTCTGAATCTCTATGTCATGCTATCATTCTCCTGCATATTAATGTCATGCTATCATTTTCCTGAATCTCCATGTCATGCTATCATTCTCCTGGATCTCCATGTCATGCTATCATTCCCCTGCATGTTCATGTCAAGCTATCATTCTCCTGAATCTCCATGTCATGCTATCATTCTCCTGAATCTCTATGTCATGCTATCATTCTCCTGAATCTCCATGTCATGCTATCATTCTTCTGAATCTCCATGTCATGCTATCATTCTCCTGCATATTTATGTCATGCTATCATTCTCCTGAATCTCCATGTCATGCTATCATTCTCCTGCATATTCATGTCATGCTATCATTCTCCTGAATCTCCATGTCATGCTATCATTCTCCTGAATCTCTATGTCATGCTATCATTCTCCTGAATCTCCATGTCATGCTATCATTCTCCTGCATATTCATGTCATGCTATCATTCTCCTGAATCTCCATGTCATGCTATCATTCTCCTGCATATTTCCATGTCATGCTATCATTCTCCTGAATCTCCATGTCATGCTATCATTCTCCTGAATCTCCATGTCATGCTATCATTCTTCTGAATCTCCATGTCATGCTATCATTCTCCTGCATATTCATGTCATGCTATCATTCTCCTGAATCTCCATGTCATGCTATCATTCTCCTGCATATTCATGTCATGCTATCATTCTCCTGAATCTCCATGTCATGCTATCATTCTCCTGCATATTCATGTCATGCTATCATTCTCCTGAATCTCCATGTCATGCTATCATTCTCCTGTATATTCATGTCATGCTATCATTCTCCTGAATCTCCATGTCATGCTATTTTTCTCCTGAATCTCTATGTCATGCTATCATTCTCCTGAATCTCCATGTCATGCTATCATTCTTCTGAATCTCCATGTCATGCTATCATTCTCCTGCATATTCATGTCATGCTATCATTCTCCTGAATCTCCATGTCATGCTATCATTCTCCTGCATATTCATGTCATGCTATCATTCTCCTGAATCTCCATGTCATGCTATCATTCTCCTGCATATTCATGTCATGCTATCATTCTCCTGAATCTCCATGTCATGCTATCATTCTCCTGCATATTCATGTCATGCTATCATTCTCCTGAATCTCCATGTCATGCTGTAATTCTCCTGCATATTTATGTCATGCTATCATTCTCCTGAATCTCCATGTCATGCTATTGTTCTCCGGAATTTCCATGTCATGCTATTGTTCTCCTGCATATCCATGTCATGCTATCATTCTTCTGAATCTCCATGTCATGCTATCATTCTCCTGAATCTCCATGTCATGCTATTGTTCTCCGGAATCTCAACGTCGCACTATTATCCTCTACCAAAAACACCACATTATATATTTATTTGATTGTTTAAACAAGCATTCTATTTGTCATTAACGTTTCCATTAGGCCATTCCTGCTAATGGACTCTGTATCATGACTGGATTAAAATGATTAAAAAATCAGTCTGTGATGTCTTACCAAGGGTGTCACCTTGGATTATTAAACATAGAGCCCAGTGTGCTTCTTGACAAGCAGAAAAATATTTAAGGCTTTTCTGAACTAAATTACTTTATGATTATGTTCAAGTCTGTGAATTAGTAGTGATAATTACCAAGATTCAATATATTATAATTCATGCAGCAATAAGATGATTGTTTCACCCTAGGGTCCCCTCCATGCACGAACATCGGCCGTTGCTAAAATCATCATTGGAGACGATGCTGACTTCGACTTTGACATGGTTCTCTCTAAGGTGATTAGACTTGTATGAGGTAGCACAGTAGGACATGCTGAAGTCGCTGAAGAACTTCACTTGATGTGTTTCAATAGAATTCACAATAAATGGAATTGGATGGTGTATGTGTGTAGGATGAGTAATGGATGGTTATGTTAGGACTTTTGGTGCTTATATAAAGTTAAAATGTTTGGTTAGTAATTGGGTTCAATTTTTCAGTGAGGGAAGGATTGGGTGGATTTTTTAGTCTTACGAAAATAGATTTCGATTAAGTAGTTTGAAGCTATTTGGTTTTGTAATGAGGATGGGGTAGTTATGTCCCAGATGTCGACTGATTTCAAATATGAGACGTGTCTTCAGGGGTTTTTTTTGCAATAAACATTAGAACAATTTCAATTATAAATCACTAGGAAAAGATTTATACATGTATATTGTTAGCTGTTTATTGTCATTGCATACTGAAGACACAACCTATAAGTCTTCAGGAATGACACTTATACCATTTTCATGCTTGAAAATGGTATAAGTATCTATACCGAACCGTCACTATTGTACAGAAGTTGATCATCGTTAAAGACTTGTCATTCCTATTGCTTACAGCTTCTAGGATGCCTCTCAAACAGTACAAGTCTTCAGCCAGAAGTGTTGATATGAATATTCAGTATTGCTGTGATGGCACTGTGTAATGTCAGTCGTACCTATCTCTATAGGAGGCAAGGGGCGGGCGGTGGGGTAGCCTAGTGGGTAAGGCGTTGGCTCGTCACACCGAAGACCCGGGTTCGATTCCCCACATGGGTACATGTTAAGCCCATTTCTGGTGTTCCCCGCCGTGATATTGCTGGAATATTGCTAAAAGCGTCGTAAACCCAAACTCACTCACTCACTCACTCTATAGGAGGCAAGGTGTGTCTGTTTGAGTTGGCCAGGACACATGTTAGTAGATGGTTACAAATGGTCATACAGTCAGTGTAGTGGTCACCTGAATGCTGATCAAACATGTTCTGTATGACAGGCTCCTCACACCGACACGGAGACGCCATGGCACCAGGACGAGTCCTACTGGCCAGCCCTTGATGACAAGCGTTCCGTCAGCTTCTGGGTAGGTCACTGAATATGTACAAATTGAATTATAGTTTGTAAGGATTGGTGCATAGCAATATGATCTTGTAAGCATCCTCACCACTTTCTTACTGTTAAAGGTAATATTGGAGTAGCAAGTGACTCCGATATGAACAAGTTGCACTGTTATTTTGGGAGACTGTAAAACCCTCTCTCTGATGAATTAACATGATGTTACCATGACAAAGATGACTTCATCAAGATTTTTTGTCACAGACTGCAATGGATGATGTGTTCCGGGATTCTGGTTGTATGTGGTTCTCACCTGGCTCCCACAAAAATGGTCTTCGAGCTCACCGACCCCAGAAAGAGGGATGCCATGTTCTGACCTGTGAAGGCAGCGAGGTGGGTGCTCTCCAAGAGATGACAACAGAAAACTCATTTTAATCCTCTCAATGCTACTGTTGAACCCATTCGACAGGAGAGCAGCATAATGACATCTCCAAATAAAACTTGCAATAATTATTCAACAAGTCGGATTTACGTGTCATTTGAATTATGTATGGAATACTAAAGGTTAAAATGGTGCAGTCATCATGTTTATAAAAGCAGAATAAAACAAACAAAGTCATTCACTGACAGTCATGAAATTGATGGATAATTCTTTTTTAAAGGTTTGTCTAATGTCATTGTTTTCTGCTTCATCTGTCCAAACAAATATGGGAAAGGGTTTATATGAGTTTATTGATACACATTTGTTAATTAATGCACCAAATTCATATTTTACTATTGGGAATTATGGGAAATCATGCAATCATATGTCATAAATAGTATTTCATATTATGGAAATATAAGGTGATAATAATACTGAGTTGTCATATAAGAATTGCATGCATTTAACATCTTGAATAATGGGGCAATCAGGTGGCCGAGTGGTTAAAGCATTTGCTCATCACGACAAGGATCCAGGTTCTTCACATTGGTAAACGGAATAAAGCCTATTTCTAATGCCCCCCTCTGTGATATTACTGGAATGTTGCTAAAGGTGGTGTTAAACCATACTCACTCACTCACTCTTACAAATTAACATATATCTTCTTACATGCAATTTTCAAAACAATATTCTATTGAAACATATACTGGGTGCTTAGATTCTAAACCTAAGACTTTGTTTCAACAGTAAGCAAAAAATGATCCAACCTTAACATAAAAAGTATAAAATATTGTTGTTGCCATGTATTGTCAGGCGGAGGGCTCCCCTGCGGAGATCAAGGCGGGGTCGTGCACTCTCCACCATGGCCGCACACTACATTACACCCGCGGCAACACCACTGACAACCAGCGTCGTGCCTTCGACACGGCATTCCGGCCAGCAGACATGGTCAAGTCCATGAGAGACAGGGGTTTCGATCACGGCAAAAAGGTAGGGATAAGTTGATTTATGTTCGTGTTTTATTATCTATATGTTGTTTTCCTTACAAATTATTATACAAAAACTGTGGCTATAAAATGTAGGGGTGTCATGACTGACAAATGTATGGTGAATAAACATATTCTGTGCCACTACACAAGTGTCATATCCTGAAGTCATGTATAAATTAAAACAAATGCTAATATTATTTAAGAGTGACTTAAGATTTTATAAACATTGATTAAGAATACAATTTTTGAAATAGGTTATTTTTTCATTACAAAAATATGTGTTCTGATAATTGATACAGGATATGAATTTTTAAAATGACTTTAATTGGAAAATATGTGATAGGTAATAAACATCGAGTAAAACTGACCTTAATATGGAAATGTGATACATGTGGTCTAACCTTAGGCAAGTGAGTTTGTTCAAACTTGCCTCTGATCACCAAGCTGAAAATGGATACCTGGTGGGATAAATCATGTGACTATAACCTTCTAACGCCTCAAAGGCAGCTTGGGATATCCTGGGTAACGTTAATGATATTGTAGGTCTTTGAGCATGCCCCTCCATGGTGCTGCATTCAGTACATTACAAATGTCCCTTATTATTATAGTGAACATCATGTTAAACTGACTTTAATCTGGAAATATGTGAGAAGTAGTGCTTGATGTTTTTGCAGTTATACACACTACTGCTTGTGTTTATAATGGACTGTATATTTTGTTGTTTTCAGGGCCTTGCCATGTCTGGCCTCCTGAATTCTGGGCAAACCCACAAGGGAGACAAGGTCTAGACACCATACGGGCTCATACAAGGATAGAAATTAGAACTGGCCTGCTTAGACCAGTTTCACTAACAGTTATAGTTGGGCTGGTAGAATTTTTAGGGTGTTGCAATGTTAACTCTATTTGATTGAAACGTATAATTTCATGAATTTGTACTTGGTCATCAAGTTGTAAATATCTTATGTTAAAACCACTCCAAAACAAAAATTCCTAAAGAATATACATGAGAAATAAGTGAGAATTATGGTTTTTTTTCACTAATTTTATATAAGATGCTTAGCTAGGATAATGCAAATATATTGTTGTTTTGGGACTTAATATTTTAGATTTCACAACTTATTATGAATAGATTTAAATACAGGTGATGGGTTTGAAATACTGTGGTGATGTATCCTGTTTGTAAAGGTATGACTGGTTTCACAACAGAGTAGTTATTCCAGGTGAAGAAATAATAGCATTTTCGATTTGTTCTAACTATGTACGTGACTATGATGGCATTGGTAATGTGTCTATGGAATATATCAGCATGTAGATCACTACAGCAGATCCTGAAGTGACAGATTCGTGGACCAAAGTTTGAGGTCAAAATATGCATCATTCATAGTGGAACTAAAGCATTTTAAAATCAGTTTAGTTGTCCTTATTTTGTATTACAGGACTCATTGAATTCTATAATGTAATGGTATCAGGAAACAATGGTCTTGTCTAACTGTCATCATTGTTATCACTGTTAGGGCTGGTGTAATCGAGATGTACACAGTTTATAATATGTTGGGTTTGGAAAAAACTTTTATGTTTTATTTATCGTTCATAAATATATGGCTGTGGGGGGGGAATGATTTTTATGGAGAAGCATGTACAATGTGAATGACACCCCCTACAATTCATGTACAAAATAAGTGACCCCCCTTGCATGTCATGTACAAAATCAATGACCCCCCTTCCCTTCCCATAATTTCTAAGCATAATTTTAAACATATTTTTATGTACAAATTTGCTGGCCCCCATACATGTGTAAAAATTTGCTTACCCCTAGATCCCCATAAAAAAATGGATTCCCCCTAAAATCATCATCACTTCTCTCGTTCTTTCTCCCCTCCCCCCCCCAAGCCATAAATTATGAACGGTCCCTTATCACATTTCTTGATGTAAGTATCATGTGTCAGATATGGCAAACACACCATCGGACATGGGGATTATTACTAACATACTCTTGAATGGTGTTTAGAAGTAATGCACAGAAAGGGGACAATGTTTATAGGTGTCATCTTCTGTACTAGGATTGGTAATAGTGATGACATGGTAGCCAGCTGTCCCCACCTTCAATCAGAGCTATTCCCCTCTCGTCAGTACTTAATTACCTTTTAGTGTATATCTCCTATCGGTACTACTCTTGCCTGAAATTACTCCAGCGTCCATTTGTCCTTTACCATCACCAGTCAGTGCCAATAACTACGACGGATTCACTGTGATGTTGTTGCTTTGTTGTTGCTTTGTTCTCTCATGTACATATATAGATGTCTGCTCTTAACTCTCATGCACCTGATGAAGGAGTAAGAACATACTCTGAATGTTGTGTAGCCAATTTCCATTTATTTTATTTTATTTTTTTTAACCATTTTTGTGTACCCAGTGTTTGTATATATTTTTATATCCCCATGGCATGTAATGCGGGGGGATATAGTCATCGCCTCGTCCGTCGGTCCGTCCGTCTGTCCGTCTGTCCGTCCGTCCGTAATCATTTTGTTTCCGGAGCATAACTCAAAGACCGTTCGATATTTTTCCACAAAAATTGGTAGATATGTCAAACATAACCTAAGGTGGTGCCTTTTGCTATTTACAGATTATTGTCATTTTTATTTTTCTCGGTTTCCATGGAAACGTTTTGGACTTAGTCTTAAAGAGGGGTGGGCTTCGTTTCCGGAGCATAACTCAAGAACCGTTAAATATATTTCAACAAGACTTGGTAGATATATCAAACAGAACCTTAAGTGGTGCCTTTTGCTATTTGCAGATTTTTGGCATTTTTATTTTTCCCGGTTTCCATGGAAACAAATCGAACTTAGTCTCAAAAGGGAGGGGTGGGCTTCGTTTCTGGAGCACAACTCGAAAATTTCTTAATATCTTTCAGCAAAACTTGGCAGATATGTGAGGCAGATCCCAAAGTGGTGCCTTTTGCTATTTGCAAATTTTTTCATTTATGTTTTTCATCATTTCCATGGAAACGATTTGCACTTAGTCTAAAATCAAGCTGGACTTTAAAGGGGAAGTGTACACGAATAAATCACATTTATTCTTATATGAATCAAAGTGAACTGTTTTAATTAGTTAATACCAATGTTTGAAAATATACACTCATTTTTCTTACAATGTAAGTATAACCCTCAAAATAAGTGCTGAAATGTTATGCCAATATGAGGTATTTGTTTGCCGAGTTAAACAGGCCAGAGTTACCGCCCTTTGGTTATGACGTAATTGGTGCCACTTGATTTTAAACTAGTCTCCTGTCTAGTCCCAAATCAAAAGATAATAAAACTGATGTAAATCACGTGAAAAAAGTTTGTGAAAATCTGAAGAAGAATAAGAACAGAACATGTAAGCAGCAGGACGGATTGATGGGTGGTATATTTTCATTCATAACCTCACCCCAAAGAAAATACCAAATATGTATAACAATGTTGACGTCCATTATGACATCACTATCGGGAAGCGACTTTTTCAAATGCATGTGTTCACTGACATGAGTGCCCGGAGTTTTGAAGGAAATTTTCGTTGTTTCAAACAACGATATGCATAAATGTGACATGTAAGTAGTCCGAAAATTCTGTCAGTTTGCTGTTTGTTATTTTCTTTTGGTTTTATTGTGACCAAGGGAAATAGTCATCAATTAAGAGAAGTACCGTCATCGTTGTGCGCGTGAGTTTCGTCAGTTATTAGCCATGCTTTCCAAAAACTATATGTTGTGACGAATCTAGAAAATCATTGGAATACACCTGTTTTATTTAACTATATCGCTTTTCACGATACCTTTCCCAGCATGTTCTAAAACTAATGAGCAATTGTATGCAACAAGTAGGCTTGACGGATACACAGTGTAAAATCTGAGACTGGCTTTGTATTACATTTCAAAACAAGTATTCTTTTCACAGCTGCATCTTATATCCTCGATATATTTCGTTAGATTTCACTGAAACACTTCGTCTTTGTATTGGTGACAGTGTCCATTTGTCAGTTTATTTTGAACTGTATGAGGAATTCAGGATTCATGTAAGGAAGATGATGTTGAATTATACAATTGATTTCATGGACTAAACGAAACGATTATACGGATTGATTTTATAAACTCTATGTAATATAAGTAGCTGAAAAATTCCCTTTGACGTTTTATGATTTTCCTAAACATTCTCAGCGATTCTCGGTTCATCGATAATGTTTCAGAACGAGCTTTGGTGATTCGATCATACAACAACAAAACTATCGCGGATCACAATGATCACATCTTTCTCCCAGTAAAATTTGACATTTGAATTAAGACATACCATAAATTACGCATAAAACGCAGTGAATGGTGATTTAGTAATGTAAATCAAAACTGGCGAGATTTCTGAAGCATGTAATTTTCAGTAAATTTGATCTACAATGCCGGATGATATCATAGAAAACGAATTTCAAACAGTGTTCAAAACTGCAAATTGCATTTATCTGCGTGATGTATTTGGATATGTACTATCGATATCAAAAGTGAAGGTACGATGAATCGTACGATTTATGTAAGAACTTTAGTAACAAACGAATGCCGCACATTCACCGATGGCAAGCAAGATGTAGTGCATATACGTTTAAGGTTTCATGAAAAAGATACTGTTGGAAAGGCTTAACCGACTCAGGTTGAATATGTTATACAATTTGGTTACGTGGTAACACTTTTAGTACAATGTATACAGCAACGTCATTACAGTGTAGAACTGACCACATAGCCAGCTGACGGCTAGGCAACATGTGGATTAAAACAGTAGCTCAGCGCATCGAGACACAAGAACCACACCTATACCTGCACCACGCGAAATGGGTCTAATAAGTTCTGACGACGTCATTCGTTTATCGTTTGGGCACCAATGACGTCATTTCCAAGGGACATAAGCCATGGTGTGTTTATTGTGGATATAGAACTCTTGGTAAATGTTGAAAATATGAATTGATATAACGCAAATAATAAATTAGTTACTTCTAATATATATACTGGTTTGGATATAAAACTACTTGATAAACACTTTTTATGAAGAAAAAGTGCATGACAAAAAGGTTAATTTTCGTGTACACTTGCCCTTTAAGTAACTGTCAGATGATTTTTTTCTTTCAAAGGTGTGGGGGCCGGGGGGGATATGTCATCTTCTGATGACTCTTGTTTATGTTTGTTTTAGACTCATTTTTGTTGTTGTTGTTTTTTTGTGTGCTGTAGGCCATACAGTTATATCTGCTTGTCACTATAATTGACAGAGATCACATCTTGTCAAAACAGAAATTTGAAAGAAAATTCTTGGGATGTCAAAATAGTGCAGATTTTCATGGCAAAATAAATCTTGCCGTAACTATTTAACCATGGCTGCTTCTAGCTTCCAGTATACTGAGGAAAAACGCATACAGTTGTTTTATTTTTTGTCTTATGTAGTCTGACCTAAAGAGACGCAATATTTGCATAATTTGTGTACAGACAACTTCCTATGGTTGATCATCTGTGATACAGTGGTGGTCACAAATCAGGTGAACACTATAGTCCGTTTGGCTCAAAAGCGGACCGATGAATTGCAATCTAACTCGAAAACTAATAAACATAAAATACTCAATGAAGCGCTGATCATAATCAAAACATCATACCCACTCTGTGAGGTTTTTGCAGAATTTTTGTCCTAAAATAATAAAAGTTGTTTAACAAACTATCATTAAAATATTGACACAGTTCACTGTTTGTTACGAGGGAGGAGTGCAGAGAAAGGGACAGCCAGGTGTTCGAGAACGGATGGAGACGGCACAGCGCAGGTTAATGAATAAATAACTTTGTCTGTGAACATGCTTCTCGAACACCTGGCTGTCCCTTTCTCTGCACTCCTCCCTCGTAACAAATAGTGAACTGTGTCAATATTTTAATGATAGTTTGTTAAACAACTTTATTATTTTTTGGACAAAAATTCTGCAAAAACCTCACAGAGTGGGTATGATGTTTTGATTATGATCAGCGTTTCATTGAGTATGTTATGTTTATAAGTTTTCAAGTTAGATTGCAATTCATCGGTCCGCTTTTGAGCCAAACGGACTATAAGCAGTGATTCAGGAGAAATAGGTGGTTGGGTGACTGACTGTGTTCAGTAGCTGGACTCCAGAGTTACCAGGGCTTCGTCCTGCCCTACCTTGCAGCATGTGTTTAATGTGGTGCCTCCTTGGGTTGTTTAAAATGTACGTCTTTCATCCAACAGGAAATGGGTATCTGCTCCTGTGTAATAAATATGTGATTGTTATCCTGCTAACACCAAATAGCCAGCATAGCTTGTATCCCCCGGTCGCGTCATACCAACAGACATTATAATATGGTACTTGTTGGTCCCTGCCTGGCGTTCGGCATTAATGGGTACATCAAGGACTGGTCAGCTTGGAGTCAGTATAATGTGTCTGAGTGGGGTATTCATGCTTCACTGCGGCATGGTATCTCAGTGGGCTAGCACTATAAAACCAGCTTAAGTCTGGGCTAGTACAAGCAGCCCCACATACACATACACACGCATGCACGTTGTCATATGAGCGAAATATTCTCAAGCACGACGTTAAACCCAATTTCACCTCACCTCACCTTGTATCCCCAGGAAGCTGCAAATGGTCGTGGCTTTATTGGTGCAATATCTCGGTATTACATGTACTTAACATTTTTGGACACATTACATTGTCACCCTTGTGGTGTAATAGTGATACATGTCTGTTTTTAGTCAGGTAACGAAATGAGGGCATTAATAGTTCACAGGATTGTCCTTACTCTCTGCATGGACTTATGGTAACCACTTGCTGACACTGAAGCAGTGTGAAGAGTAGAAGCTGTAAGGCCGTGTCACTGGCTGCATGAGACGTATTGTCAATCCAATCAAAGTGCTCATTGGTCTAGTACTCACTGGTTTCCCTCCACGTGAAACGACCCGTGAAAATCCGGGCTAGAATTGCTCTTCAGCAACCTTTGTTTGTCGCAAGAGGCGACTAACAGGATCGATCGGGTGGTCAGGCTCGCTGACTTGGTTGACACATCGGCTCCCAATTGCGCAGATTGATGCTCATGTTGATCACTGGATTGTCTGGTCCAGGCTCAATTATTTACAGACCGCCACCATATAGCTGGAATATTGCTGAGTGCGGCGTAAAACTAACTCACTGACTCCTCGTGTAGCCAGGTCCTGGCTTGATGGTTGGTCAAAAAAAGTAACATAACAAAGCATACATGTATTCACAGGTCATAGAGGCGTGAAGTGTTGACAATGATGGTTGGTTATTATGTGACAGAATATGGCCTTGGGACACTATGCTGCTGTAACAGTGAAAACAGTCCGTTGGGAAGCATTTTCTTTCTGCTTTTGACATACCAGTACACTTACAACATTGACTGGCAGTTACCCAAAACAGCAGTTGCCCAAAACAGCAGTTACCCAAGAATCTGTTCTTGTTATTCTTGGCCTGACAGTTTTGGTATCTGCAAATGTTCCAAGTAGATGCAAGGGGTGGTGGGGTAGCCTAGTGGTTAAAGCGTTCGCTTGTCACGCCGTAGACCCAGGTTCGATCCCCCACATGGGTGCAATGTGTGAAGCCCATTTCAGGTGTCCCCCGCCGTGATATTGCTGGAATATTGCTAAAAAAATACTCACTCACTCCAAGTAGATGCTGTCCATGCAGTGAAGGTTTAATACCCTCATAATACTACAAGAAGGCAACTTTGATCAAGATCGACTATTTGATATTCTGTTTGTCTCAATCCTTCAGTCATGACCTCAGACAAAATCTCTTGATGGCTCATTATGATACTGTTTACATTGTTTTTTGAGGTCTAAAAATCAGCGACATCAAACCTCATTACTGTCATAGGTATGGAAGTATTCAAGCTGGTTCAATGTCTATTACTTTAAAGTCTTGTGTTATATTGCAGAATTTCTCATGCTATTTACCCAGTATGTTTCATAACATTTTTATTGCTATTATATGGTGAAGGTGATCCTTTTTATTTAGTGACAGAATATATATCCAGTTTACACTTTGGCTGGTCTGAAAATCAGTTCAAAACTGAAAAAGATTTTTGTATGTACAGCCAGCATTTGCAGTATCTTTTGAGCCCTGAGACTATTTGACTGATTTATAGAAGAAAATGTGTCAAGTGTGCTTTTTTACAGTTACAAATTGACATGTGTAATAAACAGTATTTTCTTAATTGCTATTGTTATCCTGACATTTTAAATTCATTGTTATACTGATATACAAATATCCAACACTCATGGAATCCAGACTGAGTGGGGGGATGGGTGTCATTTTCCAGTCACGCATCAGTTGCATTTCTACTCACACGGATTAAAACATCTACGAGCACTGATTTCTGAGCCAAGTGTCAGTTATTTCATGAGTTCAAGATCAGTTAGATTATTTTGTTTAATGGTCCTTTGAACAGTGTTTCAACAGCATGATGTGGGATGAAGTGATACTGGGAAACTTTTCTGTAACTCGCAAACTGAGCTGACAAATCTAAACATCATGATCCTATTCTGAAATTTGATACAAGTTTAATGTTGAAGGCGTTGTTGATTCAATACAGACAAACAAGCAAGCATCCTGTTTTATGTTCATAAATGCATTTATTGTAGACATTTTCAACAATGCTGCAGTACTGCACATGAGGACTGTACGACCAGCAGCAACACACCTTGCCCAGACAACGTTTGACATACATATAACACTGACAGTAACATACCCATTCAGACGGTAATCACGTGTACAACCCCATCCCTACCAGGAAGGGACAACTCTGTTCACACAGAGTCAGAATTAACACAGATCAAAGCAGAGAACTAACCAGGAGAAAACTCTGGGCAATAGTTGAGGTATTTGTGAAAAGACTGAAATATGGGACTCGTACTGATGATGAAACACAGGAGAGTTTTTCAGATTTATGCTCTTAATAATTCAGAACCATCTTAAATGTTGATTATCAAATGAAATATATTTTCACTGCAGGTTATGTTTGGTATTAAAGTCATGACTGGTGTTCTTAACACCTGATGAAATCGTATACAAATCTCCAAAATTGTTGAAACAGGTTCCTAATCTACATATCACTCGGTCCCAAGCAAGCAGCTATGACTATAATGAAGGTTAAATGCACAATTGTAGAGAAGTAATAAGATGACATGGACAGATTATCTGACAAACACTGCATCTATATCGGTGTACGCTGCACACACTCTCCTAATTGACGGACGTATAAACAAGACACCACTCTGACAGGGAGAACCGCCGCAGTTGTACAGTCTTCCTCTTAAAGTAGGGATATGTTCTCAACATGACGAGCGTCCATCACTAACGCCAGACACAAAACAAACATCGGCAGTGCAGAACAAAATAAGTTCAACATGTACAACAACCAAACCTGAAAAATGTTTAAAACAGTGACTTCATGAACATGTGGGTGAAGGTGAGACACAGGGAGGGCCAACATAACTGGGAAGGTAAAATTAATTGATTCTAAAATCTATAGACTCTTCAGACAGGCAATGTAACCTGATAGCTATACAATTTCTGACCTGGCTTCATAACAATATAACTAACAAAGCAAATATATATAAACCTTAACTGTAAGCTTATTAATAGAGCCAGTTGAAACAACCTTCCCCAGTTATTGAAAATATGTAGTACAACTACGTAGTGATAACTCAAATATTCATGACTTTATATTGCATAAGAATTTAATATTTTCAACAGTGATAATGTAGGTCAGCGAGTCCTGAGCTAAAAAAAACAGGATAACTAGAACAGAGAGATCTATGTACTCCACTAAAGATACAACACATATTTCTCTTCCTGTAATGAAGAGAACCGAACTTTGATAACCTTTTGTGCTGCCATCCACTCCGAAGCCTGACATAAAGCAAAACAGACTGAGCTGCTGAGATTGTGTGATGATAAAGCAGCTAATGGACTTGCAGATGAAACGTCTACAGTGTATAAAATATGTAATACCGCTTTTGACATGAATGCAACACCTTAGTTTTGTGAAAAGTATAAATGTACTAGGGGAAAAATATCACAAATTTTGACGATTTTTGGAGGAAACCACACCTCTTGTGTAAGTATCTTTGTGTAAATAATCCATGCAAACATATAACATAGAAATGTAACACTTACAGATTCTTTGACTTAAGAATTGTCTAAAAGGAAACTGGTAAATGAGACTTGCACACATGAAAAAAAAAAAAAAATTGCCCTGTTACCATGGCATTGACTGAACAACAAATGTCTGCCATCCTAGGCAACAACAATCTAGTTATCACAGAAAACAATCTCCCAGCCCCTTACATCATACAACCTAGGGATATCAGTGACGTCTTTGCCAACCTCAGGGCAGTCTTGTCCAACCATTACATCATTTTGAAGTAAAATCCATGTGAACCTTGAAGTATCTTTGTAAAACTAAGGAACCTCATCAAAAGAATAATTAGGACCAAGATTTATATTCTCATGAATTCCACATGTTCCCAGCAAGTACTAAACTCGATGAATACAATGGTCACTTTTAATAAATTAATAAATATAAACATCCCCATTCTTGGCAAAAATCTCACTTCCATCCTCGGTATGAAATAAAACATGATAAATGATAATGTGTGTATTTTGACAAAATGTGATTTATGGACAAGTGGTAACGACAGACATCAACTACCTAACAACGGGTAACATTGCTCTGCACAGCTCACAACCACGAGGTAACAGTCTCTCTCTCTCACACACACATACACACACACAAATGAAAACACAATAGTTCATGCAGCCAATAACCTTTAGAAACATCATGTCATGGTCAGAACAAAACTACATGCTGGTGACCCTAGAAATGTTCCAAACACTTGATGAACCAAAAGTGATAATGATCCACAAATAATGATAAAAAAGGATACACTATACGAAAAGGATAAAGATTGGTATAATTGCAATGAAATATCATTATATTTCTATGCAACTTATAAATAATACAACAGAACAAACAGTACAGTTCTCATAAACTCAACATCCTCTTATTCTTTGGAGAGAGAATCTTTTTCAATTTATACTTGAATTTTGTCCTTTCAGTCTGGGTCAGCTCCACATTAAGTTTCATTCTGTCCATAGCAATTTCATCAGTTATAGTAGAAACAAGCATGCATAATTGTTTCTGCTGTGTGAACGTGATGCACATACATGGCCAGTAACCTGCCTAGTGGTTAACAGCAGAAAGCTACGTATAAATACTTGGCCCGAGCTCTTTTGTACATTCATATATACACGAGGTTTGTACAGGATACAAAAGGTGATGATAGATGATACTTATGACCTACAATGGCGATCAGCAGACACTGCACACGTTCCTTCAACAGTAGTACCAACAAGAGAGCATTAGCAAAAACATAGATTTCAAACAGGTTACACCGTGATATAGCAAGTGCTCAAAAGAGTTAGATGTTTATGAAGAAATAGTTTTGTGGAAAAGTAATTCACAAATCAACTACTTATATATCACTAACTTTATATAATTTCACCAAAAATAATAATGATATTGATTTACATTTATAATATATATATCTATATACATATGTTTTGAAACATTGATAAAAATGTGTATGCCCAGCAGACCAGTACGGCTGTACACTGGTATAAGTTTCCAAATATCTAAATACAGATTCAAAGCAATCATCGACAGCATTGCTTCCATGCAGGACGAACAGTACCCTGATACAAAGTTTTCAGACCGGCTGATCAGAAAATATTTATACGACATGTTGAAACAGGCAATAACTGTGACCTAACCAAGGGGCACAATCACATCAACCATGCTGCTCGATAGAAACGGTGTACAACATTGGGATTCATACAGACACCATGAGGACCTTCTCAACGTGGTACATATGGCCCAAACACACGTTCCAAATCAGGTTCTCAGACACAAGCTTGCATGGCCCAAATTAAAGTGACCTAAAGAAACATGGCCCAAATCAATGGGCCCAAGTCAAGCAAACACTGCTGAACACATACATTTGATAGGAATTATGGAAGACTTCAAAGTATTCTTTGGTTGTGGATATTTGGAGAAAGCAATAGATGCAATTCATTATAGATTGGCTCCATTACCTAACACACCACAAAAATTGGTCTAGGAATATGACTGTAGTACACCTATTGACAAACTGGACATAATAACCATGTACTCTGTAACACCAAATGCACTGGACTAATGAAGAACATTCGCTTCATATATTTGGATGAACACAAATGAAATACTGTTGAGCTGAATTTAAAAGAGTGATAATATTCTGTTTCTGAAAAGAACGAACCAGTCGAGATCTAAGCAATCTGAACACTGTACTGAACCTCAGATCAAGTTCCATTGACAAGCTACAGAGTGACATCAACCATCACACATGGGGCAGTCAGACGTGTCAGTAGTCAGACACATGTCACCAGACACCAGACATGTTATCAGTCTGTCAGATCGGACATGTATGATGTCATCAGTTTTCAGACGTGTCGTCAGTAAAGCATGCTACATGTCATGCTACCTGTGACATCAATAACAAACATAACAGTCAGATCACACATGTGACATCGGTCCAACATGAAATATCAGACATCAGACACATGACAGCCAGATATACAACATCAATCATGCACATGACATCAGTATCTCATGCATGGAGATGCGACTCTAGTAGCCTGCAAACACTACACTGTATCCATCACCTTGACAACAGACCAGATGGTGTCCAACATCTGCGTCAACTTGCACCTATGTAGACATGACTGTAATCACTCAGACACACCATCGTCTTGAGAGAAAAAGTCAGACCACATGGCGTCTACCATTCACTGACATGCATGTAGACATGACCTCTTGTAGCCTGCACACACAAACACATCTCTACATTCCAGTGGGCACTTCTCAAACTTTCTGGCAAACATTGTAAAATTAAGCCCACCAGTCCAAAGTCTGTAACTGCCAGCAGAACCTTTGACAGAATACATCCCTACTTTCCTTCATGAATCTAAAATAGTCCATCTGTAATGTAGAAAGGTTCTGAACACTGATGCACCTCACTGTTTTAACCTTGTCCTTTCTCTGTCATAGCACTATTCCGTCTACCCTCTTGATGATGCACACTGGTGTCGGCCCTTTTCACACCCTCTCTATCCAATGTGAAGTGTCCCTGTGGTGTTAGGACCATCTTGACACCAAGTTTGGACATTGTGTTTGTGAAGAGCTGATCCATCATATGGCTAATGATAGGGAGTTTCGGTGAATTTGATTTCCTTGTCCTCTTTGGCGAAGCGATTTGTCTGTGCTTACGGCAGTGCGGTGCGTGAGTATACTGATATGCACATCATTACCATAGTAACCATGTCTAAATGATAATCATACGTATCACCACTCATTCAAACGAATTATCTTTCATTCTTCATATGAGGTGTGAATTGCTTCCCAAATGAACACTGAATCAACATTGCTACACATTAAGGCGGTGAACCCATCCAACAGACCTCAGAACTGTGCATATAAAACTGCAAAACTAACAGAGTATAACATGTAAATATAGCATGCCTGTTTGGCACGATGTAAATACCCATAACCCAATGCCCACAGATCGCTTCTGCTCCCCCTCACCCTAATTCCAAACACTCTTCTTGTACTGACCCTATGGCTCCCCCTACCCCCAACTTCTTTCACTTGGAATCGAACCTACTTGCTCAAAATCTTAGACCAACAACCAGCACCCACCCCACCCAACGCCATCTCTTCATACTCCCTCCCCCAATCTGAGATCCCCATTGTATCATCTCGCCTCCTGGCCTCGACACTGTTCCTTTTGTGCTCCCTCCTCCCTCCTACCCTACCCCGACTGGCCTGAATTGTGTGGAAGAACTGAGGTAACGGTCATGTTTAACAGACTTGGTATCATCACAACAGAGGGACAACAAAACTCTACAGATCAGTATGTACAGTCATTCGTTAACATAAAACAGCACATTCAAGCATAAATATTGTAGATATATATACAAAACAAGTCTTTGGTTGCAGATTTTGATGCATATGTTTTGGACATCATAAAAAAGGCCATGAATATAGGCGTAGGTTCATATAATGATACATCTGACTGCATAGTCAGAGATGTTGAGCTTCTAGCTAGGACAGAGTAGATGCCCTCTCTTCCATTAGCCATACCAAGGATCACCTCACAATGTTCTCTGTGAGACACCGGCTGCCTCAACAATGTCGTCACATACCGTGCTCCTGCACTGTAATGCCCACAAAACCTTCAGAAGGCCGATTAGGGCAAGGAACACACCTCTTCAAGGCATGGTATCATCTTGACAACAATCCTTGTGAAGACTTCCAAGCTTACAAGGAACTACCCTGGATACGACTCCCTAAGAATGGGACCCAGTCCGCCACACAGTGGCAGGAAAGTGACAACCAGCCCAGCAGGGGACCCACATCAATTGACTCGCAGTGTGTGTGACTCCATGGGTGCAGCCGAGTCATAGAGAGTGTCTGTGTCCTGCGTGGGCTCCCCCTGAAGCTGACACTGGTTATTCAGGGTTCCTGCTCCACAGTCACAGAAAAAGCGGTCGTGTCGTATAAACTCTACTTCATGACCAGCATGGCAGGTTTTGATACAGTTCACACAGATAGCATTCCTCTCTGTTGTGTTACATGTCCGACATCTGCAACACAAGGCAAATATTCCATGAAAGATCGACCTCACTAGCGACTAACCCTTTCATCAATGTTGACAAAAAGTAATTAGATTCTAAAACTTCAAGTCTTAGTCCACTCGAAGACAAACATCAGATTATGAAGGTCTGAATTGACATTGTGACTGTGAAATTTGTTCTCACAACACAAAAAACAATTAGAAGGTTTTCTTTTAACTGTGGTCAGCTGTTACAGAAGAAAACAAAAGTGGTTGTAATACCAACTCAATACTGATTAATACAGATCAGTGAAGAGAGAAAGTTGGAAGCAGTAAAATTTTACCTGTAGAAGTCATGCATGGGAAAGCTTGTATAGCTGGAGATCTTGTAGAGACACTGGCCAGCACCCACAGCTTTCTCCACCATGTTGTGGTTGCCGCTGATGTTGTTGTCTGAAGCACATGCCACAGATGAAGAAACTTCACACCATCTACCCTCGAGTACTTATCTCATTCAATATAACTGACTGACACATCCCCACAGCTTAAACACAAATATACTGATTTTTGTGATTAATGTCAAAGTGAGAAAAATTTCCAGAAATATAACAGCAGCATGTAAATAAAAGTGGAGGACCAGACAAACCAGTGATTCACCTAATATGCAACATAACACATAATCATCCATCCCATTCAATCAGACCGCCTCCGTGTGTAGTGGTTAGAGCGTCCGCCCGGAGAGGGGAAGGTCGCGGGTTCGACCCCCGACCACTTCATACCAAAAGACGTTAAAATATGGAACTTGTTGGTCCCTGCCTGGCGCTCGGCATTAATGGGTACAACAAGGACTGGTCGGCTTGGAGTCAGTATAATGTGTCTGAGAGGGGTATTCATGCTTCACTGCAGCATGGTATCTCAGTGAGCTAGCACTATAAAACCAGCTGAATACACATACACATACACACGCATGCACGTCGTCATATGAGCGAAATATTCTCCGGCACGACGGACGTTAAACCCAATTTCACCTCACCTCACCCATTCAGTCAGATATAGATTGCTGGAGACCAGATTTATATGCCACTGACATTTGCTTCTTCTCAATTGAAATATATTTGGAAAGATTCCAGCACAGTGATCCTACATTTACCACTAAGCCCATTAACCACAGTAGTAAAAGCACAGTATTTGGGTTTGGCTGCTGTAAGCATTAACATTAACCTTCAAATTGACACAAGTTAGGAAAGGACACTTAACCTGTAACATTTACCATGGTAACCAAACAGCAGTGAACATATAAGGATACACCTGGAAAACCTGAAATTCTTGTCAATAAAACAATTAGAAAAAGGCCACTTGGCATTTACATGACAATCATACGTTCACTCCTGCACTGCTGTAAATTAGTTTTCAGACTTTCATGGAAATCTATGTTCTTAAGGGCCATTTATAAGGATTGAACAGAAATCAACCTAGGTGAGGTGAGGTGAAATTGGGTTTAACGTCGAGCTTGAGAATATTTTGCTCATATGACGACGTGCATGTGTGTGTATGTGTATGTGCGGCTGCTTTTACTAGCCCAGACTTAAGCTGGTTTTATAGTGCTAGCCCACTGAGATACCATGCCGCAGTGAAGCATGAATACCCCACTCAGACACAGTATACTGACTCCGAGCCGACCAGTCCTTGTTGTACCCATTAATGCCGAGCGCCAGGCAGGGACCAACAAGTACCATATTTTAACGTCTTTTGGTATGATGCGGTCGGGGATCGAACCCGCAACCTTCCGCACTCCGGGCGGACACTCTAACCACTACACGATGGAAGCGGTCCGAAATCAACCTAGAAGTTATGTGGCAAATACACTTCATGTGAGACTGTTGCTATCAGGCTTGTGCCAAGCTGTATCACTGTAACTTGTAACTAATATATCAATCACTGACTTCTTTACCTTTCAGTTTGGGATTGACACCACTGGCAAGACACAGGCCTCCAAATTTATTGTTAAAGATCTTGTTCTCTTCCAATGTGGCTGTGGCATTGTTTGTTATCTCCACACCAGCTGCCTGCCCGTCAAAGATACGATTCCTTCGCAAGATAGGATGGCTCTGTGTACTGATGAGGACACCAGCCTGGGCGTTGCGGAAGATGTCATTCTCTTCTAAAATGCCTGCCAATAGAAAGGTTGTTATTCATTATGGTTCCACAATCGAGGGGGCACAGGTTGCCAGTTGTCTAAGGCCCCACAATTTGCTGTGCAGAGTTGCCTCCCTTTGGCATGTAAGCACCCTGTGTCTGAGGGTTTGATGCTCAGTTTGCCTCAGTTATTGATACAATCTTGTCATACCCATGCTCACTTGTTTCAGCTAAGTGGAAAACATTCACTTCAGACTTCCCTCTGACAGTAAGTGGATATAACTGGGATGCTGTTTAAAGCAATGGTTTGAATGTCATATTTATGGGAACTTCATAAAAGGGGATACCCAAATTTGACACAATGCACCAAAATACAGGTTTGAGGTTGGGTCATCAAGTGACTGCTACTCAAAGCTACTACCTTTATCAAAGAATATGAGTTAGTGTTGTTTTATGCAACAGTTCAATGTGTTAAATTCAACAGCTGACAGAGGCCTACAAATAAGAAAAAATTGACCAGGCAAACAAAATACTGAAGACGTAAGCACCAATGCTCAGAATACCCATAAACTTAAGATTCTGAGGAAACAGTGTGGTTACCTTTCCCGCCATTAAAGATACAGATCCCACCATCTCGGCCATCATGTATCTTGTTGTGACGTAGCACTGGGTTGCTGTCAGTCTTTATCCAAATACCTGCCATGGCATTGTCAAAGATCTCGTTGTTCTCTATCATTCCCAGCCCGCTGTTGTACACCAAGATACCACCATTCTGGCCTCCCCAGATCTTGTTGTGGCGGATCAATGGGTTACTCCCAGTTCTAGAAAGTTAATTCACAAAAACATGTACGCAAGAATAAAAATATCAAACACAACACATGTACAATGTAGTGATGTGACTATTCATCGATATGCATCGATGCATGGGCCGCCGATACTGTGAATCGATACAAAGTTTTACATTGTCGTATATCCCGATATGATACTTCAAATGGGCCATGATACATCGATGTTTAACTTTGATTGCCGAATCGTGATATCTGTCAAGCAAGACTTACTTTTGTTTGATGATTAAAATGTATGCATACTTATTTTCCCTTCAAAAGTTTCTTGGAAATTCTGTGTCAAACATAGCGCTCGCATTTTATTTACATTCACAAAGTCCGTGTATAAAGTTAATTATCTCATTTCCGAATGAACATTGACAAAATACTTTAAAATGGTTTTGTTTGATCTTAAGGTGTTTCATAGTTGGTGTTAGAATTAAAGATTTTAGTATTGTATTGCCACCCTTGTATCGGGATTTGTAGCGTATCGCAGCTCAAGTGCACAATACTTTGGCAATATATCGTCATGTGACTACAATTTTAGTATCGTGATGTATCGTATCCCAGGTTGTAAGCCAATACCAGCACTAGTACAATGATGTGAAAATTCAATCACTTGTTCAGTACTTAACAAAATTTCTCGTAAAGCCAAAATCAACTAATCCAGAATATGTCAACTAGACATGTTCATGCCGTCCATGATAGGACAAACACTGTCCATTTTGGGTGAGTGAGTTTAGTTTTATGCTGTACTCAACAAAATTCCAGCTATATGGTGGCGGTCTGTAAATAATCGAGTCTGGACCAGACAATCCAGTGATTAACAGCATGAGCATAGATCAACACAATTGGGATACGATGACGTGTCAACTAAGTCAGCGACTCTTAAGACAAGCATGGATTACTGAAGATCAATTCTAATCCAGATCTTCACAGGTCTGCCTGTTTGGACAAAAATCCTCATGGGTAATGACCGAGTAAAAGTGACTGATTCAATGTACAGCCAAGAACAAACCTTATCTGTACTCCAGAATACAAATGGTTGAAGATATCATTGTCCTCTAACACACCATGGCCATTGTCATAGAAGTACACTCCAACCTGGAACAGACAGTGATAAGATGGGGGGGTTTAATGTCAATATCTACAACAGAGGTTAGGGTAACATACCAACACTCCACTAATAATGCAAGATGTCTCAAAATGCCATAGTGGGTTTGGGACACAATGTTGAAAACCAATTATTTTCACTAATCCATTTAAATGCCATCGAAAGGTAAATGTGGAGTCCACAAGAAAATGTTGCCTGTCCCAATCATTAAAGATATTAATAGCGCACCTGTTTGCCACTGTGTATTCTGTTTCGACGCAGCACAGGCGTACTACCTGTTGTAATCCACACACCAGCCAAAGTGTTGGCATACACCTCATTCTCCTCGATCAGACCTTGACCTTTCTCATGCTGATAATACAACAAGTCAACAATCAGCAAATGGATAAACAAGCAATGTTAAATAATATGGAAAAGTGCCGAAGGGTCCTCATTAATAATGTTAAAAGTTACTGTGGCAGAAAACATCAAGGATTCCTCTTAATTTTGAACAATGATATTGCATTGAACAATTTGTTTTAAAAAGTAGTCACAACACAAATATACTGCAGTAAACTGTTCTTTACTTCAACATTTTTTCAACATGTTGTAAGTCTTATATATTGTCCTGAGTATCTTGCTAAGTCTTGAAATAGAGACGACCTTGCCAAAGTTCAAGCTAATATATCTTTGTGAAACAGGGACACTGACACTGAAATCATCTTTCTATTCCCTGTTCTACCCAAAAGCAGAAGACTTACCACATATATTCCACCATGTTGGCCATGGTGAATCTTGTTGTGTCTTACAATTGGGTTGCTGTTAGTTCGAATCTGGATACCAGCCAGAGCATTGCCTAAAACAAAGTATTTGATCATTTACATCGTTAAAACAAACAGCAACACATTACTTCCTGGTTATTTCTTTTTCAAGTGCATGTTAAATTGCAGTCAACTTACCATAAATATTGTTGTGTTCTATAAGCCCTCGTCCATCCCCAAATATGTACACACCACCCTGATGCCCATTGTAGATTTCATTTTTTCTGAAAAAAGAAAGAGACTTTTATAGCAAATCTTCATTAACGGAATAAACACAACATGAAAAACTTGAATAACACAATAAGCTCTGTAGCTCACCTACCACAGACTAGCTTTGTGTAAAAAGTGCTTTTAATAAAAAGTTGCAGCTTGATAGAAAGTTCTTATTAGGCTCCAAATACAGCCTGATGTGACACAGTGAGAAGACAGTCTTAAGTGATCCAGATTTTACACCATTCATCACATATATCGTAGGGATGGAAATTGACATAGAAAGATAACTAGTCCAAGTAGCGATATCATATAGCAATATCCCCGACCCCCAAAACATTTATTCTTCTGTTAATGAAATACTGTACAGACCTTAGGACATTTTCTAACATTACCAACACTGACACACATATGGGTAGAACATAACCCTCAACAGTTAACACTGCACAGTAGAAACACACCTAATTTCATCCATGTACCTGACTGAATGGGGAACAACAGCTACAAATACCACTAACAATATGGCCGTCATTAAAAACAAATTGACCATTACGATTATCTCAGAACTGTTTCTAGCTTGCTTTTTCTTTAGATTCAGAGAGTTCTGTGAGTGGCATTTTAGAAGTTGGCAAGTACAATATAGACAAACTTTATGGATAACAACTTCTTTATTTCGTGAGTGTGACGTTTCGATACAGATATTTGTTTCTTGTTTCTTGACAACGGTCCAAGAATCTATATAGAAATGTTGCACTCATGAAATAAGAAAGTTCTTATCCATAAAGTTTGTCTATATGATTCAGAGAAGTATAATATAGAATATAAACATGGAAGGATGGCACTCCATGAAAAGTTCTGTTACCACCACATTTACCATTATACAGACAACATATGTCCTACTAGACCTGTCACCCCCCTGAAAGCCTTACCTTATTGTAGGATCACTGTTGGATGTGATCCACACTCCAGCAAAATTGTTTGAGTGTATTTTGTTCTCTATGAACTGCCCCCTGCCATTCTCATGTACGTAGATGCCCCCAGTCTGGCCATGATGGATCTCACAGCGTACAACAGTGGGGTTGGCCCCTGCCTTCACCTCAAAGCCAGCAATGCGGTTGTTGTGGATATCACAGGAATCAAAGTAGCCCTGTACAGAAAGTCCATAGTGAGTGAGTGAGACTACATACTGTGCTTCCAACACTGAACAAATGCAAGATGAGAAACCTGGTTTGAGAATATTCTAAAAATCTACCCATTATCTCCCACAACTGTTCAAATGAAACTTTAACAAAAGTTGGCTGTCACCTAATGTCTTCAAATTCATATGCCAAAAAGAAATATTTATCTTGACAAAAAGACCCTTGACTGAGAGAGAGTCATTTACTAGTACTTACCAAGCCATTATCGAAGGTAAAGACTCCGACATCCCGCCCATGATGTATGTGGTTTCTGCGCATGATGGGGTTGGAATGGTTCTTGACCCAGATACCAGCCAGAGCATTCCCACTGATTTCATTGTCCTCATAAACACCCTGCAAAAGGTCATGGGTTTCTATTAACTGGCTTGTAAACACCGTTTGACAAAAGTCACAACAATCTACAGATATTTTCTTACACATTCGTAGCAATGCATTTACTGGGCCACTGAAACATCAGTGTACATGAAAGTATAGTGGAGATTTTGGGTGAGTATAGGTGACAAGATATTCTGCTGGTCATAAGAAGAGGCTTAATTTGTGAATCATGTCTCACAATATCTATTACAGGTTTATCTGGTCAAAACTTGATAATTTACAGACCTCCATCATAGAAAGAATATCGTCAAGTGCGGCATCAAATGGGAATGTGCCATTTATTCTCGCTGAACAGTTTCATTTTTGCTTCATACAATATTTGACAGGCTCTCAAATTGCTCCACACTTTCCACTGTTTGCAATGTGTTGTGTTGCAACATGTCCTATTTATCCATGCACTGTCACAAAATGTTTTGTCTGAGCATCCTGTAAATATAGGTCAGAGCAATGCTGTAAAGGCATGACAAAGGCACTATCATTCAGATCACACACTGTAACCACTCACACTATCTGTCTGCCACAAACAAGTTGTGGTTCACTCATAACGATGCACTCACCTGGGCATAGTCCGTGATGTAGAGGCCAACATTCTCACAGTCCTTGATTAAACAGTGTTTGATTGTTGGGTCTGACCCAGAGCCAGACACACAAACTGCAGCTCCCACTGAAAGTAACAACACCACATTATCCTCACAACCTGTTTATTTTATCAAACAAAAAACATGCTTTCAACATCTTGAAGTTGGCACTTTTGACAAAATTGTATAAAGACCAATCCCTTACCAACAGATGTGCTCTTGATGCGACAGTGGTCGACCGTGGGTGTACAATTCTCAGCTATCTCCAGTGAGTAATGCCGGTGGTGGGGTACTGATGAGGTGATGTCAGGTGTGAACTGGAAGTCAATAATTGGGTACAGTTAAATCTACCGCTGATAAACAATCTGAATAAATAACCTCACATAAATTACAAATGGGAAATTTGCATTCACCACACAGTCTGGAATTTTTTTCAGGAGGCACGTTTTGGTACTTCTAAGGGAGATAATCCAAATTACCTCCCCTTGAACAAAAATTTCCTCTCATCATCTTTGTGCTGTGAAAAGCCTGTAGAGGAGGTTCAGAACATAGCAACAGCAATAAATACTTCCTATACTAACCGCAGTTGAACATCATTAATCCAGACCTTAAAGTCACATCAATGATTACAGCTAGGAACTACAGAATTTGCCAATATGTAGCTTCATGTTTTGTTTTCTTTGTGTTCCAAAATAAAGCCTGTTTTCTGTTAATCAATCTCTTTCCAAGTTTGTAACTCCATTACAACCATATTCTGCAAGTCATGTCAGCACTAACACTGCTGAAATTTAACACAAACACAATTTTGTCAAGAAGGCTCTGGAGGATTTAAATACAAATCATACATAACAACAGCAGTGTAAAGTGAAGTCTTTACAGTATCTAGATACCCCATTAAATCATGTATGGTAAACAGAAGGATCATGACAGGGGCACCTCGACTTTCTCACCTAACCTGTAACACAGAATTTCATAATCTCTAGACTGACACTAACCTTCAATGTGAGGTATCCCAGATACGCTCCCTTAGCACCATCAACAAACATTACAGTTGATTCACTCTCCCGCTCGATTATCACATGATCCATAACGTTCCCCGGAGCGGCTCCAATGATTGACACTGAGATATCGATGAGGAGGAACTCCCCCTGATACAGACCGGAGTGAACGAAGATGAGAGGGTTCTCCACCTCCTCTGTGTCCACGTAACTGTATGCCTGCTCTATACATTCAAAACACTGAAACAGAAGAACAATACAACATCCTTTCAGCAGTGTGAACACAACATTCCAAAGACACATAACATATTATGCATAAATATTTCCCAATATAACACTTCATAACTTTTTAACATAAATCCACCATCCTGTCATCACAATCAAGGACAGATTAAGATACAGCAGCAGATAATAAAATGCCAATGTTACATTTCTCATCAATTGTTTTATACCAGGTGTACCAACCATGAGATTTCTTCCTTTTAACCGTTTCCCCCCCGTGGGTTGTAGAGTGACGCATAACCAGGTCGTACATGGAAGCCACGATACTGTGAAAGCAAAATACATTATCAAATCCAGGTGAAAACAAAAACTAGGAATCAATAGTGGTGGTCCGATTGCTTGAAATAATCAAGGATTGGTCGCAGTGACTAAACAACCAAACCGAACATATTTTCTCATAATCCAACACAAACAATCTTGGAACGCTTGTTTGCGTCGACAATATTTTTCACAAGGTTGGTTTTATCTGTGCCATTAAATTTACAAAAATTATTTCTTAAGCACTACAAGCTCATTCCAAGTCATGATTGAATTCATCTTAAAGACTCCAAGAAATCTATGTTCCTAACATATTAATCATCCTTTAAATAAGCTAAATTTGCAAATGCATTTTGTGCAATTAGCAGAAAAAACACAAAGAACTACGTTGTGTTTTTCTTTATTTTATTTTTCATAAACAAAGATAACAGGAACATTTGATAAATGACGCTAACCAATTACTTTCGATGATTGATCGGTTGTAATGGATCGATCATCAATTATGAGATATTAATCAATTCCCAACACCAGTAATCAAAAGAGGAAACAAACTGAATACAGGTTTCCAGTCTAACTCTTCTAAAGTAAAATAATACCTCCTAGCAGTCCATCAACATAATATCTACATGTGAGTATACAGCAACAGTAAACTGGCAGGTTATATGTACAGCATTAGCAATTGATGAATACTGACCAGTTGTTTAAAGCTTTCTCTCCAGGAGTTTTCAAACTCGGAATCAGTTGGGTTAATGAACTTGAAGACTCTAGGTTCAGGGTTGAGCAAGGGATTATCATACTCAAAGACATCTTGGTATAAGTTTTTCCTGAAAGAGACACTCAGCATAAAGTAACAGCAAAGGTGATGTCGGCAGCTGATAAGTTAGATTATCTGATGCCACCAGGTGGACTGAAACATATGTTTCTGTGAAACAAAATACAAGCATGTGAATGTTTTCAATTGTACCCCCATAACACTGATGGCAACACAGAATCCAGCATGTCAGTTAGAAGGCCTAGCACTTTGTTGAACAATTCCAATGGCAGAATGTGTTGGAAAGGCAAACTGAGGGATTCACACAGACTTGCTAAGAAGCCATTATTGCCAGTTGGAATTAAACATTTGATTCCTCAGATACACAGAAATAGGAATCCTATTTTGAGAGATATGAAGATTTTTCAATTTGTATACCAAGGACAATGGGTTGGGAAACTTGGATAAATCCATGGGATATATTATGCAAATACCTAATGAGCCAAGTGGAGTTTTGGCTTATCTTTGTGGAATTTGAAACATTACAGCTGCTATGTAAGAAAATTATAAAGTAGGGTATGATTTCAATTATTTTCACGACCTGCAACATGTGTGGCCAAGTGAATTAATCAGGTTGCACCATTAAAATATTGGCTGCACCATGTTATAAGCAGTCCCATCGCTGTCACTGACTGCAGACTATTTTCAGAACCAACGTTGCTAACTACAGAATAGGAAACATTGCTTGATGTCTGAAGGGATGTTTTGAAAGATTTTTTGCTTTTTAACTGACATTTTCATTAAAAAATATCATTTCTTTTCCGTTTGGCAAAATCAACTTGTTCACCATTGGACGTGATGTATTACACAATGATATCTGACCTTACATGAAATATCCCAAGAATGTGTACATTGTGTGAACTTTGCAATGAGCATGAAAGCAGTCTTGTTTACATTTTTTAGTTCTGGTAATTGATTCATCTGGTACAGACAATAGAAGACTTATTTAATACTTAAATTTACAGTAATGAAACTGCTACTATGCACTTTTGGCAATGTTTCCTGCACTTGGTGCAACCACACAATAAAAGTTACATGCACTGGTACAGTCTGAATATAGCAAAACCGATCCCTGTAAAGTTTTTGAACATGAACAATTTGATGACAGACATCCATACTGCAACTGAAAGGATGGATGGATATGGAATATATACTGAGGGAAACGAATAAGGGAACGCTTACTTGTTAAGGTGAAAAGGCGGTGTTGTTCCAAATGTTTAAGGAACAATTTAACCATAACTGACTGAAAATATTGCCCTCAAACTCATCCTCAGCGATCATTTTTCACGTGCAGATTAAGCATGAGGACTATAAAAGCGTGGGGACAATTTTTAACACTACAGAGCCACGAATGCTCAAGACACTCAAAACCTTGAAATCATGCCCGCCGATACCTTTCTGAAAATGAGAAATGGCAGGCAATCAGGAGCATAAACGGTGGGACATCAATTTGTTAGACAGGAAGAGACTTTAACAAGTCAAACAGTGTGATATCATGACTGTGGAACTTATACCACCAGACAGGCTGACGTTAAGATAAGACGATTGGTCGTGGTCCCAATAAAAAAACCGTCAGCACATGAAGATCGTCATATACTGTTGATTTCCTTGCGAGACCGGTTCAAATCAGCTTCGAATATAAACACTGAGTTCAGAGCAATAACACAGTTACGAATAAGCAAACGTACAGTTAGAAATCGACTCAAATCAGCCAGTTTAAAATCAGGTCACCCAGTTGTGGGAATTCAGCTTTCTGCAGAACACAGAAGAGATTAGGCTAGGCAGCATCGACATTGGTGACATTGGTGCTATACCATGTTTAGCGATAAGTCACGCTTCAATTAGGACTTTGCAGATGGTCGTATCTGTGTGTGGGGACGTATCCATGAACGTCATCACCCATGTACTGTAAAACAGCATGATCGATATGGCGCCTGATCAGTAATGATGTGGGGTGGGATCACCTACGATCGGAGAACTGATCTAGTGTGATTAGATGGAAGGATAACAGAGATGAAGTGCTGCAGCCAGTAGTTGTTCCCTTCCAGCGAAGAACAGGTGGGAATTTTTACTTCCAGCACGACAATGCCCGTCCACATACTGCTCGCATATGCAAGGATTTTCTGGCGCAAAACAACATCCGAGTTCTACCATGGCCATCGAAAAGTCCAGATCGAAACCCAATTGAACACCTTTGGGACCTTCTTGGACGTCGTGTCAGATCCTGCGCTGTACAGTCACAGACGAGGGACGCCATGTTCCAAGCTCTCCAAAAGGAGTGGCAGGCTATTCCCCAGGCTGTAATCCGGAATTTGACCGAAAGTGTCCCATGTTGATGCCAAGCAGTGATCCGGAGGCATGGGGGGCACACCAGATACTGACATTTCAATTGCAGTGTGCGTGACCTTTTAACATTGCTCTCACAAAGTCCAGTCAATAAAACATTTTTTTTCTATATACACATGCGTTCCCCTTATTCATTTCACTCAGTATATATTAAGTTGCAGTTATTTATTTGGAATCAGAATCTAGACTTTTGCAACATCTAAATTCCATATCACCATGTAGGTTATACAACAAACAAAAGCAAAATAGCACCATTGAAAGTTAAGTTATTTAGAGAAAATAATGTCATTTCCATGAACATGATCAGGGGTCCCTGATGCGTTGGTTGGTTTGTTGTTTAATGCCACACTCAGCAGTATTCCACCTATATATCGGCGGTCTGTAAAGAATTGAGCCTGAACAGACAATCCAGTGATCAACAGCTCAAGCATCGATCTACGCAAATGGGACACAATGACATGTGGTCAACCAAATCAGCGAGCCTGACCACCTGATCCTGTGAGTCGCCTCTTATGACAAGCATGGGTTGCTGAAAACCAATTCTAACCTGGATCTTCATGAGTCAGGTCCCTTATGGATAAGAATAGTTTACCTTGCAGTGTAGTTAGAACACCAACATTATTGTATCCCAAGATACTCACCAAAGTTCCAGATCATTGGCAATGTCCCTGAAGCGACGACACACCTGTGCCGCCACACAGAGGTCCAGCTCTAGCAGGTAGGAGAATATCTTCAGTAACACTTCATCAGGCAAGTCCTCCTGGAGGTATTTGGCTCCCACACCACCTGGTGCACACAAGGATTACGATTAATAATCAACTACATTAGCAATACTGTAACATAATCATCACATAATCATTACAATCACCTGTACAAATGTCATCATTCATGTTTAGAATGTACCACAACCTTATATCTTCCAACATTCCCCAATACTCAATGCAGTATATCTATGTTCTGTTGTGATAATACTTCAGACATAATCACCACCTGAGCTTGATTTTGAGTCTGATTCCTATGGTACAAAGCCATATATGGCTGTCCATTCAAATTAAGCTCATGTGCAGATGAAAGTTTGTGCTAAATACAAGAAATAAGCAATTAAGATGTCTGCTCACATGATGCATCACTGCAGTCCTGAATGATGAATTATCATGATCATTTGTTAGTGTTTGATATGAGGCATTAACATCAAGGATGCCTTGCCATAACCCTAACATTAGTAACAATCATTTAGAAATTCAGGGAATCCCCAGATGTAAATGGTATACATGTAAAGGCAAACCACATGGATCACACGAGACAGAGTATGCACATGTTTTTTGTAAAAATAACCCATACATGACTAGACTGACTGACTGACTGAGTTTGGTTTTACGCAGCTTTTAGCAATATTCCAGCTACATCACGGCGGGGGACACCAGAAATGGGCTTCACACATTGTACCCATGTGGGGATTCGAGCCCGGGTCTTCGGCGTGACACATGACTAGAGCACTTACTAGATCAAAAGTAGTATAATGATAAGGAACATTTTCTATTTTCAGCCTAATGTAAGAGTAACAGATATTTCCAGCAATCTCTCACTGGACAGTCAGAAATTGAATCTGGGTCAGGTGAACCAGTGGCTGACTGCATGAACCACTTGGGCACATTGACACACAAAGTCACAGAGCCTGACCATCCAGTTCATTTCTGTCAACTGTTTCTTCTGACTGATTCTAACCATCAACACTGCAACCTATGGCTGTAGCCTGTAAATAACCCAAGTCTGGACCTGACACATCAGTGATTCAGGTGAGGTGAAGTGAAATTGGGTTTAACGTCGTGCTTGAGAGTATTTCACTCATATGACGACGTGCATGCGTGTGTATGTGTATGTGCGGCTGCTTGTACTAGTCCAGACTGAAGCTGGTTTTATAGTGCTAGCCAATGCTGCAGTGAAGCATGAATACCCCACTCAGACACATTATACCGACTTCGAGCCAACCAGTCCTTGTTGTACCCGTTAATGCCAAGCACCAGGCAGGGACCAACAAGTACCATATTTTAACGTCTTTTGGTATGACGCGGTCGGGGATCGAACCCGCGACCTTCCGCTCTCCGGGCGGACGCTCTAACCACTACACCACGATGCTGTCCATCAGTGATTCATGATTCTGAACAATGTCCCACATCCTAACGGTATCCACTATCAAACATGTCATCTGGCCTTTACCACATGCCTCATTATGTTGTGTCACGCAACAAGCACTGGTTCATGAAAACTGGTTTTAACCTGGCAGCCCCCTTAGGGTGATGGCGTCTAGTTTTATGCTGCTATTAGCAATATTCCAGCAATATCGTGTCCAGGGATACCTGAAATGGGCTTCACACATTGTACCCTAATACCCATGTGGGGAATCGAAACCAGGTCTTAAGTTTAACCACAAAACTACCCCACCGCCCCGCCCTCTTAGGGACCACGGAAATTAATAAGTGTAAATTGTTGCATACAAATGCTTAAAACCATGCCTGAACATGATATGATGCCCAAGGTTCACAGACAAACTAACTAGCATTAAGAAACTGCTTTGAGTCACGTTTAGAAGCTGGTCACTTGCTTGATCACAATGTTAGTATCTACATCAAAGTGTCGCAACCATTGCAATATAGACGTTGTCTATCCATAAAAAATTATTCCTGTTCAGCATTAAGTAATTAAGAACTCTATTGCAGTTTTATACAGATCTGTGCAGTGAGGTGAACTGTGTCAAACTCTTGGCTGTCCTAGTTGAATATGGAAACAATGTACTAGCAAGTCTTTTCTTCTTGCACCAAATGTTTTAGTTTGATATAGATGTCAACACATATTGCACTTGGTGTCAGCAAATGAAATGTATTAAGGAAGCATATTCATAGTATGTGACTAGTTACCTGAAAAATGCCTTCAAGTACTAGAGTATTGTGATGTCAGCAAATATTTGCAAAGAAAATCTGATACTAAACACAGCTGACATCTTGGCAACAACTGGGAGTAAATGAGGAAATATCAGTAGTCTTTCCTAAATTTTCCTGGTCTCAGATTAGGAGACTTCAAAACAATTTTGTTTACTTGAGGGGCACGTTTGCATCATAATTTATTCCTGGCCACTCCCAACCCATGTAATAGAGGCATGGGATGAAATACTAATTTCGAATATCACAAACTTGCAAAGCATTACCGTCCATAACATATTGACCTGGACTGGTTTAGACTGTATTGGTAAACAAAATCAGATAAGGTGAATCCATCGACAAAATAATTGGCAACAACATCCAGTTAAATCCAAGCAAACTCCCCATGATGACAGTCATGATAAATCATAAATAATACTTACCAGTGGGAACAAGTGCAGGATTTACAGCTGCTAATTTCCGTCTTCGTTTAACTGGAACAACTGGCTTAGTTTCCTTCTTTTCTTCCTTTGTTTGTAAATCAGTAGCTCGTCTTCGACGTAAGTTGTATTTGCCACCATTGCTGTTACTTCCACTTGGTCCAGCTTGAATCTCCTGAGCTTCTTCCAGAATGTCTGTGTCTGCAAATTGGTAATAAATAAGAAATCCCTCACATAACTATTTGCCAACTCAGCAGAGACAATGATGAGATCATGGATACCCCATGCATGATACTACTAGTTGTAATAATCAATATTGAGGTTTCTCATGAATTATCCGTAGCACTCTCTCCCTCTTTCCTCATCATCAAATGCCATGTAAAGGTGATGTTTTATAGTATAACATCATGACTATCAGAAATCTAGCATACATGGTATGGGTTTGGTTGCATATAATTTGCAAAGTGAGGCTCTTTCTTCAAAATAGATTATCTTTATTGCAGGAAAATGTACCTTCAACCTAATCGTGTGTGATATACACATTCAAAATTTAAACTATGCTATACAACCAAGAGGGTAGAAGTAATAAATCTGTGCACAAATGGATTCATGGGGTCAAAAGGTTGATCTTTCAGAGTAAAAACGTTTGTGTACATGCTGCTAAATTCGTGATACAAAGTAATACGATAAATTTCCATTCGAGGCATCTCATATCAATCATGTAGGGCTAGAATGAAACTGGGTGCATCAAATGTTGCGGAAAATCACACAGCTAACATCAATAAAGGCGTCTGCCTACAAGTCCATGGAGACACTCAGAAATGCGAGACTGTGACAATGACTTTCAGACAGCAAACATTACGTACCAGCACTTCGTCGTTTCCGTTGCACTGGCTTCGATTTAGCCTTCTTTCGGCGCTTCCTGGCATTAAGCCTAGTGGAACGGACCGAAGGGTTGGACATAATAAGCTGATTTACAGTTTATATTGTTTAAATAGATTCCAGTTGAAAAGAAAGAATCATCCATGAGAAGCCATATTGAATTGTTCTATTTTATCACACTGGACCGAAAGCGAATGAAACCAACCCGTTGGGCCCACGTGATACCGTTGTCCAATCACAATATCGCTACTGGGATAGCCCAGGAATTCCAATATGGCCGCCCTTGATTTGTTGGGTCGGAGTCAAACCAAACATTGAAAAACAACCACACACAACATACGATTTCCACTAATTAAGGATGTCATTATACACTGGATTTAACTTGAAAAGCTACGGCTACAGTGTGATACCTAAACCAGTCACAGCAGAAGACAGAAAATTGCTGTCTTCGGTTGGTATTCAGTTGTTCAGATTTCGATCATCACTCATCTGTCAAACCCCACCCTTGTCAATCACGAGGTTGCAGCCGTGGCTTTAACATTTGCACGGCAGTACTTCTGTGCAGATTTTTAATCGTGAAACATTATGAATTATCTAAAACTGAGACTTGCTACAAAGTCGTGGTTTATATCCTTGAACATAAGTGCACAGGGAAAAAAATAGACTTGGGCATGATTGGAGCATTTACTTGTATACATCACTAGTATACTAGCCAGTACGGTCCAAATTTATCTTGTATATTTGTTGGGGATTTTTTTTTGCAGGTGAATCACATCCCTGTATCATTTATTTTTCATTTTCAAATACTGAAAAAAGGTGGAAACATTTAGGCAAGGGAGCTCTGTGAAAGTTATACTATTTATAGACAACTGGGAAGTACCAGAGAATCTGCATAAGATGAGCTGTTTATTGAACAGTTTGTGTTATTGTTCAAATTTTTAAACCAATACACATGTATCTTGTAATGTGTCATGTGTTTTGCTATGCAGAGGTTGTAAATCATAAAATGCTGTTTTCCTTATTGTTACTCCATAACAGTACTGCACCTCATTTTTAGGGCTCTGCATGCAACATAATGCTGCTGTCTCAGGAATCGCACCTATCTCTATAATGTCAGTTGCAAACACTTGCAATGGCTGTGAAAATCATGCATGCTTCAATCCGAAGTACAAAGATACATCAAGTAATGAGATGCATCAAGAAATGATGATGATTTTATGATGATGATTTTATATATCTATTTGCAATATAAATTCTTTACCATTTATCATTCATTCAACCAGTTGACATTTGCCTTATGATTTGATTAGAATCAGTTTATCATGTGAATGACTTACGATCATATGCGACTGAAGTTATATATATGTTAGAAAAAAGGTGTTGGTTGGGGTTCCTTTATATATTATCTTCTTGCAGTTTTGACAAGAACATAAATCATGCCTCTATGTTGACAGGTATTTCAGAATTGTGACACAGACAACAAGGGATACCTGACGAGAGAAGACATCAAGATAGCTGTTGTATCACTGTATGGGTACAAGCCATCAAAGGTATATATGTTATTTGTTTTAGTAATCTTTCCTACAACCTCCATTGTTTTGGGTGGTTATGTTTCCAGTATATTTGATTACAGCCATTCATATCATAGGTGCGGGCCTTTATTGCAATATGTTATGAAACAAAACACAACTTTGCCATTATCCTACAAACATTGACATTATCAGTGCAAGTTCAGACTGCAACTAAACCAAGTACAGATTCTCCACCCTCTACATTCAGTCAGCAACTTCTTCAGGATATTTTGGGCCAAACATATCAATCATGCCATACAATCAAAAGAATATACATTAGCGAACAGTGAAACATATTTTCAAAACATAAGATATGTTTACTTTGTATTTCCTTAAAAATAATCCATTAGAGCCCACAGCTTTGTTTTAAGCTTTATTCAACAAACGGCCCAGTTTATTTAGCTGTCCAGTCAGATTATTGTCAGTGAGAGAAATCCTCAGCTAAGTCATTGATTAGAGAGATGGAGACAGAGGTGAACTTGTGAAAACGAATCCAGGATATTCACCATAATAGAATGGAGATATCACACACTGGATTATCAAGGATAATGTTAACACCAATAAGCTCACCTGCACACCAAAAAAGGCACAATATTAAACTTAATATGATAAGCTTTATTTTCTGTTTTATGTAATCATAATGTTTTTATAGAGCAAATACATCATTTTCCCACCATTTTATTTCCTTAGTATGAAGTGAATCAACTGTTGGACAAATATGGAGAATCTCTACAAGATGACGTCAAAGGTATGATCAGATAAAACAGCATTGTAATCAGGTTGAAATATATTTAATATTTTAAATTTTAACATTTGGTATCTTCTGCCTTTGTTAAACATTTAAACTGATCCTAACTCATGTTATGCCGTTTCCTTTGTTTTTTCAACTGTGGAGTGGAAACAAACACCTCGCCCAAACACACCCCAGCAACCTCTTTTGTAGGGACCTAAAGAAAGAAACACCTGTGTATCATTCAGGGCGGTGGGGGTAGCCTAATGGTTAAAGTGTTGGCTCGTCACGGACGAAGACCGGGTTCGAATCCCCACATGGGCACAATGTGTGAAGCCCATTTCTGGTGTCCCCATGCGTGATGTTGCTGGAATATTGCTAAAAGCGTAAAACCAAACTCAGTTAGTCAGTCAAGTCCAGTCAGTCAGTGTATCATTCAATTCCTTTACTTCCATGTAATAACCCTCTACATGGAGATCTGAAGACACCTTCATCAGGTGAATTTTAACAACTGACCCTATGGTTTTGCGAAAAAGATCAACTGAATCCTAAGAAGTCACAGAGCTTGTGGCTATTTCTAAATTTCTTCTGTAGTCTGCACCAGTACTTGTGTAGTAGAGTCAATATTACTGCTATGAAGTTTATTCATGAACAGACTTTCTTATTCAGTGTTGACATTGCCCAAGTTCCATGATGCCATGGCACCAAAACTGAGCACTCAGGATGAAAATGAGGAAATACGACAGACATTCCTGGCCTTCGACACACAGTGTAGGTTGATGATATTAGTAGAGAACTTACAGTAGTTGTGGTGGTAAAATGAACCACAATATTCTTGGCCTTTGACATATAACAAAGTTGTTGCCATTACTTGTGGAAGGACAGTGGTTTGGAACAGTGGTTGTGATGCTGAAATGTTTTATGATAACATTGTAACATTCCTCAATGCAGGTTAATGTGAGTATGATGGAAGTACGTTTCACTGCTCTAACTTCAGGTCGAGGGTTCCTGACTATTGAGGACCTGAAGAAGACCTTCGCCCAGGTCGCTCCCCACCTTCCAATACACGCAGTAGCAGCTGCCTTCAAGTAAGTTATCACTCTTCTACTAGCTACCATCAACGCAGACCAGGAACACTCGCCATGTAAGAGGCACAAGTGGCAACATGCTTTTTCATGACATAGCAGTGTTTCATCCTTACATTTTGTAATAGTTAACATTCCCTCCATAGTCAACCCTGAAGACTTGTCACATTGAAGGTCAGATTCTTCAGACATAGATGCAATATTGCCATAATCAGCACAACTTCTTACTATTATACAAACTTTGAAGATCCGGGTAAGAATTGATCTTCAGTAACCCATGCTTGTCGTAAGAGGTGACTTACTGGATCAGGTGGCCAAACTCGCTGACTTGGTTGACACATGTCATCGTATCCTAATTAAGTAGATTGATATTCATGCTGTTGATCACTGGTTTTATGACCCAGATTCAGTTATTTACAGACTGCTGCCATACAGCTGAAATATTGCAAACACACTTACCACTATGCAGATGTTGATTATCAAGCCATAGAATGTAGTAAGTCTTTCTTCTCCAGTACCTGTGAAGGTCCGGGGTAGAATATTGATCTTCAGTAACCCATGCTTGTTGTAAGAGATGACTAACGGGATCGGGTGGTCAGGCTCGCTGACTTGGTTGACACATGTCATCGGTTCCCAATTGTGCAGATCGATGCTCATGCTGTTGATCACTGGATTGTTTGGTCCAGCTTCGATTATTTACAATCTGCCGCCATATAGCTGGAATATTGCTGAGTGCGGCATAAAACTCAACTCACTCATCATTTTCTCCAGCCAATGGCAAAGTCTCTGTCAGTCAGTATGTGTTGTGTTTCAGGGAGCTGGACAGGGATGGCGATGGCAGAATCAGCTACAGGGACTTCGACTTTATGATGAAATACGGCAAAGACAGTTGATATAGAAACATTTTGAAAACAGCTTTTGTGATATTCCTGGACATTTACTTTCATAATTTTGTATTTATTTTTACTGCACAAATAAATTTTATGAGATGTCTGATCATTATTTCTGTCCTATTTCTTTTTCGAAATACCAAGTTGCGTCCCATGACAGTGCCAGGATGGGTTGATAGGATTATGAAACCAATTTAGGACACACTTAGTCATTATCATGGTAGTGCATTAAAGTGGTTCTGTACTAAACTGCTACATGCTGTTTTCATTATTAAACTTTCATGGTTGTCCTGGGGCTCTTTAAAGTTTGCATCTTTAATATTATAATCTTGTTACCCCCCTAAAAGATTCCTCAGCCTTCCTGCTGAATTGTCAACATTATTGTTCTATCCTTGGAACTGATGACAAGCAGTACTTTGCATACGGCATTGACCAAAATAATAGAAAGTCCGCCAGTAACATATTCAGTTAAGAAAGGAAATTGGCTAAGGAACTGTCTCAAAAGCTCACATTGAACACAGTTTGAGTATTTTGTATTATCTGGAACCTTTGACCATTTGTGAAGACTTTGCCCAGTTAATGCATTCAGTTTGATAAATGATGTAGTCATATAAGTACTATATATATGTAGTCATATAATATCTATATTTATCTCCCGAGGAACATCACACCATATACAATGAAGGATTGTTGACAATGAATTTTTTCACTGGAATAACCATCTCCCATTTGTCTAAATTACCGTCATATATCAAGGGAACCATTTCACAGACATTTTGATACCTATCCCATGACATGAACATTAAGCATAATGTACATGGGCGGATCCAGGAATTTTGAAAAGGTGGGGTTGGGGTGTGTGTTTCGAACCCCCTGAACCCGCCCTCTGGATCTGCCAATGATG